CACTGTCCCCCCACTGTTCCACTGGTTCCGCCCGCCGACGGAGAGGAAGCCCTTCTCGGCCAACTCGGAACCGCTGCGCCGCTAACGCACGCTAACGCGAGTTTGCTGGCGCCGGAAACCGCAGGGAGCGCGCGCTTGGCGCGCTTTTTGAAAAACGGGATGAGAAATTGAGCGGCCCGCAGGTTCTCAGATCGGCGGCGGTGGCGCGCGAGGGCCGTCCCCGCCTCCAGGAACAGCCGCCGGCAGCGGAGGCGGCGGCAGCGGCGGCAGCGGCCCCCCGGGACCGCCCCCCGTGTCGGAATGCTTCCCCTGCCCACGGCCCCGGCCGCCGCCCCGCCCCCGCGCCGCGCTGTCCCCGTCACAGGCCGCCGGCACCCCCGGGGCCGCCGGCATCGCCGGCACCGCCGCGCCACCCATCGGGACGAGCACCGCGATGAGGTCAGTCCGAGACAGCCGTAAAAAAGGAGGAAAATGGCGGTGTTGGAACCCGCGACGTGCCCGTCGTGCCTGCCTGCCTGCCGCAGCGCGGACCACGACGCCCCGTTCCGGTGGGCGGGGCATCCGGGCAGCCCCCTGCAGTCGCGAGTGTTCTCCGTGCCCACCACGCCGCCGTCCCCGACGCCGGCCGCCTGCCCGTCGCCACCAAGACCCCCACCAGGATCACCCGCGGGCCCCGCGGCTGGAATCGCGTCCGCCATGGCGTCCCCCGTCGGTTCCTTCATCGGCCTCCCTCTGGAGTCGAGCACGCCCGTCAAACCCCCGCATGCTTCGTCTGCTTCGCCACCCCATCATCAGGCGGAGGCGGCGTCTTCGGGGACGCCCCCGGGGACGGCGGTGGCGGCTGTGGCGGGCACGTCGCCGGCGGTCCCGGAGGACGACGGCGTCGTCGGCACGGCCTCGTGGGGGAGCCTGCCAACGCTGCCGGGGACGCCGTCGGACAGCCAGCACAGCCAGCGTGCCCCGAGTAAGGCGTTGGCCGCGTCCACGGCGTCCTCGCCGTCGTCGCCGTCGTCAGACACCGACGTGACGCGCGGCGCGCCATCCCCCCGGAAAGGTGAAGCGCGAAGCACAAAGGGCGCAAGCCGCTCAAGCCGCGCAAGCGCAACGCGAAGCTAGTTCTTTTTCCTCACTGCCGCCTTGGGGTTGCGTTGCAGTGCGGTTTTCCCCTCGAAGGATACGCACCCTGAGCACGGACTCGTCGCTCAAGCTGGAGAGCACTGCACTGGAAGGGGCGGCGGCCGACGACGAGCGAGTCTCGATGTTGGTGCAGGACGAGGGCGTCATGGTGGACGGGCCGTGGGCCAAAGCCACGCAGCACATTGGTGCGTTGCAGTCGCCGGTTCAAAAACCGGATGTTTTCATTTTTGTAACTGAATTTTGTTCAGACGTGTCGGAGGTGTCGGTTGGCACGTCGGACACCGACATGGGCTGGGAAGCCAACTCGCCGGCTGCAAGACACTTCGAGGACCGCGGCGTCGGCAGTGAGGTGGGGGCCGCCAGCGCAAGGACGCGAGTTCAAACACCCGCCGCGTTTTAGTTTTATTTCTACCCTTCTTCTGCCTTTGGCTTGGACGCGCGGCGCAGCAGGAAGGAGTGCGGGATCTTCGGCAGGATCCCGCCCCGCCACCGCAAGGCCAGGGGCAGAGCCAGGGGCCGACGTCGAGGCCACCGGGAGGCCCGCTGGAGCCGCTGCCCACAGATCAACAGTTCTGGTCGGCCGCGCCCGATCCGCAGACACCAGCAGCGGCGGAAGATGCAGCAGCTGTCTTCAGCTTCGCGCCCTCCGCCGCCTCCGCCAGCCCGGCGGCCCCTGCGGTGTGGGCGGCAGCTGGTGCTCCACTGTACGTGCCAGCAGAGCGTCAGCCTTCTCACCGAGCTCGCCTAACCAGGCCCCGAACCCCGGCGAATATCCAATTGTAAACCCAGGAAGCCGACTTAAGCCCGGCAGAGCCACCGTCTGGACGGTCACCTGCGCGCTAAAAAGCACCCCCGTCGGGAAAAGGGGAAGCCTGTTTTGTCGTGGGTTCGGGACCGGCCGGCGGCGAGGTGATTTACGCCTTCGCTTTTACTGCCGACTTACCGCCAGAGCTGGCCGCGCTGGCCACGGAGCACTGCCCGGCTGGAGATGGACCGTGGATGTCGAGTCGGGGTTTATACGGCCTGACCTGCGCCAACACCAAGTACCCGGGATTATCACCCACCGTCCCCAACCCCATCCGTGCACTGGCCCTGGGGGGAACAGTCGCCAAACTTTCAGAGAAGACACCAAAACGGAAATATTACCTCGATTCAAACCAAAAATTGCGGGGGAAAAAAGTTAAAGTCCCCCCTCAAAATACCGAAAGTAGGGAAAGTTAACGAGCGTGTAAACAGCAAAAATTCCAAGTTCTTATCTCACCCTCGTCCCTGTCTCTGCTCCGCGACTTACATCCCCCCCCCACTTTCCGCATCCCTATTCATACCCCGGCCCCGCCGCCCCGCCCGCCGCCCGGCCGCGCCAGTCACGGTGCACCGCTAAGAAAGTGCCTCGGAAACACTTTGTTTGCGGCGATGGTCACGATTATGCCGGCGCGGTTGTTGTTGGCGGTTAGGGCCTAAACGAGAACGGCGCACATCGAGGAGGTAACGGAGCTAAATGCACTCCCAGGCCCGGCAGGCCCGGCAGGCAGGCAGCGCGGAGGGAGAAGAAGGCATTCTTCCGGTCGGAAGTGGCCTCGGCGGACCCATTTCCGGGCCGGCAATGATTTCATAGGCCTGGCCGCGCGCCTGGGGGGTAGGCAACGCGCTGCGGCCAGACGCGCGGCGGGACTGCCTACCCCGCAGTTCGCAGGCGCTTGCCTGGGAGGTAGGCAACGCGCTGCGGCCAGACGCGCGGCGGGACTGCCTACCCCGCAGTTCGCAGGCGCTTGCCTGGGAGGTAGGCAACGCGCTGCGGCCAGACGCGCGGCGGGACTGCCTACCCCGCAGTTCGCAGGCGCTTGCCTGGGAGGTAGGCAACGCGCTGCGGCCAGACGCGCGGCGGGACTGCCTACCCCGCAGTTCGCAGGCGCTTGCCTGGGAGGTAGGCAACGCGCTGCGGCCAGACGCGCGGCGGGACTGCCTACCCCGCAGTTCGCAGGCGCTTGCCTGGGAGGTAGGCAACGCGCTGCGGCCAGACGCGCGGCGGGACTGCCTACCCCGCAGTTCGCAGGCGCTTGCCTGGGAGGTAGGCAACGCGCTGCGGCCAGACGCGCGGCGGGACTGCCTACCCCGCAGTTCGCAGGCGCTTGCCTGGGAGGTAGGCAACGCGCTGCGGCCAGACGCGCGGCGGGACTGCCTACCCCGCAGTTCGCAGGCGCTTGCCTGGGAGGTAGGCAACGCGCTGCGGCCAGACGCGCGGCGGGACTGCCTACCCCGCAGTTCGCAGGCGCTTGCCTGGGAGGTAGGCAACGCGCTGCGGCCAGACGCGCGGCGGGACTGCCTACCCCGCAGTTCGCAGGCGCTTGCCTGGGAGGTAGGCAACGCGCTGCGGCCAGACGCGCGGCGGGACTGCCTACCCCGCAGTTCGCAGGCGCTTGCCTGGGAGGTAGGCAACGCGCTGCGGCCAGACGCGCGGCGGGACTGCCTACCCCGCAGTTCGCAGGCGCTTGCCTGGGAGGTAGGCAACGCGCTGCGGCCAGACGCGCGGCGGGACTGCCTACCCCGCAGTTCGCAGGCGCTTGCCTGGGAGGTAGGCAACGCGCTGCGGCCGGACGCGCGGCGGGACTGCCTACCCCGCAGTTCGCAGGCGCTAGGCACCCCGGCGGTGGGGCGTTCGGTTTGGTCCGCGAACTGTATTGTCCACAAACTTGGCGTGGTTGGCCGCAGCGCCGCCGCACGTGAGCCCACAAGCACGCCACGCGGCCGCCCCGCCAACCAGACCAACGTCCGTGGGGTCAAAGCTTGCGGCCCCTCCCCCTCCCCTCCCTCGGCCGCACGCGCGCAAAACTTGCAACCGCAAAGTCGCGCCCCTCGCATACCTCAGGCCTCGCAGCCTCGCTCCACGCGGCCGGCTCGCCACGGCCCGGCGGTCGGTGGGGCGTACAGTGTGGCACAGCCTGGCCTGGCCTGGCCGCGTCGCAACAGTGTGCCGGCACCACCACACGAACACGCGTTGAAGACAATGTCTCCTTTAAAGGCAATTTCGGACGGAAAAAAGGGCGGCCATCATGGCGTCAGAGGGGCGTCGTCTGGTGTTGCGGCAACGCGGCGAACGCCATGGCGAGCGCCGCAACGGCAGGCAGTGTTCCCGCCGGCACAAAACATCCCCGCATGCCTTGTCATCCCCCTCCCCCTTCCCCGCAGCACAGTGGGCCAGAAGACCGGTGAAGGGGGCCAAAACTCTAGACGCATTTTGAGCTCCAGAGTCGCTAAACAGGCCTCGAACCGAACGTGTGACCCCACCAATGGATTGCTCTCCGAACGAGGAATCCATTGGTGAGGTCACACGTTCGGTTCGAGGCCTGTTAAGCGACTCTGGAGCTCAAAACGCGTGTAGAGTTTCGGCCGCCTCCACCGGTCTTCTGGCCCACTGTGCGCAGCTGGCTGGTGCTGGCCGAGCCGATGTGGCCCTTGTGGTTGGCCGCAGTTTACACAACGCATTAAGACGTCCTGTGGCACCCCACACAGCCCCACACAGCCGCCGCCGTGACGGAGGCGGCCACCCCTTTGCCGCCACCCCGTCGGCACGTCAGCCACGCCGCCGTGCTGCCACGCACACGCAGCGCGCCGCAGCCAGTCTCTCATTGTACTCTTTTCGGAATGCCTCGTGTTTTCCACCTCGACCCGGTTCGCGAACTGGCTTCGGCCGTGGACGCTGTGAATTACTCTCGGAATCACTGTTGCGCGTCATGTGTGTATTCGACTTTGTCGACATTTGCTTTTTTTCGCCTTCCCCCCCCCCCCCTCCCCGAACGGCATTGAGCTGCCGTGGAGGTATTCGAGGCCACGCCATCATCGTCCCGTACTGCGTCGTGTTCTAGAGTGGTGCCGCCGGCGTTCCCAGTGGTCATCCCCGTCCTTGACCACGGCTTGCACCACCACCACCATGCTGGGCAGCACCCGGCGCACCACCCGGCGCACCACGCGGCGCACCACGCCTGCCCCGGCCTGCAGCCCTGGCAGCACTGGCAGCCCTGGACTCCGGGCTGGCCGCAGGGCGGCGACTTCCAGGCGGCCTGGCAGGGCGTCCGGACCTTCCGCCCCGAGTCCTCGGACCCCAAGGCGGCGTCCTGGAGCCAGTTCGGCGCCGACCTGGACCGCTGGGTGCAGGACACGGCCGAGGCCGAGAGGGTGTTCGTCCGGCAGGCCGCCGAGGCGGGCAGGAGGCACCTGGACGCAGCCATGGCCAAGGAGAAGGTGTTGCAGATGGCTCACCAGTTTCACAAAAGCTGAAAATTAATTATTTTTTGGAAAATAAACGAAGGCTTCTGACCGGCTACTCCCGCGTGCTCTTGCAGATGGAGTCCCTGTGGTCGCTGCTGGAGTGCACGCAGCGACTGCAGGTAGAGAGTCCGCGGTGCGTCCACGGCCACTTGACTGCTTGTGTTCACCCGTCTGTGGACTTCCAGGAGGACACGGACAGGCAGCTCAACTTCCTGGGTTGCGTCATGCACGAGGCCGAGGCTTTCCTCGCCTCCTTGGAGTCCCTCGAGCAGGTGGAGGTGCCCGTGCTCAGCAGCAACCAGAAATTCGACTTGTGAGTGTTTTCCCATTTTCGCGCCAAAATGCTTGGTTCCGTTTTCCCCAGGCGACTGCACGCCATGCCCCTCGAGCGTTGTTTATTCCCCACGGCCGTAATAATTTCTGGCGACGATAGAGACCTTTGGTTTATCTGCATTACACTGTCTCGCCAGGCCTGGCCGAGGGCCTGGCCGAGAATAGCGCAGTCGCAGCAGCAACGGTACGCCAGTACGCCACCAGTCGTCATAATTCAAAGATAGGATCAACACAGCAGCGGCGGTGTTACCCCCTCCCCCTAGGGTGCTCTGGGCAAGACATGCCACCACCCCGCAGGGCTCGGGACAGTCGATTACAAATCCATGAATAGGAATCTCTGGCGCCCCTCCCCCTCCCCATGCCGCCGAGCAGCTCATCTTCGCTATCAACTACCCCCTCCCCTCCCCCTCCTTTTGTTTGAGACGCGACACCAGCAAATAGCATGCAAACGATGGGGAACTTAGCGACTAATAATGATTTCGCTGTGTGTTTTGGGGGCGTTGGCTGGGCCGCTGGCACTGCCGGGGCACGGCGCGGCGCGCGGTTTAAACTGACTACACGAATGAGCGCGCCCAGTGTGCTCCAAGCGCCACGCCACACCCCGCCACTCAGAACGCACATTACAAAGCGCCGATTGATACTGTCTGGCTTGGTTCCGCTTTCTTATCAATTTTCCGGCGGTCAAAGGCACTTTCTCCGAACAAGTGTCCCGGGAATTTCTGAGATAGTACTTTTCAACGGTGGACGTTTGCCACGCTGCGCGCTGCGTTCTGCGCGCTGCGTTCTGCGCGCTGCGTTCTGCGCGCTGCGTTCTGCGCGCTGCGTTCTGCGCGGTCCGGAGCAGCAACGCCGCACGACTTAGCTCCTTGCTCGGGCCTGGGCTGTCGACTGATTCCGAGGGCCGCCTTAGTCGCTCTGTCTCTCTCGCACTCGTGGGGCGCCCCGTAGAGGTGCGAGAGAGACAGAGCGACGAAGGCGGCCCTCGGTCGACTGCCTGGCTGCCTCGGCTCGGCGGCCTCGCTCTTTACAAGGCAGTGGTTAGCGCAGGGAACGGCTCCCCGGGGGAGGAATAAGAAGACTAGCCTTACAGTGGGCAGGCCGAGGGGGGGGGGGGAGGAAGGCGCAGCAGCTAGACAACAAGTGCAGCTGCTCGATGGCCGCGCTGCCAGCTGCGCCAAGATGGACAAGAAGTGCGCCAGGGCCGCCAGGGCCGCCAGGGCCGCCAGACTGTCTCTCTCGCACTCGTGGAGCGTTCTCATGGGTGCGAGAGAGACAGAGCGCCGACCCTTGCAATCGGGTCCTGGTTAGGCCGGAGGGAAGGTCCGGGGAGGGGCAGCTGAGAGGCCAGCGCGGAGCGCGGACCGAAAAAAACAAGGTCGCCAGTCGTAATGTAAGCCGGGGCCCAACCTATCCTGCGAGCAGTACATCGCACAGTGGGCCAGAAGATCGGCGGAGGCGGCCAAAACTCTCGACGCATTTTGAGCTTGAGAGTCGCTAAACAGGACTCGAACCGAACGTGTGACCCCACCAATGGATTCCTCGTTCGGAGAGCAATCCATTGGTGGGGTCACACGTTCGGTTCGAGTCCCATTTAGCGACCCAGGAGCTCAAAACGCGTTCGGGGTTTTGACCGCCTCCACCTTGAGGTCCCGTGTTGCGTCGCCAGTCCAATGCGCTGCCGTCTGCGCGCTGCCAGGTTTCCGCGTCTCGGTGCATTTGGCTCTTTGGCTCTTTGGCCCTTTGACCTTGCGACGTGCCGCGACCACACTGATGCGGCGCGCACCGGACCGGAGCAGTCCGCCGTCGCAGCCAGGTCGCGGCTGGCGGGGTGTTCTCTGGGTGGCCGCTGTCTCTCTCGCACACCGTTCGATTTGGCGTTATCAAGTTCAACGCAGGGCTGACGAACTGCTCACGCCCGCAGAGTCAAAGTCGAAAAGAGGAAAAGATGTAGTGTAACGAATTTATCAGGGTTGGTGGCGAGCGAAGTCGGCTAGTTTCCGGGCCCGCGCCAAACTTAAATAAAACTATCCCACCGCCGGACCGTCGCCCGTCGCCCTACCCGAGTCCCGGCGTACTGAAGTTGGGCCGCAGGCCTCTGCGCTGTGCACGCTGTGCACGCTGTGCCAGTGCTAAGTGCGTCCGACTATAGCCAGCGGCCAGGCTGCAAGATGGGCCTGTAGCGCGGTCGCTGGCATAGGCCGGCATCGTCGGACGCACACAGTACCAGTGTCTGCGTGTCGGCGTTAACAGTGTCGACGAGGCGGCTAGGCGTGCTGCCCCGGGCCCATGTGCCGCGCCGCCTCGGTGCTGGCCTTCTTGCAGGGGCCAGGGCAGGCCAGGCCAGGCCGGGACGCGCCGCCCCCGGGCCGCCCCCGGGCCGCCCCCGGCATCGACTGCGCCATGCTAAGTTTGAAGGGCCCGGCCTCTGGGTCCTCGCCGTCCTCGCCGTCCTCGCCGTCCTCGCCCACCCGGATGGCCTGCAGCGTTTCGCAGAGGAAGGGCCAAGTGTATCCCCCCCCCCCCCAGTCCTTGAGGCGCCTTGAGGCCGTGATGGTCGTGATGGTGATGGCCGTGGCGCTGCGGCGACGCAGTCGTCCGCGCCTTGCCGTCAAAAAGGCGGCGCTCCTTCGCTTCCGTCTCCCGTTCGGGGGATAATCGCGGCGGATCCATTCAAGACACATTAATGTTGCGATTTGGTCGGGCGAGGCGAGGCGAAGTGAGCCAAAGCGAGGCTTGACTTGCTCGCTAATGAATGTGGAGCTCCGGCAGCACCAAAGGCGGAGCGGAGCGGCCAAGCCCTTCCCGGCCCTTGCCGCCCCGCCCCGCTCCGCCCCGCCCCGCCCCGCCCCGCGCTGCCCTTTGCAAATGACGAGAGATAAGGCGATCATCGTGGCGAGGCCGCGGATTTGGCCGTCACAAACCGGCGAGGGCAAACGCCGCCACAAAAGAGCGCAGCGCGGCGCTGCGTCCCAGGGTTCAAATACCCGGCCAATAACTTTTTTTCGCTTCCCTCCGCGTCCTTGCGGGGCTAAGCGCGCGTCCTTCCAGGAAGTCGAACTCGAGTCAAACGCCCTCACGTGCGCCGCGCGCCGTGCCGTGCCGCGCTGTGCCGCGCCGTGCCGCGCCGTGTGGACGGGAGGGGGAGGGGGAGTCCCGCTAAGTACCGCCATACCCACCCAGCCCTGCCAACGCCCTGCCGCCAAGCCTCGTGCCCCATCGCGCAAAAATTCAGAGCATCGGCCGAGAGGGGGGAGGTAAGGGGGAGGGGGAGGTGGCAATCGTGCGGCGCCTAAAAAATGACGACGGAGCTATGCGGTCGATGCGATCCCGGTTCCAATAAGGTCCCCGCGGTGAGCATCCCGTGGCGAGCATCGCACGGTCGGCCACCCCTTCGTCGCAAAGGGGCCCTACTGTGCAGCCTGCAGCTCGTAGCGACAAGCGCCTGGAAGGCAGGCAGCCTCCACTTCAGTTTGTTTCTTTAACCCGCTTCTGAATTATTTTTCCGAAAGACGGAAGATGTTTTGCTCGAACTATCTGTTCAGTAAATGTATTGCACAGTCGGTTAGTGTAAACCAAATATGCTTGTGGTCGGGAGGACCTTGCAGGATCGCTCGACGAAAGCTCGAGCATGCCACAAGGCCCCCTCCCCTCTCCCGGGGCGTCGGTCTTTGTGATGCAAATGCACGTTAGTAGGTTGCCGAGCCTGATCGACTGTTTCCACCCGCTTCCGCTCCCCGCCTCCTTCCCCGGGGGCGTTTCCGGCGGAGAGGAGATATCGGCAGGTGATGCTGCCCCGGCAGTGCCCCGGCCAAATCTCCTCCACTCCACTGTACCGCGCTTAACTTGGTGCGTTTGTGTGACGCAACAGGTACTGTATGATGCTGGGCACCTACAAGAGCCTGCTGGCGGCCAAGGAGCAAGTGGGGCAGCTCGCAGACCTCGTCAACGCGGATGCCTCCTCCAAAGGACCCGTGAGTGTGCTAGTGTGCTGCAGCCATGGCCGACGCCGGCCAACGCCCTCACAGAACCCCGTACTCTGCGGTACCCTGTCGGTCCGTCACTGGGTAGTCGAACCCGGGCCTCTTTGCAGGCTCGATCTATAATGCCTGGCGGACTGGGTTTCAATTTGTTGTTTTCTTTTCACAACCCACAGATGGAGCTCATCATCGACATTCTGGATTCCCAGGCCCACGCCCAGAGCAGAATCCTCTCCAGGATCACTCAAGTTCAAGAGAGTGCGGAAGTCGTCGGCAGTATGCTGATGCGCTTCAGGCAAGACTCTGACTGCAAGTGTTGGCCACCCGCACCATGTTGCTGAATTTCAATGACTAAAGGGAAGGAGAGTTAAAAAGAATTTCAATAAATTTTTGAGCACTCATTTATTTGTAAATTGAAAACATGCTGTTTACAATGAGCAATTAATTTTAAAACTATTGATGAAAGACATAAAACACGAACAGAACGTAATTTCATAGTTGTGAAGTAGTTAAAATTGATTCTGAATTTATGAAGTCCATCTTAATATACAGAAGATGGCATGATTAACAACAAAAACTAAAATGGATTGTAAGAAAAGACATGTCAATGCTTTTCTAGTACCATGTACATACAAAACCATCAGTCACAATCAACATGATCATAAGCGAAACATTGTATATCATTATGTGGTAACGGTTTGTTTTCAATGAGACTCTGGATTACCCATAATGGAGAAACTATAGGTACATTGGCACCTTGGGCATGTTTTAAAGTCTTCTCAGAGCAGTCATGGGTAGATAGAACTTTTGACAAGCTATCTAAATGACCTGAAAATAACAACATGGAAAAATTGACAACAGGAACAAATTTAAGCGTCATGGTTGAGTTACATTATATTATAAAATGATAAAAAACAATCTACCTTGAACACTTTTTATGGTGGCAACTTTTGCTCCGCTTAACTGTAGTATGCCCTCCCAAAAGTCTTTGAAAACTTTGTCTCCCTCCACTAGAATTTTTTCACCACGTAAAGGCTGTTTAATTTTGAGATCAGACCACGTGGCCCAATTTTTTCTTTTTAAAGAATATCCAGGAGGTAGCAAGTAACTTTTCAGACAGTTTGCCAGTCTTTTGTTCTGAGAATTTAGAAATAGATTAGTTGAGAGCTAATGTGTCACATACATAGGAATTAGTCAACTGACACATACCTCTCTGCAGCAATGAATTATGCACTCATGGTTGACTCCTTTAACACCTCGAACAAGGCACTGTAGATATATGGCAGTATAGCAAGGGCGATTAGAGACCACATAGGTGTTATTTATGTCTTTAGGCACAATTTCAGTCCAGTGCTTTAAGACTTTTCCTCCACCTTGAAGTATCTGTCGAGCAAGGCGATCTTTCACCATTCGAGCTTTTGCAAACTGGTAGCATTCATAGTCAGAAGCACAATGCGATGACTCATCATCTGGAAAATACAGAAGATATATTACTAATAAAAAGAAAAGAAAAAATCATTCATTTTTAAGTCAGCTATTGATTTACCAGGCTGATCCTCAACATCTGTATTCCTCTCGGAATCTGTCACAGGTTCATGCCTATGTCTGATACAGACATCTGTGATTGTCAACAAGAAGGAGTATCCTCCAAATATTCTACTTCCATCAGGAGGCAATGGTCCAAGCTCATGAACAATCTTCTCATCATCTGTATTTAAACAGAGGAAGAAAATATTCATCTCACAGACTCAAAGCAGAAAGTAAATAAATATTTTAAAATTTTTCGTTGTAAAAACTTTTTACCAATATCTGGCAGTGGCTTCTTTGAGGCACTTTTCTTGACCCCTCTTCCTTTCCTAGCAAGTGGATCAGCAGTCTTTTCAAAACCAACTTGCTCCGCCTGCACTCCAGGTATTATCGGTATTGTTAAACTTTGTGCTAATGGTTCATCTTCAGCAGTAGAAGAACTGCAACTATTGGAGATGTTTGAAATAATAATCAATTCAAGAAAAAACAACAAAATAAAAGTCTGCAGTCACCTTACCCTTCTGGTATTAATCTGCGAGCTGTGTTTGATGGGCCAGGTCGACCTGGACTATTGACCACATTTTGACTTCCTTTAGGTGTTCGAACTCGCTTTCCTGGTAGAATATTATCTAATTCCACAAAACACAGAAAAAGAACAAATTAGATTGCAACAGAAAAAGACATGCTGGGGAGAGAGAGAGAGCGAACTATTATTGACTGTATTAGGACAGAACGATATACACACCAAGATCAATACTGCCAAGTTTGGAAGCAGAAGAACGTTTCGAGGGAGATGTTGATGAGTTTGATGTGTAGTTAGTAGAGTTGGAGGGATCTACAAATTGTTTCATCTGCTCTTCTGATAGCATTAAGTCTGATATGTGTACTGTTACTACACTTCCTGAGTAAGCAATTTTAATTTTATACAATTCATCCTGCCCCTCTGTTCCTCTGCAAAACAGACAAACACACTTAGATGGTAGAAATACAGACTTCTCAGCTCATTTTATGTTTTTTTTCTTTTTTCGAATAAACAAGGTATATAGATTGTAGAATATTTTTACTTACGGTATAACATCAATAACAGTACCAGCATCATAATCTTTTTCAGTTTTGGCATGAACAGATTGGCCAATTACAAATGTGTTGATGAGATAAATTTCGTTTTTGCTTAGATCTCTCTTTGTACCATCATGAAAAGCCACATTCCACTGGTTAGGCTTTGTAGATGTGGTAAGACGACCGTGGTAATAACACCCATCCTTCCATAAAGCAAAAACCTGTGCCCCTAGAATTAGAAAGAAGAAAGAAAACAATAGAAAAGGACATTTATTTTAATGACACCAATAGGGTTGATTGTGAAACATTTTAATATACCTTGACTATAGTATTCTGATGCGCCACTTAAAGAGTCATCTGGGGGACTAGAATGTTCCACTGCATCAGGTACATCGGTTTTCTTCTTCCTGGGAGTTTGACCTTTCTTCTTTGAAGAGCCACTAGGAGTTCGAGGGGTGCTAGGTTTAGTTGGTCTTCCTCGCTTTCTTTTGCTCGTTGGTGTCTCGGTTCCCTCATTTGTCTGCAAGGGAAAAGGCAAACATTTTTCAATATATTTTTGAAAATACTAACATGGTAAGATGCTCGGTAAAATAACCAACATACCGCAGCCGGGTTCTTTTCACTGTCTACTGGAGCGGCAGAGGTAGAACTGTTCGCAGAGTCAGATCTCTTTTTCACATGAAGGTACTTTTGGTAACCACTATTAGCAGGAATACCCAAAATCTCATTATCATCCTACATGAGCAACAGAAAAAAAACATCATTAAAACTTCAACATATGCCTAGCATTGGTCATGGTTAGCTTAAGGCTTACCTCGAGAACTGGTTCCAGTGTTTTGTCATCAATAGTTTTAGAATCATCTGAACTTGAGTTATGCATTCTGGAGGCCTCCCAATTCTCGAGAATTGTTGACCCAGATGTCGCCAGTTCATCTTGACACTCGCTAAGAAATTCTTTCCAGGGGGCTAGATGGTTGAGCCTCACAGGTGATGCATTACCAGAGGCACTGTGCAATGTCCTAGCAGGTGGGCGCCCACGGGCCGGTACTAAACAATTGGTGAATTAGAGAAGCAGTGGTAAACGAGAACACAGAGCAATGAAAACAACTTACCCTTTCGGTAAAGGCTTGCAGCACTTCCAGCAGAGCTGGAGGAAGTAGTAGAAAACATGCTGTAGCGAGATGGGTGCATCGGCGGCAATGGAAATAGTCCTGGACCGCTCATGACACTTCCGGGTGAACTGCCATTTCTCCCAGGAGATGATTCTTCAACTGCACTGGGAGACGAATCTCTCTTGCGCACCGTGTTGCTTTCCAATACTTCAAACTGGAACAAAATGAAACAAAATCGTACAGACCATACAAAGCTTTTAAGAAATAATAATTAGAGGTGAACACGTGATTAGCTGACAAACCGAAGTAATGGATCTTGATGTTGTATTTTTCTTCAAAGTATCTATGGATGCTTTACAAGACACTTTATAGGTGCAGGTAAAGGTGAGCACAAAATCAGTTTCAAAGTCTTGACTGGTTTGGTTGATGGTCTTCGCATTTTCACTGGATTGGTCTAATGGATGACCAACATCGCCAACTAATGACTGTGAGGAAAAATTGTTTTAGAGAGTTAATAAAAAGAAAAAAAATAACATGTTTCACAATTTTATTTTATTTTTGATGTCACTTACCTTGATGTTATTTGACAAATTGGGGTCTTCAGATTTTGAACTCAATGTATTCTCTTTCTGATTTTGTCCAGAAAGGGGCACAACTTCTTCAATGTCAGCATGACCACTAGAATCTAATGTAATTTCAGCTGTAGCCTTTCTTGCCAGTGGTGAAATGAGCTGAAATTTTGCAAAGTTAATTAACAGAAAGTACAACTCAACAAATCAAAAATTTGAAGCATTGCCAACAGACCTGGATATCATCTTCCACATCCTCTACATTGACAATACTTATGTCATGACTCGGATTAACGGAACCATTTAGTGCTGTAGGACTAGCAATCCCAACTTCCTGACTACCCTCTAAATCAGAATCTGTTTGAGACAGATGCAGATGTATGCCTTGAGATCCAAGAGTAAGGTCCTGAAACATTGGATAGTGAAAATCAAGTACGGTATAGATAGCTAAACTCAAAAGAAAGTCAAGCTTAAAATTAATACAGATATTAGAGAAAATTTGAAATAAAAAATTATTATGTACCTCAGTTGATGGGTTTTTAAATACACCGACTTCATCAACAACCATAACACTTGGACGGCTTTGAAAACTCTTTTTCACCTTTTTTAAATCAGGTTTCAGTTCATCACTCGAATCAGATGACAACTTCCTCTTTTCAGAAATTTTCTGAACATCTTCCTCATCAGAAAGAGATATTACATCATCTCTGGAAGATTTTGAAACCTCTCTAAGAGGAGTAGAAGTTATTCCAGATGTTGGAGAGCTCGGGTACAGCCTACAACATCAACCAATAGAAATATTTGAAGTGAAATAAAACCACAAGCCCGGTCCACAAAGGTGACACTAACCTGCCAGGTTTGAAGCCTTCATAGCTTTGTGATAAAGGAATGTCTCCAGACAGTTGCAAAGTAGGTATCAACTGGGAAACTGACACTACATTGGGTTCATTGGCACAGGCTTCTTGGCTTACAAACATGTCTTGCGAACCGATTACCATGTCGTCCGTGTCATCTGATTCAGCTGGAAACAAATGTTAGAATTGCATTACACTTGATTGACAAATATGAAACCAGCTAAAAAAACTACAATTTTGAGTCTTCAACTTACTTGCTCGTTTGCTGCTTGAGCTGGTGGAAACCACAAAACTAAAATCCAATGAACAGAGAAAAGCATTTTAATGGTCACAGGCAAGGAAAGAGTGAAATATTTAATTGAATAATGTTTTCACAAATACCTAGAACTGCTGGAGCTACTAACAGCTGTCTTGACATTGTGGCCACCATCATGAGTGTGTCCTCGGCTCAGGCGATTTTCAAGTTCTTTGCTGTGCAAAAAGAAAACAAAAATTTAATTTAAAAAAAAACACATTTATCACTGATATTCCAAAAAAATGTGGTCAATATGAAAAACTGCAATAATGTGCCTTGACTCACAATCCAGTTGGTGACAGGGAGTTCTGGATGTCTTGTGATGGTGTCAATTCAAGAGTATCATTGACAGATTTACTCGTACTGTCACCTTCACCATCTTCATGAGTTTTTGAGATGGGGGGAGTCTCATCTATGTGATCTATTTCTTGAGATTGAGTTACAGGCTGAGTTAACTCTTGAGAGTACGAACTAAGATTTGATTGTTCTGTCTTAAATTCGTTACCATTGACTGACTTGTGTTCCTCCCCAACATCACAAATGTTTGGTTTATTTTCTGTAACTCCAGAAGCTTGCGCCTTTAAGCGCAGCTTATTGACACTAATATATGTCTCGTCTGGGTCGAACGATCCATCATCACATTTTTCAAATTGAGTTTTTCCATGTGATGTTTCTAATCTATTATTTTCTTCTTCTGTGCACGTTTGTCCAGTGTAAACAACATTAGGATCTTGAGACAAAATCTCTGTTGCATCCACATTTTCTAAATTGTACCCTTCAGCTTGCGAGCACGTTAGACCGGTGTACACAATATCTTCGTCCTCAGATAGGATCTGGGTGGCTTCGTCGTTATCCATTTTGAATCTAGAATCAAGAGCAACAAGTAGTATGTTTAGCTGAGGGTACAAAAAGTTATCGTGCCTGACACACACATGAAAGGACCTAGCAAGCAAGAAAAAGAGACCAATAACTATACGCATGCGAGAAAGATATTGATACAATTAAGTAAGCAACAACATTTTCAAGTAAACAATCACAACAAACAGAAAACTCCTAACCTCTGACTTCCTCGAGGAGAGCCTTTTCTTGTATTGCGAATTACCAGTGTCTTCGACAATCAGAGAGGTTCATCTGTTGGATATAGGGTACAACAGCCAACAGAGGCAAGAGGCACGATAAAAGGGGAATCAATTACAAAACTGAGGCCAAAATTCGGAGATTTGCGGGGCGACAGTTGTTTTGCCGCTCAACCCGCCCGGACCGTGGGACCGACCCGGGGAAGGGAGGGGAGGGGGAGGGAGGGATGGAGGGGAGGGGAGGTGGTGGGGGTAGTCGACGATACTCCGTGTCTCCAGTGAGTGACGTACAAAAGTAATTTGGTACACGAGAATTTAATTGCTGGAGAAACTAAAAGAAGGCCTAATGACCTGAGTTTAATGAAGATAAAGTTCTTCGGTGGGGTTTAAAAAAGAAGACGCTTAATACAAGACTTAATTTAATTCTTTATTGTTAACAAATAAGGGGTAGCAAATGATGATGGTGTCTTAAGTCCAAGGTAATCAAGTAAATTACAGACCATTACAAAATAAAATAACCCAAGCTTCCCTTCAATCTTTACAAGCTCAAAGCAAAGGCAGCAAACCTAAAAATAGCAGAAAAATGAAACTACCACAGATCACAGCCACTGCAGCAAAACTATACGGCAATTCTGAGCCTCGCAGTCAATTATCACACGGTTTTTAGTACAACGGAATTATAATGGTCAGCACACAAGCAGTACTCAAAGACTCAATGTCCTCATGACTGCACAAATAACAAATGATATTCACTTTTGAGCAAAACATGTTTGTTACTATGTTTGTTACTGCTGGACAAATGCTTTGAAATGAACTAACTCATATTTGTTTTGCAGTAAAGGTCTCAAAACCAAGCCAGAACACAACAATAAAAGAAAATAAAAGAAGGCCTTATTGAAAGGTGCTGTGAGTTTTGTTTTACTACAGTACTATAAATTAAACTAGACAATGGCAACTGAGGGAAGGGTCACTGAACTCCATTGTTAACTACAGCGATCAAGTACATTTAAGGTTCATTATGATGGATTATCAATATTTACATCACTGATAACTGAGTACTTAATAAATAAATAGGTAAGTGAAATATTTAATTCAGTCAGTGAAAGATAAGAACCATAACGTATGCAGAATGTGTCCTACAAGAATTCACTGAAAGAACTGTTGACGTTCTTGTGCTACTCAGACTTAAAGGCATGATGAGATATTGTCCATTTTCCAAAACAGGTCAATAATCATATTTGGAGCAAAGTTCTGAAATGTCCTCAAATACAAAATGTTACTTGATTGTGGCAGTATACATTCACTTAGTTTTGTCAGTACAGTAAATGAAATCACAGAAACTCCTCAATTAATGAGAAAGTGGACAAGTATGTACTCACTCAAATACATCAGAGCTGTATTATTATTGTTCAAAAGTTCAAATAATACTAGTTTACAACTGGTCATCAGAATAATAAGGTAATGACTAGTTACACAATTACAAAAATGTGGAAGGAGAGGTCTATGAATTTTTATAATGAATCTAACATTGACAATCAATATCCGAGATTCAATTCAACACTTATTACACTCGGCTATATCTGAGCATAGAACATTCAAGACAAAATGAGCTACAACAACAATGAAGGAAAAGCAGATGTCTTCCCACAAATATCAAGCTGCCAAAAGGAAACAGGGAATAAAGCTAACCCATACACATACGCAGTTAATATTGTCAAATGCAATAAAAAAAATCATTTAAGATTGAGAAACAACAGATAAAGAAAAAAAAGGATGTTTTTTAGACAACTTTGCTTGGAGTACAACTGCAGAAGGACATATCAACAAAACCACATACGGGTAATAAATTTGCATTAAGGCAAAAGACAAACACTTCCCTTGTGTTCTTCTGATAAGTAAAAAATGAGCCAACAACCAATCAAATCATGAACAAAAAAGCAACTTTATTAGAATAACTTATGTTTGCTTCTGAAACCGAGCAATGAAAAAACCAATTGTGTCTCTTTCACAATGGTTGTTTTCCTCATCTGTATCAACACTTGGCACAAATTTCTGGATACAACTCAGTTCTGTTGATGACAGGATGTTGGAGGAAGCAGACTGGAAAAGAACAAAGTAAGAAACAAATTTATGAAGTTTCTATAACTCATACTGAGATCACTCCTACAATTAATTCTGAACAGTACCTTGTTAAGAGCAGAGTTAAAAAAGCGAGGTTCTGCAGGAAGAAGTGTCAAGCTTGAGAAGTGGTCCAGAGCCCAACGCACAACCCCCTCATTCTCTTCGACAGTAACAGTACATGTGCTGTACACTAATATCCCCCCTGGCTTCAACAGTGACACAGCCTAAGAGGAAAAAATGCTATGTTAAATACTCTTAAAATAAACATAAGGTTCTATAAATTTCATAATGTACATACCGTTTTAAAAAGTTTCTTTTGAAGTGGAGGAAAAGACGCCACATGCTTCATATCAATTTCCTCTAATTTAGGTCGCTGTCCCAATCCACTGCATGGAGCATCAAGAAGGATTCTATCAAAGAGGCATGGGGAGAAAGGAGGACCTCTCTCCAAGGAAGAGTGGTTGCAATCATCATCACTTCCAGATGCTTGTTCTATTTTCACAGCTTTCACAGAGTCAAAGACAAAGGCTGCAACATTCCTGACTGACATTTCCAAACAAACTTGGCGTAGCTTTGATATTCGGGATGCAGATCTGTCCAGTGCTATGATGGCACCCTAAATTGAAAATGATTTGAAAAAAAGGTTAGAAGTTTAAAAAAGCTAGTAACAAAACTTAAATAATAAACAAATAGATTGGTAATTTTACCTCATTATTCATCAGAGCAGATAAATGCGTGGTTTTGTTTCCTGGAGCAGCACACATGTCTAATATGATTTCTCCAGGTTGCGGATCAACTACACGTCCACACACAATGGATGGGAGATTCTGCATGATAGCCATACCAGGCTCAAATAAATTTTCAGGCAATGATGGACAGCCAGACTCATTGTCCGTCACAAGAACAGCAATCCCCCTATGAATATTGTAGATGATAGGTAAGACATGCATTAATTTTTTTAATGCTCTAAACAGTAATGCATTTTAAGAAAGTATGACTAACCGGCTGAATCCATTTTCACAAAAAATCTGTTTTCTGTCCATGAGCAAAACACCATTTCCCACAAACATGCGACTCTTTTCATTGAGCTTCTGAGTCCAGCCTCGTTTACTCACGCCACAAATATCTGCATAGATACTAACTATGTCTCCTTCACGAGCTCCTGAAAATAGCCAGTAGAGTTGGATGAACATGTACAAACACAGTGGGGAAAAGAATCTTTGGTCCATAAATTACCTGGCAACAGGCCAATGACACCTGGCACAAAAACATGAGCTCCTCTTAGAACAGCAGCACCACAGGCACGATCCACTATTACTTCCGAATCATGTCGAGGTAGGTCTTCACTTCTGTCCCAGCATCCAAAAGCCACAGCTTCAGGAAACTTAGGATGCTGCCAGACCGGTGGTATGGCAGAAATGGTGCCAGCTTGGGAGCGATCTTCTGCGAGCTAAATAAATAGTGGCAATTGTTCCATTTAGCATTACCTCAGCAGAACTAGAAGACCCACCGGCTCATTCTTAATGACAGAACAGGCTTTACCTTTGCAAGAGACTGTTTCAGGATTTCCAAGAAATGCACAGGATTTGTTGTCAGAGAATTCACACGGAATGTAGTAAATTTAGGTGTTCTTCTACGCCAAACTAAGAGCTTGCTAAAATCGTCCTCAAAGGACAACCCTCGATTTTCTGAGGGGGCTGGCAGCATGGTACCAGATAATAAATAAAGTGTGTTGACTGGACAGTTAGCGGGAGGTAAGCCTCTCCTAAAGAAATAATTCACCAAACAAATCAGAATAGTAGCAAGCACACAAACACTGTGCTAAATGGGTATAAGAAAATTACTTACGTCACTGCCGTTAGGTTCCTGAACTTTCATTACATCAGGTAGGTCTGGAGGAGATGAGTATGGGGTAATATCAAGAGACTCAAACTGTCCATTTTCATCTCGTACGGCCAGGTTAACTTGTCCAGGGCTTTGAGCTTTAGCAGCATTGGCAGTGATTCCATACTCCATTAATTGGTGTGAGTCTTCCATTTCAACACTGTCCTTATTGGACAATTGTTGATTCTCAGGAGCAAACTTGGTAATTCCTTGAATCATTTTTTTCAGCTGCAAAACAGTGGTTGTTTCCTTGGCATCAGTGAAAATTGTGAGCTTTTTCCGCCGGATCATGAGAAAAACATCCATTTTGACTGCAACAGAGTTGACCAGATTTTCATGGATGAAGGCCGAGGCAGCGCTTGTCTGTAAAGCAAATAAATCTGACTTTATGCCTGAAACACAGCAAAAACTGCTTCGTCGGCAGCCGCCTAACCTAACAAATACAACAATACTTGCCCAGACGTTCGGAACCCTATCACTTGGGCAGTCTTCAACGATCTTGAGATGGAGGAAAATTGAGTGATAGGTGACAAGCCGTATCTAAAGACTTAACTAAAATAAACAAGCACAAGGAAACGATTTGTGTTGTGTGCTCTGCTGGGCAGGCTGGCTGCTGCCCAGGGCAGAAATGGTTCCCGATTCAGATCGGTGTTCAGTGTTTTGTTTTTGCTTTTGCTGCTCCTCTCAGCCACGAGGCTCGTGATATGAGAAACTAGCCAGCCCTTCCTGTCGTTTTCGTTTGTGGACTGTGCTCGGGACTCGGGGACGAGGATGACGCCGTGGCTGCTGGTGCTGCTGGTGGCGGCGGCGTGCTGGGTGGCAGCCTTCACGGCCTCCGAGGCCTTCCCCAAGGCGTCGGCGCGGCTTCCTCAAGGTATGACTGGCGCTTCAGGGCCGAGGCTGGCCCAGGGATGGGATCAGGGGAAGTCCGTCGTTGGCAGTGTGACTGCACTGACACGACGGCCTGTGGGTGCAGGTGCCGGCACGGCTAGGTCCGGGGCCAGCACCCTGACGCAGGCCAGGCCCGCCCTCCAGGGCCGCACGTTCCTGTGCATGTTCGCGTGGGGCTGCGGCGACGACGACGACGACTACTTCGACGTGCCGCACAAGAGGAAGACGCACCGCAGGCCGGTGGCCGTAGCGGTGAAGCGAACCACCCAACCACTGACGTCGACGCACCCGCCGACGTCCCCGCCGACGCCCCCGTCCCCGCCGCCGCCCTTCCCCCAGGTGGCGTACCTCCCGGTGCCGTTGTACCCGGCCTACGCCGGCTACCCGGGCATGTTCCCGGGCTTCAACAAGCCGGGCGGGCAGCAGCCGTGCTACAACTGCCACAGCGCAGGGGACACCATGACGCAGATCGTGGTCAACAACACCGGCACCCTGGTCATCAACAGTAACTCCCTGCACAACGTGCAGAGCAAGGACAGCAACGTGATCAGCAGCACACAGGCAGATGCGGTGACCACGCTGACCGCCAAGACGACCACCACACAGGCCACCAGGACGACCACCACAATGGCTGCCAGGACGACCACCACGATGGCTGCCAGGACGACCACCTCACAGGCCGCCAGTGCGACCACCACACAGGCCGCCAGGACAACCACCGCACAGGATACTGTGCCGACCAGCACCTCGAGTGACGGCCTGGAGACTGACCACGATCACAACGACTACCAGGAGGCTGACCTGGATGACAGGATTCTCACCACAACGGCACCACTAGGCAAAACTCAACACCGCACCCTCGCCGCGTTCAGCCCCTTCGGCATGATCAACGGCATGGGCGGGGGTATGGCCGGGGGCATGGGCGGGGGCATGGGCGGGGGCATGGGCGGGGGTATGGCCGGGGGCATGGCCGGGGGTATGGCCGGGGGTATGGCCGGGGGTATGGCCGGGGGCATGGCCGGGGGCATGGCCGGGGGCATGGGTGGGGATATGGCCGGGGGCATGGGCGGGGTCATCGGTGGCGGCTTCGGCGGCATGGGTGGCGGCTACAGCGGCATGGGTGGCGGCTTCGGCGGCATTGGTGGCGGCTACGGCGGCATGGGCGGCGGCGACAGCGGCGCCAGCATGATGGCGGACAGCGGCAGGGCGTCGTTGATGGCGGTGCCGCGGAGGAAGGCCGTCGGCTTGGCCGTCGGCCCGGGGCCCGAAAAGGGCAGGGACGGCAGGAACCCGCGTCGCGGTAGACGAGCGTGGGGGTGGGGGGCGTCATGAGTGGCGCCAGAAACTGGACCAATAAAGCACGCAGTGTAGCCCCGCCAGGCCGCCGTCACTTGATAGCCCTACGCGATGTGGCCACCACGAGGTGGCCGTCGAGGTGGCCGTCGAGGTGGCCGTCGAGGCGGCCTCCAATCGCTCCACTCGCGCGCCGGCCACTGCGTGGAGCGGCACTCCGTCATGACGAGTAAGATTTTCTCCTCGGCAGGCTGATTCCGACCAACCGTTCGTCGCTCTGTCTCTGCCGCGCACTTGCGGGGTGCCCCATGCGTGCGAGAGAGACAGCGCGACTTGTGGGATCAGCCGGCTGCTACTTGCACGCGGTTTCGCGGAGCCACGGCCCCGACTGGGCCCGGATGGCAAGCAATGGCAAGCCGGGCGGGCTGCTCACCCGCTCCCTGTCCAGCGCTTGCGCCGAGGCTTGCGCGCCACGCTGGCCACGCCGTCTGCGCCGCGCTGCTGGCGGGACTGGCGGTGCTGGCCGCGCTGGCGGTGTGCAACGCCGCGGCCGTCTCGCCGTCCATCACGGTCGCCGTGTCCGTCAACGGTACCTTCTTCAACACCACCTTCACGGAGGAGGACTTGGTAGACGCGCCCAACAAGAAACCGGCAGGTACGAAGTAGCGCCACCGCCCGACCGCAGACTGCTGCACTGTCTCTCTTGCACTCACTGGGCGTCCGGGTGCGAGAGAAACAGAACGACGAAACGCAGTGCAACGCAGTGCTCTGCTTTGCAGGCCGCGCGGAGCTCGCCGGCAACTGCACTGCTGAGGCCTGCCAGGGCTACTGCCGCCAGCGCCTGCACGCGTCGGGCCGCTGCGACGCGGACCAGTGCATCTGCAGGAACCTCAAGGACAAGGGCAGGTGCTTGCTGCCGCCCAACTTCGGCTGCGGGGGCGGCAGCGGCGGCGGAGGCGGGGGTGGGGGTGGGGGCGGCAGCGGCGGGGGTGGCTGCGGAGGCTGCTGCGGAGGCTGCGGCTCCATCGTCAACAACAACAACAATAACAACGTGATCGTCATCAACAAGTCCAAGGCCGACGGGGAGCAGGGCGAGTAGGAAAGAAACACACGAGTGTCATGTTAAAAAAAGTGCACGCACCCTCTTTATTGAAACAAAGAGCATAATAGTATGCTTTATTTGAAAAAGCTTATTTTTCTCAGTCAGTGCAGCTAGCAATCAGCTCGTAGTAGTACAAGGAAGTAGCCGCCAACAGGCAGAAATTGTGTTGCGGAGTACTTATTGTATACCTCCATAAGTTTATCCCTCAAAGAGATGAATTGAACTCAATAAGTGAACGAGAAAGGAAATCAATAACCGAGTAAGTGTACTCCGTTGTATGGAAACGTTTTTGACGCTCTCGTAAGGCAACCTTTTTGTATACATAAATCATTTACCTGTCAATTGGGATTGCACATGGCCTTCTGTACTGTTTGCGTGGGTGTACCTTTTGAATACAGTTTTATGATCTTCTATTGCTCTCATACACAAAATGGCATATAAAATCTGAGCGACTTGAGAATAACATGAGCTTTTCCACGTGTAATTGTTCCTGATAATTTGAGAACCCTTAACAGTGCACTTGTTATCACAAGGTAAAAAATAACAAGAAGCAAAATTATCTTCCATTCTCAGGGGAAAACCACAACGGCCAGAACAATTTTTTGAAGTCATAGTTGCCCCCGATAGCTTAACAGTATGAATAGTAAAATCAACAATGACACGATACAACCAACAAGACATTACAAAATTTACAGGGTCAAGGTGGTTCTTGCAAAGTGAGTGCCTGAGTTTTGAAAAACGACGGTTAAGCCATGTGGAAATGGAAAGCCATCACTGTGGCAAAAAGGTACGGAAAATCCTGTTAATTTTTTTGCCAGGATTCTCCGTAGCCCTCTTATCAATATTCTCCGTAGGCTCTTACAGTATTCTCCGTAGGGCCGCACAGTATTCTCTGTAAATCCGCACAGTCTTCTCCGTAGGACCTCGAAGACTGTATAGTCCTACGGAGATCACTGTGCGGTCCTACGGAGAATACTGTGCGGTCCTACAGAAAATACTGTAAGAGCCTACGGAGAATATTGATAAGGGGCCTACGGAGAATGACCACAAGCTGTTAACAGAATTTTCCGTAGCTTTTTGCCACAGTGATTGGTAATGAATGGAGTGACAGGACGACAGCCGTTGCAGGAATCACCCTAACTCATCACACATACACACACACTTGAAAATATAACAATCAACCTTCACATGAACGAAGCATCAAGTCGAGCGACGTGACAAGTACAGATAATTTGAGTTACAACAAAATGGGCCTGAGATATCATACCTGCTAAGGTTACCCCTCTGAGTATTGTTCTTTCGTAAGTAAACAAAAAAGATCCTAGGCACTTCAACAACCGTGTACAGCTACTGGGAAAAAATTAGCAGTTAAACCAGGAGGAATGAAATGGCTAATTCAAAACTATGAATGGATGCCGATATGTCGTATCGCCATCCCTGGAAGTTTGGGTGTAATGTCAAATCGCGTTAATTTACCATTGAAAACAAAGATAATAAAAATCTAAACAGCGGTAAAATGGGAAAAGGCCATGAGTTTGTCAGTGTACCCACAAGAGTTTTCACCAAACATACATACACACACACTCAAAGAGAAGATCAGATAAATTGGGTTTATTGTTTAGTTTGCTGAAGGTATTATTGGAAAGATTTTGAAATGGCATTTATTTGGTTCAGGACATTTTTATCGTTGTCTCAAGTTTACTTTCGTAGTTATTCCAATAAATTCAAAATTTAGTCCCACCGCCAAAACCGGACGAAAAAGTTTGACTATTAGGACAACTAGTTTGAACGTGTGAGCATATGATCAATGAATTCTTTTAATTTTGCAAAGAGTCAACTGGAAATTCGTTTTCAAAAGTTCTTGAGGACAGCTGGGAAGACAAACTGACTGACGGGATCAAATTTTCACGCCTCCGACGGGTGGCTAGAGTACTCGAACCGTGGGTCAAAAAATATAGGAACTGTAATTGATAGATTTCTAGTTGCACAGTAGAAAAATTGTACAAGGACATCTAATTACAGGAACGTCGTATGATCTCTGATTTTAAAATTATAACTAATAAAAAATCTTTAAGTAACGTTTCAGAATGGCTCATCTTTGGGCATCCAATGAATATACCTCTCATTTCCCTCGCTAATTGACCCAGACGGAAATCAGGACGTCTATGGACATCCAGTAGACCTACACAGACATCTAACTACAGATATCGTTTTCTTTCCGCGGGAGGGGACGTGGCTCCGGGTAGGCGTGAAAATGAACAGTCTTGAGCAACCTGACAGTCAATATCAAAGTATCGACTCCACCCTCAAAGCAGACGTCGTCCGCAGTTAGTTCAGAAACTTGTCTCTATCATTAATATTGATACCTCACGCGTCCTTACATCAGATCCAAAAAAATCTAGCTACTTAAAATGAAACTTTCATACTTACAACCAAAGCCTTACATCTTTCTCATTAAAACAAATAGGTGAGAAATTGTGGACGGTCAAAATGGAATACTCTGGCTTTTAAGCCACTTCCATTAACCTCCAGTCAGCCCCCACCCTTTGTGAGGTCCAACGTGGTCAACATTCGCCGTTGCAAACGTGCTGATAAAAAATCGTTGAAAAATAAACGATGAGAAGCAAACTAGAAGTACAATGCTTACAAAACATAACAAATACAGCGGGTTGTTTAGAAAAATTGTGCCTTAATGGAACTGTGCGTGCCAACTTTCCATTTTAAACCTTCTCACTTAATTTCCAGTTTCAGAAGGTCTGCAAAGTTGGGGTCAATCAGGAGCTGAAATCTCTACAAATGTCAACGGTTGCATCATGAAAAGCATCCTCGAGAACAGTACAGAGAAAATGAAGCAAACAGTACAATGACGTCGTACAACCCGTGACTCTTCTTAATTTGAGAACAGGATCAAATTGCGATTTAAACTTCGACCAAATGAAGTACGAATATTGAGAACAGTGATATCAATGATCAATAAAACAACAAATACCTTAGGTAATATATAATCTGGATAAACTTTGAGCAACAATCCTCAATTCAAGCCATTTTAAATTGCATATAATGGTGGTTAGTTCCACTACTCTCCCTCCAACAGCGGCTCCTTATCAAAGCCCTTGTATTTGACTATTAAAAAAATGGTAGAAAAAGAAGGACGTGTTCACCGGCGTGTAAAGGGCCATCTGCACCTTAAGCTGCAAAGGCTTACTAAACATTTTTTATTTACATAACAATTCCATAAACGTTTTGTGCTTTGGAAATTTTTAAAAAAATTCAATTTAACCAAAATAAATAAACAAGAGCCCTGTCCACACTGGCGGCGCATTCACCCTGTGCCGTTGTTTAACAAAAAGACTTTAACAAGCTCATCTAACAATACATTCGATCTGTGCCTTACTGAGGCAAGTATGGTGGGGCCACCACTTGTTATCCTTCGACGAGAAAACTCAAAGTCGAGAAAATTACAAAAAACGTAAACAAATATTTTGAAATTTTTGTGTCAGAGTTAGAAGCAGGGTTGTGCGCACACAAGAGTGGATAATTTGTTAACACAACACTTGGTTGACGGGTGCGTCCATGGTGGCACTGTTGTTGGTACATTCGGCAGTGACATGATTCAACAATCTTGTATTACATTCCTAATTTCGTCTGGTAGATAAAAAACACTACCACATAATAAGAACAATATTTACAGCACAAGTGTGAAGTTAAAAAAAATACTGACACAAAAATGGAGTGCAGGAGATCAACAAGTGGGTTGCCCCAGCAGACTAAACGCCAGAGAACTGACGGTCGGCGTCCAAACAGCTAGCACCTCGCTGGCACGCACACAAATACTTCCAAGAAAAAAAACAACAGAACTAAACAAAACCAAACAAGAATGCAGAAAACTTGCTTCGTGATTCAATAATAAAATTGTCTAGAGTTTATTTTGAAGCGAAAGCACTTCTGCCCAGTACTTTATCAATGAAATAGATATCTTAAAAAATGGACAAGCACTTATTGTTTGCAAGCATCAGGTGGGTCAACCTCAGGAGCGGGTGGTCAACGTAGTGCCGGGCTGCAGATTCGTCTTCTGTCTTGATGAACCCACACACAAGTCCCTGACGCTCCAAAGAGCGCGCGGACACATGATACACTTTTAAAAACAAGTCCTTGTAAACGCTCCCGAAGTTGCTTTCCTAAAACCAACACCACCTTGCCTTGAAATACAAGCTGGTATGGCGTTCTCCCTTCATCTCCATTCGATTTTTGGGCCCAAATTCATTAACTTACATTGGCAGTTGCAAAGTCCACTACAAAAAAAAATCGTGTTTTCAGGCCGTTAGGTCCAATGGAGTTCATTTCGGGGAGTCTTTCCGCACGTACCATGCAACTTCACTCGAGAAAAAATACACGTACGCAAAAAAGTTCAATTCATTTATAAAATATTGCCAAGAATATACCGTAGCAGGATCCTCGTCGCGCCCTCCCCCTGTGGTCCACGCCACCGCCCCCGCAGAGGGTGGGTGCGTGCGGGCGGGCCCGTTTTGGGGAAGATGGGGGCCAGGCCGGCACGCGTGCCCACCCCCTGTAGTCCGTGGGGGCGGGGACCGCCAGCGCGTCCCTCCCGCGCGTCGCCCTCACCGCCCCCAGCTCGCCTGCCGCCCGCCCTGGCCCGGGGAAGTGGGTCAGAGAGGGGCGGGGGTGGCGGGGGCGGCGGGGCGCTGCGCCGGGGGGCCGCGCGGCCGGTCCGCAAATCTACTCCGTGTCGCTAAGGACGACGGGGCTCATGTGCGTGAACGGGAGAGGGGGGCGCGACCTTCCTCAGACATCCGCGAGGCGCGACGAGACACTAGGCGACCGCGAGTGGATCACCACGCGGTGGCCGTTCTTCGTGACGAAGCCGTCCGATTCGACGAGCACGGCCGTCTGGCGGCCGCCGCTGCCGGAGGACTCGTCGCCGTCCTCGCCGCCGGTGCCGGCGCCGCCACCGCCACTGGCGCTGTCGCCGGCCGGCGGGGCGCCGCCCTCCGCACCGCCCTCCGGACCCTCGTCGGAGGACACGCCGCCGCCGCGGTGCAGCTTGTGCTTGCGCCAGGCGTGCTGGATGAGGCGCGCGCAGTACTCCTCGCGCTGCCGCCACAGCGTCGACGACACCGGCTCGTAGCCAGCCTCGTCCGGTCGGCCGGGCTGCACCTGCAACGTCGGGGGGCACCAGCCTTTTTTTCAACATTGGGTTCTACAAGGTGATGGCGCTCACATGCTTTGCAAGTTTGCTTACAGTGCTGTGCTCACTGGCCCTACCTAGCTAACCAACTAGGCTATCGCTAATCCTAGACAAACCCCTGTCTCGGTGGGTCATTTACACCTACGCTAGGAAACTTGTTACAAAACATAATTGGAAATCTAATGAATAAAATCAGTCCTTTGTCGTGTATAACGGGATTGGCAGTCTAAGCCCCTTAACAGTGATCACTAGATTGATCTGCCTTCTCAGTTTCACTTGTCAGGTGGGTGTCATCAGACTTGGACTGATACTACAAGTACAAATCAAAATCCAATTCAGTTATTAAAAAACAAAAACAAAAAAATCTGATTTACCAATACTGAATGATTTACAATCTACAACTTAGGGAAAAAACACTTCACGTACTCTACGCCTAGAAAACCCCTTGTACCAATCGGCAATTATTATTTTTATACTGAATAAGACAAGGCGTCCGTCCAGAATGGCTTTGCTAACGTTATCTGAAGAAAATCGGGCAAATTGCCCATCTTCTATTCCTTTAAAAGTAAGACTTTTCTCTCTCAGTCAATTAATCACAGCACAGGATACAAGGAATTGATCCCACAGCCCGAAGCGTCTCTCACGCGGGTTGAAGTGGTCATTCGGCGACTTGTGGTGTCGCATGCATTTGCATTTATAGCTGTGGCATTCTCGTGGTCATACACATTCGTGATCGCCAGCGTAGCTCGCCCGAGTGCAGAGCTTTTAAAGAGGGCCATTTTTAGGACAAGCCACCAAGACCAACGAGCTGATGCGATGGCTTGTGTCATGCCGAAAAGGAACGTTTGCAAAAAGTTTCATTGTCTTTCGCGATCAAACTTAAAGCCGTGACGTACAAGAAAGGTGTTGTGTGAATAAATTTGTAAAATTTTGTGTTCTGCCCATTACTGCTAACAATTGTGCTACAACTGAAATTAAACAGTCAAAATATGTGCTAATTCGAAAAGATGCATACGAGCAGATTTCACAAATTAAATTAAAAAAATACACAAAAAAATGTATGGGTATTTTCGCTAGTTGGAAATCTTGCTCATTTGCATATGAGTTAACTTTCTCCATACTCTAAATAATTGACGAATATAAAATGTAACTAACTATGGAATGATTAAAAAACGGAGCGGGTGCCTAAAATGAATTATGTCGGTGAGTCAGCAATTAACACGACCTCTGGGCCAAAAAGTACCGATCTCGGTACCGCTCTAAACGCTACACTATGTTTCTGTAATGTGATAAATCTGAGCAATATGTAAAAATTACCTAGATAATGGTAAAAAAGAGATTACGAGTAATAAAACTGTCTATGGACGACTAACAGGATGTCAAACCTGACACGACCTCATCTCGTCCTGCACAAATACGTAGAATGCCGGAGAAACTTAGCTACGTACCTCGGCTAATTCACCCGTCTCTTCGATCGGGTTGCCCTTTCGGGCGAAGAAGTCTTTGGTTAGAGCATCGAGAATGTCGACGCAGAACATGAGGTCGCCCTTGCAGATCGGGATGTCCATGGAGACGATCTTGTACTTGTTGGGCTTGTGGATCTGCAGGGGTGGCTCCAGTACATCCAGGAAGTCCGACAGCTGGTCGTACCGGATGTACTGGGTTCCGTCTGGGTCGAAGTTCTGCCATATCTCGTAGTACATGTCGTAGTCGTCATCCGTCAGACCTTCCTGCACATCTTCCGTGGCCTGCGAGGGAAACATCAATGTTATAGCGTGTTCAAAAATACCAGCTCAACATTTTTCGCAGCCAGTACTTTGCCTTGGCCTTACCTGAGAGTAGTTTTCGAGGATGACGGCGATGTACATGTTGATGACGATGAGGAAGGAGATGACGAGGTAGGACAGCAAGAACGTGATGCCGATGGTCGACGAGCCGCAGTTGCCCGCGATGCCCATCTCGTTGTTCGGCTTGTCGCACTCCTCCTCGTTGATGATGCCGTCCAACACGCCGTCCCAGCCGGCCGACGTGGACATCTGCAAGCCGCCGTCGTTCATCACCCTCGCAACACAACGCCTAGGCATGCCCGCAACGCACTTCCGCGCGGTGGGCTGGCAGGCAGGCCCGCTACACACGGCCGCGCGGCGGGCTGGCCCACCCTCGCGATCACAGGCGCCTCCGAAATGGCATACGATCATGTGTGGTCTAGCCCTTAATGGTAATGGTAATGGTAGGCAGGCCCGCTACACACGGCCGCGCGGCGGGCTGGCCCACCCTCGCGATCACAGGCGCCTCCGAAATGGCATACGATCATGTGTGGTCTAGCCCTTAATGGTAATGGTAATGGTAGGCAGGCCCGCTACACACGGCCGCGCGGCGGGCTGGCCCACCCTCGCGATCACAGGCGCCTGGTAGGCAGGCCCGCTACACACGGCCGCGCGGCGGGCTGGCCCACCCTCGCGACCACAGGCGCTCTGCACCGAGCACTGTACCTGGAAGAGCAGGATCATCGACTGGCCGAACGTCTTGAAGTTGTACACGTCGTCCAGGCCGCTCTTGTCCTTCACGTTCATGAAGAAGGACATGCCGAAGATGGCGAAGATGAACATGACGAGGAAGAGCAGTAGGCAGATGTTGAAGAGCGCGGGCAGCGACATGGCCAGGGCGAAGAGCAGCGTTCTGATGCCCTTGGCTCCCTTGACGAGACGCAGTACCCGGCCCACCTTGGCCACTCGTACCACTCGAAGCAGAGTGGGCGACACGAAGTATTTCTCAATGATATCAGAGAGTACCAGACCTGCGGGAGCGAGAAGAGTTACAGGACCGAGCCGCGTGACAATAAAGTCCAATGAATCGATGAAAACTCACCTAAGATGGATAGTATAACTACTACAAAATCGAAAAGATTCCACGGTTCTACAAAGTAGTGATACCGCAGCGCAAATACTTTCATGAGACATTCAGAGCTGAATATAACAATGAATATCATGTTCAGATGGTCGAGAACCATACTAAACGTTTCAGACTGCTGGTAATGGTCAAGTGTCATGGTCAACATGTTGAATCCAATAAACAACATGATGATCATGTCAAATTTCTTATTGGTCACTATTTCGAAAACTATGGCTTGAGGTTTCCACTGTAATAGAAAAACAGTTTTAAGGCATGTGGACAAGCGTAAGACAACACTTTTGAAAGGCAAATGACAGCAAGATGGCGTTTGGGTCGGTTTTAATACATACCCTCGGTCTGGGAATGGCTTTCATTGGCTTTTTCGAACCCATCTTTTTCATTGCATTGTAGTATTTCTTCTGATCTTCAGTCATGAACATCTCTAGGGAACCTCCTGCCTTTTTCTTTTGCTCGTTGAAGTTGTCGATGATAACTCCGATAAACAGGTTCAAAGTGAAAAATGAGCCAAAGATAATGAAAAAGACAAAGTACAGGTACATGTAGATATTTGTTTCCCTAATGGGTTGTTTGTTTATCTGGAAGAAAAAATAGACTGTGAAAACAGGATGTTCAGAAAACCAGTAGTTACTCAATAGTTTTTGAACACCATTTAACAGTACCTCTCTAGAGTCTATGGCATCGTTCATGATCTGAATCCAGCCCTTGAATGTGGCAACTTGGAACAGACATAAGTAGGCCTTGCCCACGTGATCGAAATTCATCGGTGAATTTTCCCACGTGTAGTTCTCCGCAATGCAGGCGTTTCTGTCTGGGATGATCTCGTGGCTCAATGTTGTTTTGTTAGCGTCCACACACTAAAATAAGGAACCATTGGTCAATTACAAATTACCACTAAAAAAAATCAAGAATGCACTCACTAACTATATACACGCAAGTACCTTAAAATATTTTCCGGCAAATAATTGCACTCCCATGATGGCAAAAATTAGCCAGAATATAAGGCACACCAACAATACGTTGAAGATACTAGGTATGGCTTGCACCAAGGCATTGACGACAACCTGCACAATGAAACCAGTGTTAGCAGAACAGAAATAAAAGTTTTATTTATATGTGCACGTACTACTTGACAAAAATATATTTTATTTTAAATTTACAAAATAAAGAAACGTACATTTACTGTCGTAAAATAATGCGATTCAGCTACGCCTACGCTACGTAAACACCAAATAAAGCATAATATAGAATCAGAGCGGTGTCTACAAACAGCGAGTATTGCAGGTAGAATCAACGAAACGTTGACAATGTCTGGTTTTTGAGCACTGCAGGCTCTATCAGATCAAAAGCTTCTAAGCAGTAACAGACTAACAGAAGAAGGTGGTTTGGAAAGACAGAAGGGTCTGGGTTTCAGGTTGACAGGGTAGTTGGCTTGCGCTCATGCTTATAATATAAACTGTGAAAGGGAATAAAATGAGAGGTTCAACTAGTCTATTGTAGTTACCAGATTTTAACAAAAATTAAGTTTTAAGCATCTCAAAGGCAAATTTTAGAAAGAAAATGAATTTCTAAAGTTGTTGGCCTTTGGCTAAGGCTTTAGTGATAAATTTCATGTGAAACTTTTATCAAATCAAAGAGTATATTAACGGAAATGCAAATAAGAAATCAGGATAACACGCCAAATACAGTGCGGTGATAAAAAAAAATCTGCTATGGCCAACTTAGTATTTAAATAGAAGTGGTTTCGTTCAGCTTTCTATTTTTTACATACCCTCATTCCCTGCATTCTAGACATAGCCCTAAGGGGCCTAAGAGCCCTGAGAGTCCTCATTGTTTTGAAGGCTTGAATGCCACCAGCCCCAACCAGGGACGCAACGAAGTTTATGAGGGAGACCTGAAGTTATCACAAAGACAATACGGTGGTCTTAGAACTTTTACATACGTTTGGTAGAAAAAATGCCTTGTTGGTGGAAAGTGGGAATTGGTGACCGAACAAGACGAAGGTTTCCAAGTGGGAGTTCGTCAACATGAGAGAGACCTTGGACACAGTGATTGACAGTCGAAAATGTTGACAATACGAACATGAAATGAGTGAGGTGTGGGTGAAAGAAAAGTGTGTAAGAGGGGTGAGGGGAATGTCCTGTGGGCCTGGAACAGAGTGAAACACAGGGTGGGGCTGCACAGCGCAGCACGGCACAGGCAGCGCCCCGGCCGGCAGAACAAAGAAGCTACACAACACGTGGCCGTCAGGGCCGGGACTGACGTACATCTGGCGCACACCACGTAGTGCAGGAAGGCAGTAAACGAACATCACACACATGTCAAACATTGAAAGCTCTGGCGGCACTGTAATGTAAAGTAGAATTATGTGCAAACAAAGAGGTGCTGCTTCCCTTCAGCAGAGCCATTCTTTTCAGACAATATTTTGAATTCCTTTGCATAGAACGCAATGAAGTAGACTCTTACTAAAGGTAGTGGCTTGAAATTTGGACTGTGCTTAGAGGGAAGCGACACGTTTCATGGCCGATCAACTGACGACAGAGACGAAGAGGCGCAGGGTAGCATCAAACACTGTACAATGAAGTGTGGCACGCGAAACGCGAAAACAAGAACAAAACAACAAAACAGCAGAGAAGAGAGACAGAGACAGAAGGGGTTACGTCGGGCCTCATCACAGCGTTACGGCAGCACAGCCGGGCCTCAAGCATGCCGTCAAAGCGGAAATAGCAAGATTCGTTCTGCTCGGACGGCAAGCAGAGAAAGGTCTTCTCTGACACCTGACACACACACAGCAAGGCGTTACTTTACTTACGCGCATGCCCTCCCAGCGCGACACCGCTCGGAGCGGGCGGAGCGCGCGCAGTGTTCGCATCGACCGAAAGGCAGGAATGTCTGCCGCTCCCGCCATGATGGCGGCTAGGTTTACCAGAGACAGCTACGCACAAAGTGGCAATCAGACAGGCCTGGGAGAAGGGGCGGTTCTTGGGCATTTTCAGTGTTTAATCGGTACTGAACCGATAAAAAAAACAGTGCATCGGCAGTGGGAAAACCTGCAATATTTTCTTGCGACACGACTGCTTGCGTGGAAAGCAAGTTCAAGTACCTACTTCTGCAAAATTAAATGCCTTTTAATGAACTGGTGGAAAATTTGTCACTCTACTAAGTTTAGCCGTGGGAGATGAAATTATGAATGAAAAAATAAGGGTGTGAATATGAGTGGTTTCATTGAAATAAAGAAACAATTGGTGACTAGTTTTAGATCTGTGGGAAAAGTATCATTATTTCCTGTCAGGGAAAATTTCACTAAGAAATCCTGAAATTTGGATCTTCGCCTGAAATATTAAAATACTTTTAAAGGTTTCAAAAATAGGGTGTAAAAACAGGAGCTTACCATGACAATGACGAAGTCAAGCCAGCACCAGGCGTTTGTAAAATACTTTTGGAAACCCAGTGCCAACCATTTTATTAACATCTCAAGAAAGAATATCACAGTGAATATTCTGTCCATGTAGTAAAGAATATCTTGTAAAATGGGCCTACTTTGTAAATGGACATCCTCGAGAGCCTGGACACACAACATTTGGGTCAGTATTTAGCGTCAAGTATGGCAGTGAGGCGAATTTAAGCGTCGTACTTACCAAGGCCATACTACTAAGTAAGATCATGGTTATGACAGCCGTCTCGAAGTACTTGTTCTCGATCAGCTGGTAAGTCTTGAGTCTCAGGTTGGCCCAGCCCTGCCAGAAGGGGGCGTCGTCGTCGCCGGCCAGGAAGGGGAACCGTTTGTAGCAAGGGTCCGGGCAGCAGTCTGCGGGGTACTCGCCAATCAGCACGTCCTCCGTGTTGTCGGCGATGATGATGTCATCCATCTCCCCCTCCCCCTCGCCCTCCGCCTCGCCTTCCAGGTCTGCAAACCACACCGTTCAGAAAACGCCGCCCCGCCACACGGACTGCACACCAACAGACGCATGCCTTACCTGTCTCTCCCCTGTCACCTTCCAAGTCTTCTTTGCTGGCGTCTTTCTTCTCCTCTCCGTCCAGCGTCTCGAGACTCCCTTTGTGGCTTTCGTCCTTGAACGGCCTGTTTTTGTGGCTGCCATATGAGTGATTGCTGAAAAATTGGGTGGCGAGCAAAATATTACCATATGCAACGGGTTTGATATCGGCCAGAGAAAAGAATATGCTTACCTAATATTGTCATCGTCATATCTGTGTTTTATAAAGTCGCTTTCAAAGCGGTTGTCCTGGTGATTCCCTGTGATGGAGTTCCCGATGGCCTTCGTATTGTTTAGGAATTTTCCCTTCCTCAGCTTGTTTTTCAGGTCTCCTTCGGGGTAAGCGGCATGAAAGAAAAGAAAACCGGACATTCCCATAAAAGCACTTTGTAGGACAACACCCAACACAACATTCACTCTAACTACCACAGAGATGCGTGCAATCAAATCGAAGGACCTACGCAGCTGTCTCGTGCACGCTAGGAATTGGCCTTCTAAATTGGTCACATAACTAGGCCATAATCACATGGGTTCAAACATTTCAGCCATTCATACGAGGGTTAATCAAGCTGACACTAGCGACAGGAAGGTCCATCATTTGAGCCTCTCAAACACGTAACTACGACACATTGCAGGCGTTACGAAAACAAGTTATCACTACAGGTATGGCACAAATGACTAGTTTTCTGACTGTGGAGTTGACCAACACAAATGCCTTTATTCAGACTGCCTCTCTGCTGGCAACTAGTGCGTACGTCAGCAGCGACCAGGGTTCCGGGTTAAACCCAAAAGCTGCCCATCCATGCAAGCTTAGTTAAGCTAATATACAAGGTCGAATGCCGTTCCACAACACTGATCTAAAGGTGTCGCAACGCACCAAAACACACAGTCAGATACTGATCACCTGGTTCAGATAAATACGCACCATGTATGGTAAACTCCATTCCGTCCCCGATCGCCATCTCAAGCTGCGTGTTTGGGCTTTTCTTGTCTCTAAACACGTGGCCACCATCTGCAAGAATCTCGTCAGCTCCCAAATCAAGGTCAAGCTCTCGGTTTGCTGCAAGAGAAGGAAACACAAGTATTTATTATTTAAAGTACTCATCAAAAATCCATTTACCGTTTTAAGAGAAAAACTTGTTGCTTACAGTGGGTGACTTGATCGGAGATCTGATTTGTCAGCTTGTTCGTGACCATTTTGATAGCATCCCTTATGCACTGCTTTATCCAGTTGATAAACCTTGATATCCGGTCGAATGCCTCCGCAATCTTATTTGTATCACTGTCCGCCGTTGGAGCGTATAAATTGGAAGACCCAAAATTGGACAGGAGCAAGGCAAGGAAAAGATTTAACACGACCAAGTTGCCGATGACTACAGTTGCTAGGAAGAAGGGGATGCATGACCAGTCTCCAACCAACATGCAGTCCCACATGGACTCGATCCACTCTCCACAAAGGACCCGGAAGACGATCATAAAGGAGTGCATGAAGTTGATGAAGTTCCATCTTGGCATTTCTCCCCCGGGAAATTTATCAACGTTATCTGAAATAAATAAAAAATTGTACTTGCATATATTTTTTTTAAACCGTTTGTAATATTTTATGTGTATTAATATTTACCATAGTAGTTTTTGCCGAAGAGCTGCATACCCATCACGGCGAAGATGAAGATGATAATGCATAACACGAAGATCAAGTTACCCAAGGCACCCATGGTCCGGCCCATGATAGAAATGAGCAGGTTGAGCGTGGGCCACGACTTGGCAAGCTTGAACACTCGGAGCTGAAACACAAGGTTACCTTTAGAACATGTCACGCACAACACGGCGGTAACCCACGGATGCACTCACCAATCGGAAAGACCGCAACACTGAGAGGCCCTGGACTCCCTCGAGACCCAGCTCGAGTAGAGACAACGCAACGATGATGAAATCGAAGATGTTCCATCCCTCTTGGAAGTAGAACTTTGGGCTCATGGCAATCAGCTTCAGAGTTGCTTCAATGCCGAAGGTCGCCGTGAAAAACTGGAGAAAAGACAAAACACGATGATGTTTTCTCAAGTGTGCCGGAATAAGCACAAACATAAAATTCAAAAGATAGTAATAACTTACGTAGTTTCCGCTTTTGAGCGCTGCGTCCATTTCGGGATTCATGTCGTGATGATCGAGGGCCATGAACAAGGTGTTGACCACGATGCAGAGCGTAATAAAAAGCTCTACAAAGGGGTCAAACACGAGTTGGCCCACCCAGTGCTGGAACTTGAGCCAGCACCAACAGCAGTCCCAGACGCAGAAAATGTCGATGCCGCGCAGTGAAGCAGCTATCATTTTCTCCTTGAAAGTAGGCTCCTCCTCGTCTTCTTCTGTTTGTTGAAAATAATAGACAGACACTGTACGTGGTCTTAGTAAGGTTGTTCCGGAGCCACTCTTTTTGGGGAAAGAGCTTTGTGTTACTCTACTGTAAAGCATGCACAATACGCAAGGGTCTCGTAATGAAAGGACCCCTTGCATGTCAGTTAGCTGATGACACTTCTTTAAGTGATATTTTTTTCACCATCATGGAAGCAGAAAGGAGAAGTAGGTTGTTGCTCGGACAAAGCAAGGAAATGGCACACAGTACGAGGCAGAGGTCTCATTCGGTTTGAAATGTTAAGGTAAAGCGCAATTCTGCAGCAATCGTGCCTGAGGCGCAAAAAGACACTCAATAATTTTTCCAAACAGGCATCTGTCTTCAATTAAGAGGACAGCTTAGAATTAAAAGAGACTTAGCAGAAGCGTCAAGTTGGAGAAGACAGGCGAATATCAAACGTGCTTTCTCCTCCTTTCGGAACAAAGTCCTTATTTCATTTTCGTGTTCTACTCGCTAGAGTTAGTGAGATTGGTGTAGATTCTAATGCTCAAACGCATTGTGTTATCAGCTAAACTGTGTAATCTAGGTTCCAAAGGGAAGCTCTTTTAAAACAGAAAAAAGTGCTGCAATATTCCACGTGTACCGCGTCCGGCGCCATCTGCGACTGAAGCACTTCTGAAAAACAACAAAGGCGGGGTCCACGCAGAAGTGTGTGCAGAAAACGCCACCGTGCCTATGCTGAAATAGCTTCCCTTTGGATAAACATTCAAACTGTGAAAACGGACATTTTGATGGTTTCTAAAAATGTTACAAGAGCTGTGCTGATTTAAGTCCCCACTTAGTCGGTGGGGCAAAAGATATCAAACACTTTGACACCAACATTTTTTGTCATATTTTCGCAGCTTTGTATGAGTAATACGCTTAAAATGTTAACCATAAGGAGAGTGTGAGAAGCAGTTTTGCCACCGCCACCAACTTCGAAAGTGAAAGCGTTAAATTTACTAGAAGAAAAGGTGTAGCAGCCAAACGGGCTGTTTTTGAATTTTCAGCAGCAATATTTTAAAAGGATTTGAGTTTTGCTAGCCATAATGAAGAAGCGAATTGGTATGACTGGATCGCTATCACAGACAGTTGCCGTTTCTTCAGGTAGGGACTTCTACACTAAAGAGGCGTAACGACCTATTTGTCGTGGAGTCACTATCAGCTAAGGCAAACAAATCATATCCAGAAAGGAAAATCGTGCATTGATCTTTGAAGAGAGAGAGAGAGAGAGAGTGGGAGAGCTAGAGACAACGAATGCCCCTACACTAGAGAGCTACCAACCACACACAATACAGCCAACTTACAAAGCTGCTCTATGTAGAGCTTTGCTGTAAGAATTGGAAATGGAAGACTACAGGAAGAGTTAAATAGGAATAAAAAAGCGAATATGAGATTATCGCTTTTCTTGTTTTTGGTTGTTGCATGCTTTAAAGTTTTATAGCTTGCTACTCAAAAATCGACAAATTCTTTCCCCAAAATGGCTCTAGAAACAAGTTGTTTCAAAACTCAAAACTAGACAAATGCAATCATATATTAGTTGACAGAGATGCTCCAAGACATGACTGAACTAGAATCCTATGGCCTTCTATGATTGCTGACAAACTATTTGACAGTTTACGGCTGACTAAAGACACATTGACATTTCTGTTTTCTTTTTAGCGCAGCCAAGGCAAGGAGCACCTTGAATACAAAACAATAATTTGACCCCAATCAACTAAATAAGAACGACTTTGTACATAAAAACAACATACCCCTATTCTACCTTACCAACTGTCGAAAAATATAAATTGTCGCATGCTGTGAATCTCTGTTTGAGATGCACGATAAATTTGTAAAACAACTTACTTAACATTTTTAACGAGCTGAACACCGTCGTAAAAGTAAATGATACCTTTAAGATATCAAAAGATGAGTACACTGAGAATGAAAAAGTCCTGATCAATACCCAATTTTGGGCGAGGTTTACTTTCTCACCCAAATTTGGGCGAGGAAAGTTTCCTCACCCAATTTGGGCGAGGAAAGCTTCCTCGCCCAATTTTGGGTGAGGAAGGGTGTATCAGCTCCCTATATAGCTCCATAGTATTATGACCCAAATTTGGGTGAGGAAACTTTCCTCACCTAAATTTGGGCGAGGAAAATTTCCTCGCCCAAATTTGGGTAATAAAGAATTCCTCACCCAAAATTTTAGTCATGATCATGACTCTTTCATTCTCAGTGTAGGTTTCCAGCCACAACGTGGATGGCATACTAAAGTCTATTATCTAACCAAACCTAAACCAACACTACAAATATTTACATAAAAAACTTAAAATTATATGAAGAGTAAAACAATGACAGATTAAATGAAATACCGCTAAACAACGTGTTTTATGTACACGTGACTATTGTATTTGCAACATGCCATGCCCTAGGGTTAAATAGCGTCTGTTCAAACGGCTTGATTTTGACGTCCTGCTTTTTTATATATTTGAAAAGGGTGGTTGATTATAGCTGCACTTAAAACAATCGGCTTCTCAGACTCTCTTTTGAATCTATGTTCCTTTCACAGAAACAATTATATAACTTGACAAGGTCTCCATGAGGTGAGGCCAGTTTCTTACTACAAATTACCTGCTTGGTCACTTTGCCGTGACTGTCGACCGTGTGATTGTTCTATGATGTCATTTAACGCCATTACATCTGAAATTTAAAAAAAAAAATATGAAGTTCAAACGAACCAGAATGGGATCTGTACTCGTAGCTTTGACTGGGTAAGAAAATTACCTTTCATATTCACTATGTTTTGGACCTGGCTCGAGTCTATGAAGGGGTTGTCCTGAAGTTTGGAGCGCTGCTCCTCACCCAGGTCTGCGGACGGCTCCTGGAGGCACAAGAAAGGAATCACTCCGTGAAGCAAAAGTCGACTTTCCAAAGTTTTTCGATGGCAAAGAAACGTTAGCGTGATTCACGACACAGTCTTGACAACAGTGCAGGAATACGCTTGCAGCGATTGCAAAGGAGCTCTCGACTCACATATTCTCGGTAGGCAGTTTGCACCAGGGACTGCGGCTGCTGGGACACGACCGGCGTGGCCTGCGACGGCGTGGCCTGTGAGGCTCGCGACGACCGGGACCGCAAGCGGCTCTCCTTGGTGGGCTGCTTGCCGCCCAGCGCGCCCAGCAGGTCGCCGTGGGACGTATACGACAGCCTCGAGGCGTGCGACGTGTAGGACGAGTGCCGCGACCCCAGGTTGGTGTAGTACATGGGCACCACGATGGCACCGTTCTCCTCCGACATGGGCGTCACCGCATTCGAGTCGTCGGCGTACGGCAGGTGCTCCTGGAGGCAAAGAAGGGGTAAGACATTCTGGAAGCTGTGAGTCATTCACGCAGGAGCCAATGCGCTGCCCACACGCTTAGCCAAATGTTGCACACCCACTGGACCGCACGTTCCCTTTCCACTGGGCAGCGGGTTGCCTACCCACTGGGCGGCAAGTTGCCCACCCACTGGACGGCGGATTGCGTACTCGCTGGTCGACAGTTGCCTTACCCACCCACTGGGAAGCAGGTTACCTACCCACCGGGCGGCAGGTTGCCTACCACCAAATTAATGGAAACCCTGTTCTTACCTGTGCGTCCAGGTACGTGTTGAGCACCAGTGGCTTTCGGTCCCCGCCCCAGCGACCAGCGCGAGGGGGGTTCCGCATAGCGAACTGGTGGGAGCTCCTGGAGGCTCGCCGGATGTTGAACGGCGACCCCGGAAGACTCAGACTCGCCTGCAAGTTACAAAGTCGTGATGATCTCGCTCTACCACCAAAGGGGGCAACCAGTGCGACATACTCGAAAGGAATATTCCATATGTTTGTTTCGTTTTTACAAAGGACTTGCACCGCAGTCTGGCTGGGGCATTGCTCACACTAGGCTCGGAGAATGCATATTCTCAGCTGTTAGTCGTTCAAAAACTAGTGTAGCCGTAGTTACGAAAGCTTCCGCGTATATACACAATGGTTACGCACTACCACTAAGAACGTCAAAGCATGCGACACAGAAAATATGGCTTCACAAATGCCTGTGCATGATACGGCATGGTCAGGTCTAAACAACGTGAACGCAAGTGAATATGTACATAGTTGGCTCAGTCAATCATAATCATGGGCGATACACTTTACATGGAGAACGTTCGAGATTGCTGCCGCCGTCCACTTTTTGACCACAAATGACCAGGTTATTTTGATGTGGCTTTGGACACCACACCGTAATAATTAAAAGTTGTTCTACAATGAAAAATATTTAACGAAAATTTTATCATAGTATTTAAATGCCGAGTTTTGCTTGCTCTATCAAGAAGTCAAATAATTTCTTAAATATTGTAAATGAAGGACTTTATAAGAATATATTGACACAGTTTTTAATTGGGACTTGCATGGGGAAGCATCTCTACTGTTTAACGTAATTTGACCAGATTGCAAATCTCTTGTGGTAGAAATGTTTTCCCAAATGTATGTGCAATAAATAACTATCTCTGTTCAAGGTAAAGCAAGCATCCTCCGGAAATAGTAATTACGTCTCTTATATTTAAACGTACCTCAGTGAGGCTATCCTGGTAAGCAAAACGAAAGTCTTGTTTAGTTGGTGAGCGATACTGGAGAGACAAAAGCATCTAGAGAAGACGCAATCACACAAAAATAATATTGATGGAATAAAGGTGAAGGAAAACATGGAAAGTGCAGACAAACCGACAAAATTACAGAACGTCAAGGAGGATGAGTGTGAAAATGTGTATTGAATCTTCTAACAATTTATTTTACTACCTACAAGCGCAATACGATGCAACGTTTTATCTCTTCTAATTCTTTTCCTTATTTGGATTGTTTGCCAGTGGAAAACCCAAAAGAAAAGACTGATTTGCTGGATTTTTACGGCAGCCCCCCAAAACCTCAAGTGCCTATCTACAAAAAACCGGTGCAGGTGAAAACAAACAGATGTGGTCATTTGGTACAAAGGACTTTATTTACATAGTATGAGTGAGGCCCTCTACTTCCTGTGGGAACATTTCTTTGGCAGACGTTACAGTAAGTACTGCCTAGTAGGTAGGGGCAGTATTTTTAACTAACATTTCGGGCAAGATGGCGGCAAATATGCTTGTACATCCAAGCAATTTTAACACGCGCACATTATTTAAACAGCATAATGAACAAGCTACGAATGACTGCGAAGCGAGTATTCGTTTCGAATTGGAAGCCATTGAATGGAGTAGCTGTAGTCCCAGCCGTGGATCCATGTCCATACTAACAAGCGGAAGCCCGCGTAAGGCTCAAGGCGGTCGCACAAGGCCAGCGAGTTCAAACTTTTCGGGAACAGCCAGTCTTGTTTCCGAGATTGGTCGAACGAAACTATACAGACAAATTTCAAAATCTAAGTGCTCTAGTTACCTCCGGTTTATCGGGCCACATTGTGCTCATACTGAAACCACCCGCGCCTTCTCGCTTCCCGCCTGCTCGAGTACTCACTGCGCTCATCTTCCGCGACTTGGTTTGGCCCACTCGGGTGTGGTGTTCACTCAGCGATTCGGCACAGTCGTCCGACCGGATGCTCATCTTCTCCTTGTTGTTATCGTCCATGTTGCCCTTCTCCTGGCCCACGAACAGCTCGTAGCTCTGACAAGAGAACGCTGCAGGAGAGAAAGGTCAGGTAAGTGTGGTTGAGAGTTTTGTTTTGTTTTCGGCAAATCGGTGTCTTACCCGAAGGCGACTTGGCGACGCTGCCTGCAGCCTCCGCCTCTGCCGCGGCTTCTGCTGCCGCTACCGCCTCGGCGGCGGCGTGCACTCTCGCATCGTGGGCGGCGGCGCGGTTCACTCTTCTCGTCTCCTTGGCTTGGGCGGCCTCTTCAGCTTCCTGCACAGTCAAGGTCGTTACACGCTGTCGAACACGCACCGCCCCGCACTATCGCACAAGCCACTCACCCTGATCGCCTCCTCTTCGGCTGCTTCTTCCTCTTCCGCTTTCTTCTGCAATTCGTCGTACGACATGGCGACGATAGCGAGGATCAAGTTGACGAGGTAGAAGGAGCCGAGAAAGATGATGACAATGAAGAACAGCATGTGCCAGGGCCCGGCCGAGCGCAGGACCAGCTGGTACAGGTTTTCCCAGTAGTCCTGCGTCATGAGTCTAAAGGCAGACAGAAGCGCCCAGCCAAAGGTGTCGAAGCTCGTGTAGCCGTAGTTAGGATTCGAGCCAAACCCCTGGATGCACGTGTAGCCTGGTTCACACATCCCGGCGCCGGACGAGTTCCCGCACAGCGGGCAGTCCCGAGCATCCTCGTCGTTACATTCCCAATTTGCTGAAAAAGGGTTCATAATGAATTTATAATTCGACTGATACGAAGGCAACTAAAGTGGGGGAACACTTACTTTTGTTACTAGCGTGAGCGAACCAGTTCTCGTGTGTTAGTGGGCCTGCAGATCCATCACTGGGAAAATTTCTTATACATTTTTGAGTGAGCACACCCATGTAGATTTGCAGGCCCATTAGCGCAAATACAGACAGTGAAAACATGGTCAGAATGATTACATCCCGGAGATTTTTCACTGATTCTATCACAGCACCCACGATAGTTTTGAGACCTGCAACACACAATTCAAGCATTGTTCCTTGCCCTTTGTTCGTCTGTGTTCGATGACGTTGTTCAAAAACGTTCCAGTAACTAACCCGGTACAATGGCCACCGTTTTGAGAGCTCGCAACACTCGGAAAGTTCTCAACGCTGCCAGGTTTCCTAAGTCGATTCCCATCGTGATATAACTGCAAAAACGCACAAATTAGTCAAGCACAGTTCTAAATAAACGTCCATCTAATCTAGAGATCCGTTCACACACCTAAGGATAACAGTGAAGGAAACTTTACAATAAAAAAATTAGACTAAGGGAAACTACCTAATTCCTTTTAATTATATGAGCAAGTTAATTTCAAGACTTCTGTTTACGGTGTGTTTGACAGTCTTGAGACAGAAATTTCATTGGTACCAAGCTACTTTTTAGTACAAGGGCGAATCACAGCATAAGAGACCGCTGAGCCAGCCTGGGGGCAACAGGTAACGGGAAATCGATAAACCAATACGGGGCAGCCCGCCCAGCTATCGGATTTGGTGGACACGACATGGGCGAAAGACAGGCGTAAAATGGCCTCAGTGTCATTTCATTATGAATCCACTGTTTGGAGCGCCAGATTTGTTGGAAAAAGGAAGCTAAACTCCGTTTTTCTACAAGCTACACCCCACATCTATAATTCGGAACGTGTAGAAGATTCGAAAAGTGTTTGATAAAAAAAACTATCTAATGTAACTACAATTATCTAAGAAAGGTACAAAACTGGTTCTCATTGGTCTAAATGTACAAGTGTGGCCACAGGAAAATATCTAACAAAACAGACATCGACTTTCTGCGACAAAAGGCTGCAGTAAAACAATGGATCTTTTTTAAAAAGGTTTTATAGCCTTCTGAGAAATCTAATTGCAAGGTAATAAATAAGAAATCTCAGCGTTATATTAACAAAGCCCAGTATCTATTCTATACATGTAGTTTTACGTTACAGCTACTGGTGTGCCTCGACATTATTTTGGGCTGCTATGTTCCTACTTTTGATGAAAAAGTTATTGGTTAAAGAATAATTTTCTGGCAGTATTGAGATGGGATGAACTGGAGGATATTCACTAGAACCAACCAACCGGGAAATAAATATTCTGTTGGGTTAACGTCGTTTTCACTGCAGTGTGTTTCAAAAAACTTCAACTAAAAGAGCCACATTTAACATCTCTACAACTTTATATTAGGTTTTGTTTTGCAAGGCCGGACATTACATGAGGTTTGCGTAAACAACGAAATTGAACGGAAAGTACCTGTTTGAACCCTTTCATGACATCTACCCATGGGGGACGTACTACACACATGTACTTACGCTAAAACTATGACAATGAAGTCCAACCAGTTCCATGCATCTCTAAGGTAGGTGAACGGCTGTAGGATGAATCCTCTGGCCATCACCTTTACGGCTGATTCAAATGTGTAGATGCCGGTAAATATTACTCTGAAAGAAAATGCCCACAGCAACAAAGTTATTCGCACACCAATACACCAACTACAGTCAACCGCTGCTACACAGCTGGACAAAGAGAGACTACAGTTAGATGTATACTGTATAAACGTCACTTGTTTCTATGACCTGGGTTTGATACTATCATTCTACGTGAAAAACGTAACCACTCACTCTGGAGAAATACTATGTACTATATGATTCAGAATACTATATAGTTCATGAGGAAAAATTCGAGAAAACTATCTATTTTAGTCTTGTTTTACTACGCTGGGAATTGCGTACCAATTTACAATATCACCAGCCGTCTCATGACTCGAGACGCACAGCGATGGTATGAATTTTTCCTCACGCTCTAACCATAACTGCTCACTTAATAATACACCCTTCAGCTAAGGCAATTAAGGATGGCTACACGGTAAACACTTACAAAAAATTCCACCAATTGCCATCTTATGCTTTTCAAAAAGCACTACATTTCCACAAGAATAATACGTATCAGACAATACTACACAAAGTCTAAGTGAATTTGCAAAATGCAATGGATGTCCAGTAACTGATCAAATTCCTATTTTATGTACACAGAACTCAGAATATGAGCGCGGTACCAAAATCCCAAATAATAAAACGGGTGTAATAAAATCTTTTTTTCTTAAATTGTTAAATATTAGTTTTCTCATTGTGGAAAAGAAATTATGATATTTTTCAAAACATTGAAACCAGATAGTACTCCAAACAATACTTTCACCCCAGAAAATAATTAGTTCTTGTTTGTTCTAGGGTTGTAATTCGGATGTAATACTAAGTGGAATGCGTACTCTGTTGATTCGACTTTTGGTGAGCTGGGCATTATCATCAGTATACAGTTTGTGAGGATGGTGGTGATGATGAACAGAGAGAAGAGTGGGTGCACGAGGATGTAGATGGCCACCCTGCGGATGGGGTTGAACGGGTCCAAGATCCACAGGGCATCCGTCGCAGAGAAGCGAAAGATGTCCTTCCCTTTGCTGATGACCACGAATGTCTGAAAAAAAGGCAAGCGGTGGTTAGATTGGTGCACGGCTCGGTGTCGGGGCGGTGCATGCGTACGCGTAGAGCCGCGTGGAGCCCCTCCCTCTGCAATGGGGGAGGGGTCGTTACAGCCCCCACCCCTCCGCAGCCCCCACCACCTTCTCGGTCCGAGATGACGTCACAGCCTCCCTGCTTCTCAATGGAGCACGGTGCGGCTCCGGACCGAAAGGTCATAGTGCTGTGTGTCTGCAAGGCTGTCCTCATTCATAAGGCAGCCTAACCTTAGGGAAGTCAACCCGATCCCTCTTATTTCTGGGGCAGCCCGGCCTTGATAGGGGCTCCAAGGCTTGGCTGCCAAGCCCAGGGCGCCCGTGGCGCGCCTGGCTGGCCTATTCATACGGGACACCGAGGCCGACCTTGGCAGAGCCGCCACGCCACGCCACGTCAAGGAAGAGGACGAAATGGCGGATAGACAGAGGGATTTGATCGCTTGGTCCCCAAGGCTGCCAATCTGCAGAGCAAGGACGCCCCCGGCGCCATTTCGGGGCTCCAGTCTGATTTAGCCCGATAGCAGTGAATTTCGTCTCCTTCACAACGTTGTTGGCCCCAAGGAGGAGGAGGGGCGTCTCTTACCCGCTGGTTGTGGTAGTAGGTGTCGATGTCTTCCAGTGGCGTGGAGGCCAGCTCGGCAGGGAAGCTGCCGTGCATCCTCACAGGTATTGGTGCGCCCTGCTCCAGCGTCGCATCCGGCTGTGGACCTTCGTCCTCGTCCGAGTCCTCGTACCGCACCTGCAAGCAGCAGCCGCGTTAGCCAAAGCTGGCCAAACCCTCACCCACGAACATCATCCAAAGTTTTTGTGCTTGTTTCAATTTTAGTGGCATGCTTCTGTTGGCTGTGTGATTTCAATATTGGCCTCATTACACTCTCGATTCCATCAGGTTGGTGCTTCTCCTAACGTCGCAGCATTTTGCTGTCGAACAAACTTCGGGCACATTTAGCACCAGGCCTGATTTTAAAAAAAGGGTGTTTTGGTGCGAAAGTTGTCAGCGCACTTTGAAAGGATCGTTGACTAAGAAGAATTTCAAAAGAGGTCTACGAATAAACAATGTTTACCTCACTGGCTACAAAAGAAATACTGTTCTAAAACCATCTTTTAAGCTGTAGTTTTCTAGCAACCTACCTAATTCATCAAATCCTACGTTACAAGGTCATTACTCATCGCCGGATGGACGGCCCCGGACGGGCCCGGATGGGCCTGGCGGCAAATGCTGGCAACGTGTTGTGTGCTCGTCGCGTGCGGTCAAAAACTGTGTACGCCCCAGTTAACATGATGAGTTGTGCCCTCGAGGGGGTAGCGCTTCGCTCGGCGCGGCGCGGCTCGGTGGCGCGTGCATGGGCCTGGCAGCCTTTGACGGCCGCCTCGGCCGCCTCGGCCACCGCCGCCACTAAGTGAGATTAATTCCAAGGACGCGCTGGATCCACTTCGTCCACTTGCACGGTCGGGTGGCCGCATTGCCGAAGGGAGTCGATGGGCTGAAAAACGGCGGCGTGCTTTCCGGCCTGCAGGGAGCTGCACGGTCACAGCGGCCGAAGGGGGTGGGAGGGGGTGGGGGAGTCACGCGGGTTGCCTATGCGGCGGGCGCCGGCTCGGCGGCGGCTGCCGGGCTGGGGGGCTGGCGGGTCGGAGGGGGAGCCGGTTCGGGCCGGTTTCCAGGCTGCCAGCCTGGCGGCACACAGCGGCACGGCGCGCTGGCGGTGGCTGCCTGCCTGGCGGGGCGGCGCCGGGATGCGTCAGTGCGTGGAAGCTGGGTCGGGGGGTGGCTGGTCGCCGCGGGGCAGGGCGGGGCGGGGCAGTGCGGAGCGGGGTGGGGCGGGCAGTCGTCGTAATCAAGCCCTGTTTCAGCGATCCAGCCCTCAGCGGCTAGGCATTAAGGGCAGTGCCTCGCATCAGCCCGGCCATACAGTTATAGGTGGCGGCGGGCTTTGGGGTGGGTGCCTTTAGGTGTGCCGCCCGGAAGCGTCGCGGTAGGTCACGCTGGGTCGCGGCGGGTCGAGGCGGCTCGAGACGGGTCGCGACGGGTCGGGGTGGGTCGGGGTGGGTCGGGGTGGGTCGGGGGCCGAGCCAGTGGAGGGCCGTGGAGGGCCGCGGAGAGGCAACATGGTTTTATGAGTCGTATACCAAGCCAGCAATAAAGACGACTCCGATATATTCACCGGAAGGGACTTTAATTTCTTTTGGTCCGACTTTGATGCGCCCTTTCGGGTCCCTTTCGGGTTCCTTTCGGGTCCCTCTCGGATCCCTTTCGGGGCGTGCTGGGACCGGCTGGCCGCAGCCGAGGGTAATTATTCACGGCGCGTCTCACTCACTCTCACCACAGACAGAAGGAAAGCAGCATGCTTTCTCTTTTCTTTCATTCGCGACCTGCTTTGCAGGGGCGATTCTGTTTTAATAAACGGCTGGGCGCCGCCTGGCAATGCCAACGCCAGTTCACACGCTTTGCTGGCTGTCTCTGGGCGCGGCGTGGTGGCGTGGCGCGGCGCGGTGGCGCGGCGTGGTGGCGCGGCGTGGTGGCGCGGCGTGGTGTCGTGGTGCGGCGTGGGGTGGTGCGGCGCGGGGTGGTGCGGCGCCCTTCTCAACAGCCGCGCGCCACGCTAGGCATAACGATACACGACGCCGCGCCGCGTGACGCCGCCAAGGAAACCGTACCCGCCAGAAACCAATTCGCGAGACTCTCGTCTCCCGTTCCTCGCTGTCGGCAACATCGTCCCGGAGGCCGTGCAACAGCGAATCGCCGAAACGCGCCCAGGGTGTGTCCTTGGTCAGGGAGAGCGGCAACAACGCGGCAACTTGGTCACCACCACCAATTCGTTTTTCCCGTGATGAATACGGGAAAAGAAGGGGGCTTTAGGGGCGCGTGCACTCGTCGCGTGCCCTGCTCCACACTGCGGCCCTGGGGCCCCGGGGCCTCGGGGAGTGGAGGGGGAATCGATCCCAAGCACCTCAGCGCTGTGAGTGTGTGTGTGGGTGTGTGTGGGTGTGTGTGGACGTGGGAGCATGCGTGCCCGCGCACTAACGCAAATATATTCGACACCCCCTTTAGTGACCGGCGCCGAGCCGGTTCTGTAAATACTCTGTCAAAAAAGTTGATCTGTTCAATTTAATTTTTTGTGGGCACAGTTTTACGCATTTCGCAGTACGCCAACGAAAATTTCCTGACTTTTGAAGTGACTTTGGAATGAGCGTTAACAACGACCGGGCGCGGGTTAGCGAAGGGAAACGCACAGCAGGCCTTGTTCGACACGAAACGGAGCCGATTAGGCTCCGTGTCGTGCGTGGGCCAGCCCGGAGCAGCCCGGAGCCGGCCGGGGCTGGGTGGGGCTAGGGTGGGACCGGCTGGAGCTAGGGTCGCCACATCGTCACCATGCCCCAGGGACCGAGATGACCGGATTAATATCGAACGTCCGAGGAGGCACGCGAGGCTGTCTGGGACCATTCAAAGGGCTCCGAGTCCGGGCTGGTTTGCCTCGCCGACGCCAACTGGTTGGGGGCTTGGTAGTGTGGACTCTATCTAGGTTGCTACGGTAACAAGTTTGCTATCATCAGCGGTCCGTTTAGACGGCATTCGGGCGTTTGGAATCTTTCGGAAAGAGAGGGATGGCGTTACACTGCCGAAGTTTAAATTACCATTCCGTCCGTCTCTGGCCGCTTTGGTCCGGAATGCCGTCCGGTCCGGAGCCTCTGGCTAATGTTCCTACGATACGAACGACCTAGTGCATTCCCCTACTCGGGCTCCAAAAGTGAATCTCAATGGAAGGCATGCAAGGGTTAGTCGAATAATTGTGTTGGTCGTGCAAACTGTCCACTCCAAATGAGACTCGAGTCGTTTCTACTCCACCTCATCCAGTCAAGTGACAAGTTTCATTTGGAAGGACCAAGACTTACGCTAAAGAAACTAAAAAACAACATTATTCCATCATCCCAAAACACAATGAAAACAACCAAGCTCAAGACACAGTATTCAGACATGTGTGTGAGGCCACACTCTAAAAAAAATTATGAAATTTCATATCCAAAGGAGTCTAAAATTTCATAATCACGTTCTAAACCTCAATTTTTATAACCTTCGTATAAAATTTAAGATCGTGTTATGAAACCTAAGATTTGGGTTATGGATTTTAAGATTAACTGGTTATAAACTTTTAGAACAGAGTGACTTATAACTCTGGTTCTTAAAATCTAGATTTTCGCTTTGAAAGTTTATAACGCTAGCCGATTTTAGAGCAAGGTTCTGAAATTTTAAACCGTTTAGTCCTGCTGCCTAGTCCTTTATTCATGGTTAAATTAATAAAGAGGTGAAGTTTTCATTTTTATCGGCATGTGTTAACATTTTCCGAACCGCTAAGGTAGGAGTCCTAGGGGCGGTCTACAAACTGAAAAACGTACATTTTATGCACTAACTGGAGCAAGCACGCTTTTGCTAGCGTATGCCTACTACTTTTTAGTGCATACAGTTATTACATTAATGAGAGGTATGGAGAGCTGTCTGCTTCAGTTCGCGTGTACATGGCATGATGCACTAGTTAGTGCATGCTTGGCGGGCATGCGCTTGTTGGAGCGTACTTGCAGGCATGCTCCAGTTAATGCATGTTCAAAATTTGTGTGTAGTATTTCCCAAGAGGCTGCAAATCGCGTCCCTTGCAATGCCTGACCGGCCACCGTCCTCCGGGCCGAGCCGAGCCGAGCCGAGCCGAGCCGGCCAAGCCGAGCCGAGCGCCGAGCCGCCCCGAGCCGGCCGAGCCGAGCCGCCCCGAGCCGAGTCGGCGCTGCTTCCACGGAAAATCACCGCTCGCCGGCCTGCCGGCCGAAGCCGAAGCTACCTGTGCCCGGCGAGGGGTCGCGTAATCCCTCGGCCACACGGGATTTCGGCGACACTGCGTCACTTTTAGTGTGTCTTTGTCTCCAGTGCTGTGCACAGCGTATCCAGTTCGCGTCCGCGTCACCGCAAGTTCGCGTCATCAATTTTGTTTCGCTATGTACCGTTAGTGCGCGTAGTGCGTAGAGTGCAGTTAAAGTGTTGCTTGTGGTGCCAAACAGCCACCACTCGTGTTCAAGAGTTACAAGCTATTTTGGCGACCCTCGGAAAAAGGACGTGTTTTCGCCAAAAGCGGTGTTACTGAGTGCTGTTATTCCATCTTCTTAACTGTAGGGACGGGCGATGAACGTGTGGGTGGCGTATTATGTCAATTCGCTTCTCCTCTTTCATCCTCGTCCCCAAAGTAGTTTCTGCGTGTCGACCGAGTTTCCCTAAAGTGCATCTGGATCTTATGCACTGCTGCGCCTCTGACTGTTAACAGCGTCGACTGCACTACAGTACAATGCTTATTTCCGTTGGCCAGCTGCAACGATTTGCGATAATACTGAGTGTGAAAAGAAATCATAGCTTTCTGAGATTTCATCATTTGTAACATATTCATTAAGAAAGGGATAAAGGTTTTATTTATTATTATTTTTTATTTATACATTTTGTGGGCAGTAATGAAACTATTATCATGTTTCATAATATTGGTTGTAGAGATTCAGAACCAAATGTGAATTTTCAAAACCAATTGATTCTAAAAAATTAATAAACTAGTTCTTACATTTCATAAACCACATCTGAAAGTTTAGAACAGCAAGTTATGAAATTTAAGAACTTTTTGGATATGAAATTTAAGATCCATTGTTCTACAAATAACTTCAAATCCAGATTATGAAATTTAAGAAGCATTTTTTTTAGAGTGCAGGGCAACTGCGCAAGAAAAAGAAGTTGTGGTAATTAAGTAAACAGAAACGAAAAAAGTGTGTGTAAATGGTATGTAAAGATGTCAGAATGTTCTGTGGAGAAAAGCAACAAAAGAACAACAAAAAAGGAAAGAAATAAAGTGCTGCATGAGTGCGGCAGCAGTTGGTGGCATTGATGTTCTCTACTCCACAGTCATCATAGAGCCTCACTTCACATATTCAATTAGTAGTTATAAAAAGAGGAAATAATAGCTAGTACAAATCAAAGAACAAAATATTAAAAACCATAACACCTTAACAATAAAATTACAAATAGAAAAAACTAATTTTCATCAGTATGAGAGCATAATTCCGATCTAGGTTCGGCCATGAACTCAACTAAAGACAGAAAGGTACAATAAAAATAAAGTAGCCAAGGCGCATGCAGATAATATGAAGGAAAGGTGAGCTCGATCCAACAGGAAGAAGCTAGAGGGAGAAGCGGGTGAGAAAGGATTACCAGAGCGCACACTGTCTCACTTGCCAGCTGGACAAGTACTGACACTTTAAAAACTTATTTTTTTTGTTTATGAAATTCTATTTCTGATTGCAAATGCGAAACCAGAGCTCAGTCACTAGCAAGTTCACTTCCGCCCTCCAAAAAGAAAGAAAAGAAAAAGAGGCAAGGGAGACAACAAAGCGCCCAGATGCGGGACTAAGGCTAAAGTCTCATGCTCTTACTTCTTTTTTCGATTTCTTCCGACCCATAAAATCGTCCTGAAATAGCGTAGGAATAGGTAAACGAAGAGCACACGGAAAGATAGACAGAGAAAAGTAGAGGACAGTACAGTCGCACACAGAGCGGAGAGATATGGGAGAACGCCACAACACTAAGAAGAAGGGCTCGACTCTTGTCTCGTTTTCCAATTTTCATAAACTTGTCCAGTGGGGATTTTTAGTTAGGACGAGCATTCTTTTGCCTCAGTTCGGCTTGCTTCACGCTTTATTTTTGCAGCGCGCCAGGCAGGTCAGCCATTAACGTGTTCTCCGGCTCGCCTGCCTGACAACGGCCGTCTTGTCCAAATTGAGGCTCGCGCAAATCACGACGCTATCGACCTGCCGGCCTGTCACGGCGCCAGGGGTCCCGGAGCCTTGGAGTCCTGGCCTGGTACAGGGCGTCGGGCCAAAAGTGGTTCCCCAAGGGAGGCGCCGGCCAAAGGAACCATTCCAATGTTTCTGCTCCGTTTTTATTGAGGAAACGAAAAAGGGGCTAAAGTGAAATAAATATGAAACAAGAGTCGAGCCCTGTCAGGGAAAACACACAGGAGGTAACTACAAGTGCGGTGCATGAATGTCGGGGACAGTGTCCTGGACGGCGTCCCTGGGACACGGTCAATCCAATATTCATGGCCGTTCAGAGCTCGATCACTCGGAGACAAGCTAATGCGGTCATTGACCAGGTTATATACAGCACAGGGAGAAAGAGAAAAAAAGAGGTCCAGGCAATGTGGCTAATATATTCACCAAGTAAATGCCGGCAATCAAGGTTAGGACATAGTTATGCAAAGTGTATTTATTGTTGTTGTTGTCCCTTTTTAACTTGCTTTCTTTTGCTACACGCTTGTCTCCGCGCGACGTTACGAACAAGTTGGAAGAGCACACAGAATATGCCTACACAAACAGGGTGGCAAAGAATTGCAAACCAAAACACAGGAAAAAAAATAATCAATAAATTAATAATGTACAAAAAAGTCGTTGTAGAATGGGATGGTGAGAGCTATCCGCGACCGTTTCATTCCAGCTGGAATGGGCTGGAAGTATCGACAGTAATAGTTTTTTTTTTTAATTTTTTTTTTACAGTGAACCGGGGTCGATGCGCCGTGCGGCAGCCCACGCTCGCCTCACCTTTCGGGGCCGGGTCACAGGCCATGGTAAAACTAACCAGAAAGGTAAGTACATTCAATCGATCCGGGTCAGGGTCGTTCTAAAAACGGCTAAGTGTAGAATTTTGTTCAATTTTCACTTTTCAATTCATTAGCAAACGAAACCTTGGCATGTCTCTGGTGTATTTTTTTTTTTAAAGAAAAAGCAAAGTCTACAATCAATAATCGATGATCATTTTTACGCTTAATTTTTAAAGACAAGGCGGAAAGGGTAAGGAAATCTTCGAAAACTACGACAGAAAAGAACAAGAATATATTGATAGTTAATATATACTGGTAAAAAAGAAACAACGCGGACAGTCTGATGCAAAAAATGCGAAAATTAAGTGAGGCAACATCTAGCTACACATTCAGAAGAATGAACCGAAGCTGTTCGAGCGCCCCCTAAACGCGCCATTCAAAATTGAAAACGTATGGAAACACGGTAAAGGGGTAGTGAGGAAGGTCCTGTCACGGACCACTGCTAAAAACCAACACTCGAGACAAAAAATGGGTAAAAAATTAGTGGCGACTTGAACCACTCACCTCCCCCTCCGCGCGCTTCCTCTCCAGCTCTCGGTGGCGCGCCTCCTGCTCCGCGATTCGCTGCTCGATGGCTGCTAGCGATTCTCTGGTGAAGGGTCGGAACAGACTGCGCTCCTCCTCCGAGACCGACTCCGAGCACTCGGACATGGTGCATGGGCCCCGCCTGCTCGGCCTTCTCACTCACCCCCACTGCTCCCCCCCTGCCTCCCCCTCCCCCTCGTCGCGTCCCCGGCCCGCCTAAGTTGTGGGGGCGGCGGGGGCGCGATTTGACGCGAAAGCCCGGGCAAAAGCCCCCACAAGCAAGAGCTATCTCCCCCAGCCTCCGCCTCCGCTGCTGCTGCTGTTGCTGCCGCCGCTGCTGCTCCTGTCATGTCCGACCTGCAACAACACGAGCAGAGCGTTAGACAAGGTAGACAAGGTAGACTAGGCTAGACCAGCCTCACAGTCTGGCAGTGGTTCGCATCGCCTCTCCTCTCTGCTTCGCGCCAGCCGGCGCAAGCGAGGCGCAAGCCACAGACTCCCCTAACCTCAAATTCCACGCGCCGTGCGCCGTGCGGTGGCGCGACGCCGGGCGACGCGGGGCGACGCGGGGCGATGCCACTGGCACTTTAACCTCAACGTCAACAAACGACTTTCCGCAAAGTACGTCTCGGAACACGGTTCAAACAGGTCGTCTCGTTCCCAGTTGAAGGAGCGAAGGAAACAACGACGGGAATTCGCGCTCTCAAAGTAAGGTAAAAGAAGACGGGTGATCGCCGGAACCTCCACTGAGATAGACATTTCTCCTCATTTAATGAGGCTGCAGCGATATTTGAAACACCACGCCAGAATGCGAGCTCCATGAATAGAAAAGACTGGCCAATGGCCGACTCCCCGAAACTCACCGTGGGTCCATGTAAGGCAGTGGAGATTACAGAGCAGCTGCTTGGTGTTGGGCGGCGGGCGTCATCGGGCGTGGGCCTGGGGCCTATGGTGACCAGGCCTGCCAGGCCCGGGCAGGGGAGGGGGAGCGGGGGGCTCCCTGCAACACAAAACACAACATGAGCAACACAGTGACATGGCCCGGCAGAAGAAACGAAAGAGCCTAACCTCCCCGCTGACGGCGAGGCGTCCGTTTTCCGTTTTTTTGACGGGTATGTCGCGACGTGCAAATATACCTGTTGGACCATACACGCTTGATGGCACGGCGGCACGGCAGGCAGGCCGCACGTCCCGACCACACCGGCTGGGTTACAGTGTGTGGGCTAGCTACGCCTGGCTACGCCACCGCCGAGCTCTGTCTCTCTCGCACCCCCACGGGAGACCCGAGTGCGAGCGACTATCACCCCGGTTTCGTAAGCAGCCCACAGCCACGGCCCTGCCGGGCGGTGGGGTGTTGTTTTCGTCTTGAGGAGAAGCGTTGGGGTGGGGGTGGGGTGGGAGGGTAAGTGGGTGTGGCCTGGCCTGTGGCCTGGCTCGCATTGCTTATCAGCAGTATCGGTCGCTTCATGCTAATGGCTGCGTTGCTCAGCCTGAGACAGGACTTGGCCTTCCGTCTGGCGGGGCCGGGGCGGGCCTGCCTGCCTGGCTGTCTGCCTGCCTGCCTGCCTGCCTGCCTGCCTGCCCGCCCGCCTGTCCGGGCGGCGCCCTCCTTCGACATGTTCGTCCGGATAATTGGAATAACGGTTTGTGTTCCTCTGACTTGCACCGCACCCCGTGCGTCTTCTCTTCCCTCTCTTTTTAGCAGATGATACCTTCACACTTGAAACATACTTAAAACTACCATACACAAATGAAGGTGTCAGCGTGCTTTTACTCTCGAGTCCAGAAACCAAGCGCGTATCCTAACAATATAATAGGGGCTGGCGGCCGGGGCGGGCTGGTGCGTGTGGCTGGCTGGCTGGCTTGCAATGAGGCGCAGCCTGCGCGGAATTCGACAATGCCTCCGCGGTACAGCGCCAGCGGCACCGGGCGTAAACAATGGCACCTCCTCCTCGCATTGACAATCCCTCCCCGCCTGCCACGGCGCGGAGTATCGCCCAACAATGCCTCCCGATTCGGCCCGGCCTGGGGCGCTCGCTCGGGCTCGGCGGCGTGCGGTGCAGGCCACAGCTCGGCACGGCTAGTACCAACACCGGCCAGCTCACTCGGGTCAGTGTATTTTGTTTCATACACATTTTTAAATACTATAGATACAAATACAAATACAAAGATCTTTGGAATGTTTATTTCGGCCTCTCGAGACCGGCCAGAGGGTTGAGTCCGAACAACTGAGCTCTCGGCCCGTCTCTCTCTTTCACCGGTGTGGGAGAGTGAGTGAGAGAGAGACAGTGAGACGAAGGCGGCGCTCGGAATCGCTCTGCAGGGGGCGACGCCCCTGCGGCTCGGCTCGGCTCGGCAGGGTTCGGCGCACCGGCAGGCCCGACTTGTCCAATCGACACCAGTACCGCCAAACAAAAAAATAAAAAATGGAGGCAATCGTGATGAACAAGCGGGAGAGGAGTCCGGGCGGGACCTTGCAGCATTAACAAGGATTACCTTTTTCCCTGTGTAGCAGACGCACACCAAATATTCACCCCTTTACCCCCAGCGAATGCTGAATATTGAATCTAAGTACGGTTCCTCGTACTCCTGCTCACATGCATAAAACACGGCGACGCGCCCCCACCCTGCCCCCACCCTGCCCCCACCCTGCCCCCGCCCTGCCCCCGCCCTGCCCCCTGCAAGACGGGGGGGGGGGGGGGGGGAACGGTCCCCTCGGGTAGGCGGCGACCGAGTCAGCCCGGCCCAGCGCGGCCCGGCGCAGCGCAAATTGGACGCACTGCACGCGACCATTAGCTAAATAAAGACAGAGAATCGCAGGACCGGAACTGCAACCGGGAAACCGCTTTTCGTTTTGATAAAACGTAGGATCATAAAAAATGTCGAGAACGGTTTCCAAAGCGCGTTACATGTGGCGCCCTGTGTATATTTAACAAGATAGCCTTTGAAGTCACAGCGGAAATGCGGGGACCCATGCCTTATTTTGCCACCCCGGCCTCCCTTTTCCGCATAACTCGTGATGTCTCTCTCGCCGTCTCTCGCACTCATTCGGCACTCCGCAAAAGAGAGACAAGGACATGAAGCCATGAAATGGCGTTCCGTCATACGTATGGAAGAAATCTCTCTGTTGTGGTGATCAACATTGTTCGACAGCTGCAATCAGAAAGTCGATACCAAAAGCTGGTTGCTACGACCGGACTCTTATAAGGGGACAACTATGCTGGGGTTTGTTATCCTCTTAGTGTCCGGTCGTGGCAACCAGCTTTTGGCTGTAGGTATCGACTTTTCTATTGCAGCTATCGAATTCAGCCAATCGAACAAAGTTGATCACCACAACGCAGGATTTTTTTCCCTGCGCGGACGTCGCCTTTGGAAAGTTGTTCCATTGCTGCGGCACAGGACACTGCGCGGACTGACACCGTATGTTTTCCTGTTCCCGTCCGCCCCCCAGAGGTTCTCGACTAAGTTGTGTGGGCGCTGCCGTGTCTGCCCGGGGGAGTCGGGGAGAGATGGGGGGGGGGGAGGCTCTAGCCACTGGAGACGAGCCAGCCGTCCAGCGCCGACTCCAGCGTAGTCCCTCTGGCTGCCTCGCTGCCTCGCTCCGAATGGCTGTCTGAAAGGCCGTCTGGTAGGAACCAGTATAGGCAGGATCCAGGCACGCCGTGCACGTAGGGACAGGGACTGCCGGGACTACGGGGACCACAGGGACGCGCCCAGGCGCCACATCGCCTCGTTAAAACAGCAAAAACATTTCCAGCGGGCTTACGCTTTCCTCGAAACAAACAGTGGATTATCAAAAATCATTTTTGTTATTTTTTTAGCGCGATGCACTGCTACACTGCCTTGTGACGCCGAGCCGCACGCAGACTGATTCCGAGAGTCTTTCCCGTCGCTCTGTCTCTCTCGCACCTGTGCGGAACGCCCCACGGGTGCGGGAGGGACAGGGCGACAGAAACGGCCCTCGGAATCAGTCCGCCGCCCGGCCAGGCGCGCCGTCCTCCGTCGGGGCAACTTCGTGACAGGGCAAGTACGATCCGAGGCCAGGAGTGCAAGTAGGGGCTCGAGGGGCGCCTGGGGCCGGGGGAGGGGGGTTGGAAAAGGGGGGGGGGTAAGTGCCGTAGCAAGAGTCCAAGCACCGCCGTTCCCGTGGTTCCCGCCCGCAGTCCCCGCCGCGCCACTGCAGACGGAATTTCCGGAGGGCGTGGAAAGGATTTTACTTTTTCCGAGCGACGTCGTCGCCGTTGAGTTGGGGCTTGTGGCTTGTGCAGGCTTGTGGCGCTGGGGCCGCGCCGGCCGCGCGGTGTGGCGGTGCGCGCAGCAAAACGCAGCAAGGCGCAGCAAGGCGCAGCAAGGCGCAGCAAGGCGCAGCAAGGCGCAGCAAGGCGCAGCAAGGCGCAGCAAGGCGCAGCAAGGCGCAGCAAGGCGCAGCAAGGCGCCTCAAGGCGCAGCAAGGCGCAGCAAGGCGCAGCAAGGCGCAGCAAGGCGCCTCAAGGCGCAGCAAGGCGCAGCAAGGCGCAGCAAGGCGCAGCAAGGCGCAGCAAGGCGCAGCAAGGCGCAGCAAGGCGCAGCAAGGCGCAGCAAGCGGCCGTCGGAAAACGATATCAAACTGAGCCGCGGGCCGCGGACCGCGAACCGCAGGACTCGCAGCTCGGCCGTACGTTCTTGCGCTCTGCACTTCCCGCCAAACTCCCCCACCATTCCACTAATCCACCCGCAGCCTCATTTCTCCCAAGCACACGTAGAAAAAAAAAAGAATTCGTTGTGGCAACGAAAATGTATGTTGATTTTGGGATAGCCAAAAAAAAAGGTTGTTAGGCGTACTTATCAATTTGTTGTCAGAACGAACATTTCGTTCTGACAACGAACGATATCGTCAGGAGGACTAAATATCATAAAACTGAAAAAAGTCAAATGTTTGTCCTCCTCACGAATTATTTGTCGCGAGAGCAAAGTGTTCGTTCTGACAACCAAACAACTTTTTTTTTGCTATCCCAAAGCTACATTTTCGTTGCCACAGCAAATTCATTTTTTAAGTGCAGTGCTCGGTTGTTCAGCCCCCTCTCTCTCTCTCTCTCTCTCTCTCTCTCTCTCTCTCTCTCTCTCTCACGGAAAATACACGCCGTTGGAATGCATCACCCGGCACACACTGAGAGAAAAGTTTTGTTGCCAGAATCGAACGTTCGGTAGCCACGACTAAACCTGTTTGGTAACTTTTGAAGTAATCAAACAGTTCGGTTCCCAGTACCGAAGTTGTTTTTTGATGCTGCTTGATGCTCATTAACAAACCAGAATGGGCCTCCGATGACCCTAGTTAGTAGCTGGGTAAAAAACAAGTTTATTTCTGACTACCGAACAATGTTTGATCGGTTGATCGACTGCATTGATCATTTTAACAGCGTCGGGCAAAATTGTCTCAGCCCGCGGATCCGTCTTTCCCGCCGGTATTCAATACCCACAGTCCATTCCCTCGCCATTCAAATGATTGGTGCGCGAGAAAACTGGTTACGCATCGCCGGGAGTTGAACCCCCGCCGAACCCGTCTCACTATCCAGCCTCCAGGCACGGAACCAACTGAGCCACCGTGACAACTGAGAAGGGACGGGATGTCGTAGCCTCTAGACTGACAGCCCGACAGCAGTGACGTCATTCGTCGTGTTGCCAAATTCATCATAAGTCCTGTCGAGCGTTGTGTTATTCTATCGATACACCAACCTAAGTCCAAAGTAGTTTAGTAGCCACGACTGAACTGGCGGCAATCGAACCACTTTCATAGTGTACATCATTTTGATTTTGATTGGATGGACCAAAGTTGTTCGTTTGTGCAGACAAAACACGATTTTTATCGGATACAAAAGGGGTTAGTGTTCACGACGAAACTCTTTCTACCTGGTTACCAAAACGTTTATTACCTGCGACAAAGCCTTATCAATCGAACAAAGTTCAGTACCGGCATCAAAACATTTTTCTCAGTGCACTATAAACGAAACAAGGATGTTACACGTCTTACTAATTCGCTTCGCTGCGGAGCGAATTAAACTCTGCACAAAGTTTGTTGGCATTTTGTCTCCCTCCCACTCTCGGCGTACGCGACTGACACTTCCAAAGGGTGCGGACATTTGGGGGGAGGGGGGAAGGGGGTCCACCCAGGTGCACTTGCTCATTACCCCCCACCACGGCCTGGGTAATTGGAGTAACTCATTAAGGGCAGGGACCTCCCCCCCCCCCTCCCCTCTCGGCCTTTCACCACGTTGCGCCTGGGGGCTTCCCCGTCCTGTATAGCACTTCACCCGGCCCGTACAAGCTGGCCACCATAACCGTGTAAGCCGAGGATCTTCTGTGAAACAAACGACCGGGGTGGGTATTCGAACCCGCGCCACACCTTGTCCGCGCGAGGTTGCTCCCGCCCGACCCTCAGCAGCAGTATTACGACTACGACTAATAACACTGCAGCCCGTGCGCGTGGTGGCGGTGGCGGGCGGCCGGATTGCAACACAACTTGTTTCCCGTTTCGATGAGCCGGGCAGCACACAGTGGGCCAGAGACCGGCGCTGGCGGCAAAAACTCAAGGCGCGTGTTGAGCTCCAGAGTCGCTAAATGGGACTCGAACCGACCGTGTGACCCCACACTGAGAGAAAAGTTTTGTTGCCAGAATCGAACGTTCGGTAGCCACGACTAAACCTGTTTGGTAACTTTTGAAGTAATCAAACAGTTCGGTTCCCAGTACCGAAGTTGTTTTTTGATGCTGCTTGATGCTCATTAACAAACCAGAATGGGCCTCCGATGACCCTAGTTAGTAGCTGGGTAAAAAACAAGTTTATTTCTGACTACCGAACAATGTTTGATCGGTTGATCGACTGCATTGATCATTTTAACAGCGTCGGGCAAAATTGTCTCAGCCCGCGGATCCGTCTTTCCCGCCGGTATTCAATACCCACAGTCCATTCCCTCGCCATTCAAATGATTGGTGCGCGAGAAAACTGGTTACGCATCGCCGGGAGTTGAACCCCCGCCGAACCCGTCTCACTATCCAGCCTCCAGGCACGGAACCAACTGAGCCACCGTGACAACTGAGAAGGGACGGGATGTCGTAGCCTCTAGACTGACAGCCCGACAGCAGTGACGTCATTCGTCGTGTTGCCAAATTCATCATAAGTCCTGTCGAGCGTTGTGTTATTCTATCGATACACCAACCTAAGTCCAAAGTAGTTTAGTAGCCACGACTGAACTGGCGGCAATCGAACCACTTTCATAGTGTACATCATTTTGATTTTGATTGGATGGACCAAAGTTGTTCGTTTGTGCAGACAAAACACGATTTTTATCGGATACAAAAGGGGTTAGTGTTCACGACGAAACTCTTTCTACCTGGTTACCAAAACGTTTATTACCTGCGACAAAGCCTTATCAATCGAACAAAGTTCAGTACCGGCATCAAAACATTTTTCTCAGTGCACCAATGGATTGCTCTCCCAAAGAGGAATCCATTGGTGGGGTCACACGTTCGGTTCGAGTACCATAGCGACACTGGAGCTCAAAACGCGTCTAGAGTTTTGTCCGCCTCCACCGCTCACTGTGGGGCAGAACGCCTGGCCGGGTAGGCCGCGCGGCTAACTCGCCTGCATTGCTGCACCGCGGCGGCCTACCTCGCAGGCGGCCTTCTCGCCAGACGCTCCCTTCTTCCTCGCAGCCCGCCTGTCTGTCTGTCTGCTGTCAATCTGTATTCCTGCTAGGCCATCACCCCACCCTTTCTCCCTTTCCCTCTATCTCTCTACCCCTGTTTCGCTGTTTAGCTGTGTTCGCCGAATTGCTACACGGCCACGAGACGATGGCGCGAGATTCGATATTCAATTTTTAATTTCGCATCACGCCGCGCGCAACTAGTGACACCGTGTCTTCGCGCGCGATTGAGGAAAGAGAGAGAGGCAGAGGGAGAAGGAGAAGGCGAGAGAGAGAGAGAGAAAGAGCGGGACAGGAAATTGGTTCGGCCAAACAGAACGGGGAACAAACTCGATGGGGCGCGTAGCATCGCGTAGCATCGCGTAGCATCGCGTAGCATCGCGTAGCATCGCGTAGCATCGCGTAGCATCGCGTAGCATCGCGTAGCATCCGTTAACATCTGCCGGAGAATCAAATGGAATCTCTGTCCGACACAGCGGGACGCTGCGGGGAGGGGAGGGGGAGGGGAAAAGGGGGGGGGGGCTGTAGCAGCGGACTGCGCCGTGCTGCGACACACCGCCACGTTTTGCCTAGGCCCCGCTACGGCGGGTCAAAGACCTCGCTCTGCCAAAAAACAAAAAATAAGGGCAGCTCTCGGTTGTAGTTGTTGTTGTTGTTGCTGCTGTTGTGTTGTTGTTGTTGTTGTTGTTGTTTTTCCACTCACCAGGGCTCGTCAGGGTCCGAGCCAGGCATCTCGAGGTCGTGATGGCCGCGTGAGCATTATAATCCTGAACAAAGAGGAAAGAAAAATATTCATGATTCGGGTCGTTTGGAAGGAAATGAAGCGGAAATCTGATTTGGGTGAAATCGAGAAACCAACTACTCACCAATAAAATCCTGTGAAGAGCTAGTTCTGGTCCCTGCAACAGACAGAGAAGACGAAAATTCGTTAGTAAAAGAGTCCGTTTGGGGTCGCGGGAGGACATGCGTGGCTGCCGGCTGTGCCGGCTTGCTGGCGGTCGAGGAGCGAGAGCGAAAAGGACAGCGGGAGTAAACAAACAGCGAGCTGCAGGCGGCGAAAGAACGCCCCTGGAACGCCCCTTAAACGCCCCAGGAACGCCCCTTCAACGCCCCTTCAACGCCCCAGGAACGCCACTGGAACGCCCCTTCAACGCCCCAGGAACGCCACTGGAACGCCCCTTCAACGCCCCTTCAACGCCCCAGGAACGCCACTGGAACGCCCCTGGAACGCCCAAGGAACGCCCAAGGAACGCACCGGCCCCGGCCTTTTGCCTGGCGCCTTTTCAAGATGCGCCTCGCCGGTTTACGTCGCATCATTTATGCACTCCTCGGCGGTGGCCTCGGTGGAGGCGAGCGGACGCTCCGGCCTCCCTCACGCACTCAATGAGCCTGCTCGGCACACAGGCCACAGGCAGCCACAGGCAGCCACAGGCAGGCTTCTTTGAGAGGCCCAGCCTCTCGCCCCGCTTCGCGCTGCTTTGTGTGCCCGGAGCACACTTATTAACCCGCAGTCTGGCCACGTGTTGACGGTGTTGACGGCCGAGGCGACACCGACGGCCACTCGGACGGCTGTGTTGCCATACACGCAGGCAGGATTAACAGAGAAGCGGCCGGAGGTTGGCAACCCTATCGACACTGGCGCGTCGTGAGAATTTTGGCGTACTTGTGTGGCAACACTGCTCCGGCAGGGCCGGCAGGGCCGGCAGGGTCCAGGGCGCGTCGGAAGCACTACTCGAGGGCGTCTGGAGTCTAACCGCCTCGAGAGGGAGCCGAGGCTGGAGCCGAGGGGAGGCGGCCGGCCAGCTCGGCTAGCAAACAAGGCGCAAATTCAGGTCATTGTTTAAGATGGTTTAGGGAACGGTTAAGTCGAGCGGGGCCGGGGGGGGGGGGGGGGGGGGGGGGGGGGGAGTCGGGGGCTAAGGGGTTTAGGCGCGTACGAGGCTCTCAAAGTGCGGAAGAGCGGCAAGAAAAGGGGGAGGGGGCAGTGGGGAGGCGATCATACAGAGGCAGGCAGCCCGCTGCAAGCTGCCCGCCCGCTCCGCCCGCCCCGCCCGCCGCGCGCCCCGCGCCTCCGGAATCGATAGCCCGGCCCGGCGGCCCGGCCCGGAGTCCCGGAGTGGAGACCGGGCCGAGGCCGGGAGGGCCGGCCGGGCCGCAGGCAGCCGCAGGCAGCCGCAGGCCGGGCTGGGCCGAGGCTCTCTCCCTGAGTCCCAGGGTCCCCGGCCGAGGCCGAGGCCTGATGCGGCAGTGCCTGCCTCGCCCTGCCTCGCCCTGCCTCGCCCTGCCTCGCCCTGCCTCGCCCTGCCTCGCCCTGGCGGGTCCGGGTCGCCACGCCGGCCCTCCCGGAGCCCGAGGCTACCCGGAAATACCGGGCGAGCCGGCACCGAGTATAAGCGTGCAGTTTGTCTGCCTTCCAGCGCCACATTCTTTTCGACATTGATGCGGTGCACTGGGAAAACATCCACACGTGACGAAAGAGGCCGATTTCACCAGAGTTGGCAGCAGCGAAACAAAAGACATTCGGTCCCAAACAAACAGACGACAAACGCGCACAAATCACCGTTAAAGAGGCCATTGTGTGCGCGTTTGTCGTCTGATTGTTGTGGACCGACTGTCTTTTGTTTCTGGTAAAATCGGCCATAAAACAAAACACCCGGATTTTTTTTTTCTTGCAGTCTCGATGAGACGGTGTTATGATCCCGCCGGAAGGACTCGCCGGTCCAGCTCGAGGTCTGAAGGCACAAATGACAGGCCTGGCCGTGCTGGCTGGGCTGGCCGAGCGGGGCGGGTGGCGCTAACGATACAGAACAGAGCGGCGGAGCGGCAGAGCGGCAAGGACCTCGAGGACACTCGCTGCCACGCCGCCACGCAAGCCGCCACGGCCCCTCGGAATTAGGACGGCCGGACAGCCAGCACAGCCAGCACAGCCAGACTGACCCTGGAAACTGGAAAGGACCCGAAAGGACCGCCGCCACTGTCGTTCTTTCCGCCATTCCGCTCAAGGTTTTGCTAAACATTTCCATTGTTTTTTTAGGGGTTGGTGGTAGAAATCTAGGGGAAATCACTGTGAATTTCAGTGTACAACTGCAATCAATTTCAATCTAATTTCGATAAAATTCAGGCCAAAAACTGCTGACTTTGGAGAAGAATTTCGATAAAATTTAATAAATTTTGATGAATTTCAATGAATTTTAGAAAGTTTTGCTCCACGTTAAGGCTTTTTTTTTTAAATTATAGTGAGGTTGGTGGTAAAGGCACCAACTGGAATTATAACCTTTCAGTCAGCCAAACCGGGACGCAATTTTGGGCGAGGAAGCCTTCCTCGCCCAAATTTGGGCGAGGAAACAATCCTCGCCCAAATTTGGGTGATAAAGTATACCTCGCCCAAAATTGGGTATTGATCATGACTTTTTCATTCTCAGTGCACCGAACAGGATGATCCACCGCCCCCTGCGGGTCTCATGGCTGGGCGTGTGGTCTCAACCAGACACCGGCATGGCCTGGCCGGCACAGCACCAACCGCGACCAACCGGCACAACGCTTCAAAACGCGCAACAACATTTTTGGAAAAAAAAAATGTGGCGTCATGGAGAAGTGTTTCCGGTCGGCGACGCAACGTCGCGCCGTGTGGCCGTGTCCTCACGCGACGCGTTGTGCGTCCGTCTCTGTCTGTCCTCGTCTCCGTCCCTCCCCCGGCGGCTCGGCCAGGCTCGACCGGGCTCGGCGCGCCTCTGCAGAGCTCTGGCACTGCCGTGGCACTGCCGTGGCAGTGTGTATTGCCTGGATCAATGAGCAGTCTGGAGAGAGCGAGACAGAGAGAGACAGAGCGCGACGGAGAGCGGGAGCCGTCTGCGCACGCCCGGGCCCCGTCCCCCTCCACGCCGCACACAGCTGAGACCGTCGCTGCAGCTGCCCCCTCCCCTTCTCCCGTTCTCTCTCCCTCCCCCTTCCTCCACTCACTCACTCTCTCTCACACACACACACACACACACAGAGCACCGAAACAAAACAGATTACAGGCGTCGTTTCAATCCGCTATGCAGCCAGCCCACTGCGGCCGCGGAAAAAGCTGTCTCTAGTACGGCCGGGTTAATGAGTACGAGAGAGAGGGGGTGGGGAGAAAGTGAAAGAGGTGGTGGGGACCACACGGAAGCTGCGGCACCGTCGTTATCGGAAAACGTGAAGAACCTGTGAAAAATTGCCATCAAAAAATACTTTTTGTACAGTGATTTTTTGTTATCTTTTTAAGGAGCATGAGAATGTGAAGGCTAGTGCAAGCCCGGAGAAGTATGACGCGGAGCAGTATTTTAAATTGGAGAGAGACCTCGCTGGCTGCCTCTCGCTCCCTCTCCCGCGCCACCTTGGAGCCAAGGCTGAGCCAAGGCAGAGCCAACAACCAGCAGACTGATTCCGAGAGTCGTCGCTCTGTCTCTCTCGCACCTATAGGGAACGCCCCGTGAGTGCGAGGGAGACAGAGCGACGAAAACGACTCTCGGAATCAGTCTGCAGTGTGGGGTCGGGAAGCGCCGCCGAAAACACGCGAGAAAAAGAAGGGCTGGAGACCCGCACGTCGCAACAACACACTGTTAGGACTGGCCCACCACAAAAAAAAGAGTGAGTTGAGAGCGAATCATGCCAGCGTTAACGGACTTGTTCACTCGCAGACCACGTGGTCGTTTACTATTGGTTGCCCAGGAAAAATGACGAAACAAATGAATAACGAAGAAGAAGCGTAAAGTTTACTCGCAAAGTAGGAAGACCCGGAGAATTTGTTTAACCAAGTGACTGGGTGCGATGCGCGAGCGTGCGTGCCGTCACGTGGCTGCGGGGCGGGGCGGGGCGCCGGCAGCCCGTTGCCAGGAGCACGGAATATGTATATGGGCTCTCCGATTTCATCTCGGCAAGATAATACAGCAGAACCCTGAACGAAGGGCGCACAGTGGGCCGGGAGACCGGCGGAGGCGGCCAAAACTCTAGACGCATTTTGTGCTCCGGAGTCGCTGAGTGGGACTCGAACCGAACGTGTGACCCCACCAATGGATTGCTCTCCGAACGAGGAATCCATTGGTGGGGTCACACGCTCGGTTCGAGGCCTGTTTAGCGACTCTGGAGCTCGAAACGCGTCGAGACTTTTGGCCGCCTCCGCCGGTTTTCTGGCCCACTGTAGGCGAGGCGCGTGACGCGGGGGCACGCACGGCTCTCATCTCGGCGGCGGCGTGCGGGATCTGCTGACTGGATTGTGTTCCGTGTTCTCGGCGGGGAGCGGGGTGGAGGGAGAAAAGGAAACTGGTGCGACGATACCCCGCGCGAGGCTAGGGTGCGGGTGCCCTGTTAACGCCGGCCATTGTGAGGGGGGTAGCGGCGAGGGCACCGCCCCTGCACCGTCCCGCCCGATCGGGCGGGGTGGGTCAAGTCCCGCTGTGAACGCGGACCGGTTTTGCCACCTAAGAAACCGAAGCCCCCACGATGGACCAGCAGCCGAAGGGTAGCCAACGTCAGCTTGCCCGCGGGGCAACTTCCCCAGAGCAGCCAAGACGTTGCCCGGCAGGCAGGCTGAGGCTGGCATTCCTTGCATCAAGGACGACAGACTTTGCCTCAGTAGCAGCACTGCGACCGGTGGCGGGGAGCGCCTGTGGAAGCCGGGGTAGGCAACGCGCCGCGAGGCCGTGCAGCGCGTGGCGCGGCGCGGCCTACCTCGCAGGCGCTCCACCCCGGAGCACAGTGGACCAGGCGGCCAAAACTCTAGACGTGTTTTGAGCTCCAGAGTCGCTAAACACGACTCGAACCAAACGTGTGACCCCACCAACGGATTCCTCGTTCGGAGAGCAATCCATTGGTGGGGTCACACGTTCGATTCGTGTCCCACTCAGCGACTCTGCGGCTCAAAACGCGTCTGGAGTTTTGGCCACCTCCGCCGCCGGTCTTCTGGCGAATCCACTGCGCGGTGGCCTCGATCACCATGCAGCGGGGAGGCAAAGATGGCGAAGCCGATGAAGCGCGTTTCACGCCATGGAGGCCGCCGCGGTGGCCGGGCCCACTCGGCCATCCATTCCCGATGTCCGATAGCCTCCCTTCCGATGAGGGGCCTCCGCGTCGGTGCGTCACCGCGTCCTCGGTGCCGTGCTCCAGGCCGTCCAGGCCGTCGCCGTGGAGTGTAGAGCCGCGCGGCCGGCCGGGATGCAGATCCCCGACGGGACTCCCAGTCCGGGAGCAACGCGCCGAGCACGTTCACTCGTCATCAGCGAAATGACGAAACACGGGCTGGTGGCTGGCGCGGCACGCCGCGGCACGCGTGGGGGAGTAGAGGGAAACGAAAGGGAAAAGGGAGGGAGGGGGGCGGCTGGAAGTGACGGGGGAAATGGACGGGAACAGAAATAAAAAAGGAGGCAACGCGAGTGGCAATGGAGACCGAGACACCCCGAATAAAACGGATTGAGTGAGTCATCTGGCCGCGCCGTGGCGGGGCGGGGCGGGGCGGGGCGGGGCGGGGCGGGGCGGGGCGTGCCCTGCCGTGCCATCCATTGTGGCATTCGACTCTTCATTTCCGATGCAGCCGTTTGTCCATCCGCAGCGAGAGGCGAGAAGCAGCGTCGAATAAGCACTTCCTTTGACACACCGGCCGGGCTGCCGGCTTAGCCTTGGTGTGGCCCGGCATCCAACGCGCCCCCGCACCCCGCTGATCCGACGCCGCCGTCACGGACCGAGCTCTCCCGCTGCTACAGTATAATTTTATTTTTATTCTTTTTAGAGTGAGCTGAGCAGATTTATGGGTCGACAAGCATGCGGAGGAGGCCGCGACGACCGCGGCGCACCGCAAGCAGCACGCCCTCGGCGCCCTCGGCCTCCTGTTCCGTCCTGTTGCTGCAGACTCCGAGCCGATGGCGCCAACGGCACGACGCAGCCCCAGGACCGCGATCCGGGGAGTCTGAAGGACTTCAGAATGAGATCACCGCCATCGTCTTGGGGCCGCCTCGCCCTGAGGCCACCCCGCCCTGAGGCCACCCCGCTCTACGGCCGCCCCGCCCTGAGGCCGCCCCGCCCTACGGCCACCCCACCCTGAGGCCACCCCACCCTGAGGCCACCCCGCCCAGAGGCCACCCCGCCTTAAGGCCGCCCCGCCCTACAACCGCTCGCCCAGAGGCCACCCCGCCCTAAGGCCGCCCCGCCCGGCCGCCGCGCCTTGAGGCGCGCACCCTGTCGCACCCACCTTCCAACTTTTCCAGCCGCCATCGATTAGTTGTTTTGAACAAGTTGCCGCAACGCGGGGCGCGGAGCCTCGTCGAGGCGCGACGGGGCGCGGCGGGGCGCGGCGGGGCGCGGGGTGGTGGAGGGGGGGGGGAGGTTAAGTGCGGCAGCCGCACGAGACACGCGACCCGCGCCACGCACGCCAGCACGCAACACGCCTCGAGGGGGCGGTGTGAAAAAGACACGCCGCAAACAGTGCAGCTAGATCCAGTGCTTATTTTTACCCTCGGTCGGGGTGGAAAGGCAAGCCGAGTCGGCGGAGCGGGTGCCTTCATGCTCGTCCTGGTTTTCGGCCCGTCTTCCGCAGTCCGGCCGCAGGGAAACCAGAAAACCGGAGAACCTGGGCCGCGCCGCGCCACACCGACGCCCCGGCCTGGGACGTGTTTCTTTCCTCTCTCTGCTCTCCGCCTCTGCCTTCACCGCCTCGTGCAGGAAGACAATTACAGCTCGCCGGTTATTTCCGGCCAGTCCGTTCCCAGGCCTCTGCTTGGCGGTGTACAGTGTGGTGCGGCACGCCCGGGCTCGGCCGGGCACGGCCGGGCATAGCAGTGTACCGCAGAAAGTCGCGGCAGTATGCACTTGTCAACACTGCGCGCCCCACATCGAAGCCCCCCGGGACTCCTTGCGCGCTGTTTGTTTTCCGTCGTTCTCCCTCCCTCTCTCTCTCTCTCTCTCTCTCTCTCTCTCTCTCTCTCTCTCTCTCTCTCTCTCTCTCTCTCTCTCTCTCTCTCTCTCTCTCTCTCTCCCCCCCCTCTCCCTTTCTCTCCGTCTCTCGCTCTCGCTCGGAGACTGCAGACGGCTTTTACCTGCATTGCCTCGACACGGCTACTTTGCAGTCGAGATAGCGGCCCAACGCCCCACCTCCCCCTTTCCCTTCTCTCTCTCTCTCTCTCTCTCTCTCTCTCTCTCTCTCTCTCTCTCTCTCTCTCTCTCTCTCTCCCCTTCTTTTCGAAACCTCTTTGCGTTGCTCTTGCCCGGCACCATCGCTAAAAGGGCTGGTGTGTCTCTCTGTCGGACGGGCGGGACAGATTCCCCGCATAGGTGTGGGGATGGGATAGGCAATGGCGCCCAAGCCGACGCACACTCTCTCTCTCTCTCTCTCTCTCTCTCTCTCTCTCTCTCTCTCTCTCTCTCTCTCTCACTCTAGGGACGCCCCGTGGGAGCGCGAGAGAGACAGAGTGACGAGGCAATGTTCCGGAGGCAGCTCGCTGCAAGGCCATCACAAGCAGAACCATGAGATGAGGGCAGTTTTCCGTGGAAACAAGATTGGTTCCCTAAACTGCTCCAAAAGTTATTTCAGTTGATTCATCTATAAATAGTTGCCCTAACTGTAGTTTCAGTTACTCTAGTTACAGTAACTAAAACGTTAACTCGTTTTTATATGTATCAACTGACAAGACATTTGGAACCGCTGAGAACTAGAGTATTGCTTGTCGCGAGCACTCTTACACTCTCATTTCAGGAACGTGACATCACGTTGAAATGAATGTGACAAAATGTCACGTTCGTTTGAGCGTTGTGTCACATTCGTTTGGATGTGAATCGGCCAAAACTTAGCTTGTTTACATTCAAACGAACGTGACACAACGCTCAAACGAACGTGACATTTTGTCACGTTCGTTTCAACGTGATGTCACGTTCCTGGAATGAGAGTGTATTCTTTTTTCTTGAGACGCCTAGAATGGACTGACCTGGGTGAGCAGGCGTGCGGTTGAAAAGGCTGGTGCTAGCGGGGAGCGTCAATTCGTGTACCAGTGCCGTTCCATCGTGCAAGACTGCAAGGACGGAGGGTAAGTAGAAGAACCTGCGGCAAAATACCTTTCCGTTATACAACACTCTGCGGCTCACGGCCCTCCCGGCTGAGGTTAGGTCAGGTCGGTCGGGTTAGGTCGGACGGGTTATTTCGGGAAACGTGCCACGCGATGCGTCGGCAGGCACACCTTACGAAGTATTTTGAACATACATATAGTACAAAACAATTTACTTTGTAGTGCGAATAAATTACGAAAGTATCTTTGTAAGCTAATGTATGCTCGAAATACCTTTGTGATGACCAGCTGCTTTCCTTTGTAAGGCCTAAAATAGTTTGTAAGGTTTTCACAGTGTAGGGCGGCACACATTAACCCTCACTTACATCGGGCCGTGTGGGAAGGGGCGGGGCAGGCCGGGGAGATGCAGTCGACCAACAAATTGAAAGCCAGGTGACGGGTAAACCAGTTTCGGATGGGGTAGGCGGGCGAGGCGGGTGGCGGGGAGTGGATGTGTTCGAGCAGCAAGATTCATATCAGCCTGCCGGGCCGGGGCTCGGCTGCGGCCCCGAATAAATTTAATGGTAAGCGTGGGCGGGGCGCGGGGCGGCTGGCGTTGTAACAGGTGCAAGCTATGTCCGGATAGGTTAGGCTTTCGGGGGAGGGGCTTCTCTCGGCGCAAGTCCGCTGGGGAACGCACGGCTCGCAGCTTGCGGGGCTGCGCAAGCTTGCAGCTTCAGTCGTCTCTCTCCCTCCACTTCGGCCTTCTATTCGGCCTCGGCCCCGCCATGGCCGGCCAGCGAGTTTGGCCGACACTTCGCCCATTTGGCCAGCTTTCAGAGGCAACTTTGAGCTGGGAGCAAGCGCGGACCGAACGGAAGGACGTCAATGCCTACGCTCGCGGGGCTCGGCTCGCGCCGCGTCCGCATCGTCCTGTGTCCAGCATGTCCGCCTGGTGTCCGGCCAGCACGTCACCCGGACGCTGCCGACGTGCGCGCGCTTCGTGCCGCCAGCGCCGCCAGCGCCCCCCGCGGTGTCTCGGTGTCTCGGTGTCACTTTGCTCGTCCCCGGTGCGTCCGTTGCGTCGCTGGCGTGTCACTGGCGTGCCTGTCCCTGAAATGTCACTGTGGCGTGCAGTTCTGCGCTGCGGCTTCTGATGCGGTCTAGTGCGGTATTGACTGCGGCGTTCATTCACCCGCTGGCACCCCCACCCCCTCGCCCCCCCACCCCTCCTCGCCCTCCTCACCCCCCACCCCGCCGCGCCGTGGAGGGGGCAGGCCGCAGGGTACTAACGCAACGCGTCGAGGGGCGCGCTGGGGGCGGGGGTCGTGGCGCACCCGCCCCTCCCCCCGGGGTCCACCCCCGCGGGCCGCCCCCGGCTGAGTTCGCTCGCACGGCCAAGACTCGCCACCAGCGCTGCAGCCCCCGGCCGCCCCCGACCGCCCCCGGCCGGGCCAGGCCGGGCCCGCCCCCCGACCGCCCCCGCCCGTCTTCGGCAAGGACATGCGAACTCGCTGCAGCAGGAGCCGAAGGAAATCCGGCTGCACAATCGCACGAACCGCCGTCGCACAGTGGGCCAGAAGACCGGTGGAGGCGGCCAAAACTCTTGACGCGTTTTGAGCTGCAGAGTCGCTAGATGGGACACGAACCGATCGTGTGACCCCCCCCAATGGATTGCTCTCCGAACGAGCAATCCATTGGTGGGGTCACACGCTCGTTTCAAGTCCCATTTATCGGCTCTGGAGCTCAAAACGCGTCTAGAGTTTTTGCCGCCTGCACCTGTCTTCCGGCACACTGTGCGGCGCCACGCCTCCGATGCATTCCGCCTTCGTACTTCGCGTATCGGCATGCAGCGCTGCGGGGTAATGACTCGCAGTGAAGTGGAGGCGCCACTGCCGCCAACCTCACCTGCCGCGTCACGAAATGCCAGGAACGCCGCCAAATTTGGCAACACTGCAGTAAAGCGGGGCGGCGGCGACGCGCCTAGCCTCCTCGCCGCGACGGCCGACGGCGAGGGCCATTTACGACCGCGAGGCCGACAGCGATTCAGGGGATTCAGGGTGTAGGCCGCCGTAGGCCGCCGTAGGCCCCGCACTGTAGGGGGTGTAAAAGTTCCTCCGGGAGGACGACCGTGACGGCGACGGCGGAGTGGCGGAGCGGCGGGTTGGCGGGGCGGCGGGGGAAAGAGGGATTTTCCAGTGGGCGCGCGAGGCGCGGCGAAGGAGCCGACGGGATCCCTATTTGCCTCCGCGAGTGTATCGACTTGAGAGGAGGAGCATCGCGATGGAGCCCCAATGGAAAACAGCTGTCACAGGTCACAGGTCCGCGGGGAGGCCCTCGCCGAGGCCCTCGCGACACATCGGCGGCCTCGCGGGCCTGGCGGGCCACAGTGGGCCAGGAGACCGGTGAAGGCGGCCAAAACTCTAGGCGTGTTTTGAGCTCCAGAGTCGCTGAACAGGACTCGAACCGAGCGTGTGACCCCACCAATAGATTCCTCGTTCGCGGAGAGCAATCCATTGGTGGGGTCACACGTTCGGTTCGAGTCCCATTTAGCGACTCTGCAGCTCAAAACGCGTCTAGAGTTTTGGCCGTCTCCACCGGTCTTCTGGCCCACTGTGCGGGCCTGGCGGGCCTGGCTCTACGCGCTAGACAGCCGAGGCGCCCCGCGTCCCGCGTCCGTGCCGTGGAGTGTCCGTGGGCCGTTGCATGTCCGGAACGACATGCAGGGGACGTTCGCGGACGACCAGCTACGCCCCTCACGTGTCGTGCGTGTCGCGGACCAAGGCACGAGTGCAAGAGCAGCGGGGAGCGGGGACGGAAGGGGAAAGAAGAAAATCGAAAAGAAGGAAAAAAGAAGAGCAAAGGAAAGGAAAAGAATCGCATAGCGGCTCAGAGCGCCCGCGGATCGCGCCATAGGCCAGCCCGCAGTGTACCGCTGCCGCCGGGTTGCCTACTCGCCAGGCGCTCCGTCCCGCTCCGCCCCGCCCCGCCCCGCCCCGCCCCGCCCCGCCCCGCCCCGCCCCGCCTTCTTCCGGCTTCCACAGGTCCAGTTTCCGCGGCTCCCGCAACCCTCGCCCCTCCCACTTCCGACAGCGTTTCGCGCCCCCGCTGAAGCTGAAGCTGAGCGCGAGAGAAAAATTATATCGCGGTCGTGATGGAGAGCCGGCCGGAGCACAGTGGGCCGGAGAACCGATGGAGGCGGCCAAAACTCTAGACGCGTTTTGAGCTCCAGAGTCGCTAAACAGAACTCGAACCGAACATGTGACCCCACACTCTTAAAACATTGCGAACAGATGTGTTTGTATGCTTGCGGAGAGTCTCACTTGTTCTCAATGCGAAGAACGCATCCGTATTGCAAATCACTTGTTCGCAACTTAGGAAAAAGTGCTTCGCAATTTGCGAACAACCTGTTTGTATTGCGAACCCTTGCAAACACATTATTCGCAGAATTGCGAACTTCTTGTATGTAATACAATCAAGCCAAACTCTTCGCAAGCTGCCGAGATTTTCGTTTACCGTGCGGCACGACAGCCCTGGCAACTCGGGTCGACTCGGGTGGCAACGGCCAAGGCGGCCAAGGAGCCGGGCAGCAACGCGTGACGATTGATTGTGCGCGTTTCATTATTCACCACACGAATGCGGCAACGCTGCAGCCGCGCCAGCCGCGCCCACGCACTGTCTGTCTGTCTCTCTCGCACTCGCGGCCTCCCTGGGCGTTCCTGGGCGTTCCAGGGTGTTCCAGGGTGTTCCACGGGCATGCAAGAGCGACAGAACGACGCCGGCGCTGTTCGGGGTCCGTCTGCAGAGAGGGCCAGAGAGGGCCCAAACGAACACCCGGCTCATAGTGGGCCAGAAGACCGGTGGAGGCGGCCAAAACTCTTAACGCGTTTTGAGCTCCAGAGTCGCCAAATGGGACTCGAACCGAACGTGTGACCCCACCAATGGATTGCTCTCCGGACGAGGAATCCATTGGTCGGGTCACACGTTCGGTTCGTGTCCCGTTTAGCGACTCTGGAGCTCAAAACGCGTCTAGAGTTTTGGCCGCCTCCACCGGTCTTCTGGCCCACTGTGCGGCGTCGCGTCGCCGCCGCCGCCGAGCGCAGGGCGTCGAGTTGAGTCATCGGTGGCCTTTAGCTAAAGCGGCTAAGCCACTCGCTAGGAGGCTCGCGCAGGCCGGCAACCTACGGAGCACGGTCTCGAACTTGCGTTCCTACCATGAAACGAAAAACACGATGGGTCGCCCTCTCAAACTAGCAGGGCCGAATCTGCCAGCGCCTTCGCGAGTTTGATTCGAGTCTGATTCGAGGCACGTACACCATAAAACGTGTTCAGTTACGGCCGCCGGGAAGGGGGTCTCCTGAGCGCCGGCCGGTATGCACTCATCATCTGCACACATTCACACACAAACACACACACACACAGGCTGGCCGGCGGACCGCGGGCCGAGTAGTGCTGTGACCACGTGGCGAGGCCGCGGTGCCGCCTCGCCCGGCCTCGCCCGGCCTCGCCGTGACGTGGAGCGTAGAGCGTAGAGCGGCCCCGGCGCGCCGTGGAGGCGACCTGCCGCTCAAACGCTTGCCATATCGATCTCTCGAAAAGGTCGATGCCAGTTATTTTTACTCCGTTCAGCTCCCCCCGGCAGCCTCGAGATATCGATCTTCGGCCGGCACTATACACTCATTTGTCGCCCTCTTATGCACGGCCGCGGTGAGTGCGTGTGTGCGTGTGTGTGTGTGTGCGTGTGTGTGTGTGTGTGTGTGTGTGCGTGTGTGGGTGTGTGGGTGTGCACGCGCGCATGCAAGAGGAAGACGGCCACTCCCGAACCGCGGCCAATCGAGTCATGCGACAAGGGGCCGGCAGACGTAGGCAGACGTCGCTCTGTCTCTCTCGCACTCGTGGGGCGTCCGGGAGTCCCGGAGGGGTGCGAGAGAGACAGAGCGCTCTGGCGGTCTGGCGGCGTCTCAGAGCACGCCATTGCCCTCAGCCTTCAGGCCTTGAGCACGCGAATGCGACCGAGGCGTTCCCCTGCCGACTCCAGGTCTGTCCAGTTTACGCGGACAAACGCGTTGTCCCCGCGGCCTGGCCCTGGCACTGCCGCTTCCTGGAGAAATCCCGTTGAGTGCGAGCAGAGTGGAGCAGAGCGAAGTGCAGGGAGGAAGGGGCGGTGCTTCGGCACGTCCGCTTCGGGTCCAACCGCACTGTCCGTCAATCGGAACGTGTGCCACGTTGACTCGGCATTTCAGGCGACAAGGGCTCGCGCCGCTCGAGCGCCGGCGGGGACACGACAACAAATTCCCTTTCAGCAAGGCGGTGGCTTTGGCATTGCTGCAGGGATGGCGCGCCGGGAAGTGCGTCAGCGAGCCTTCCTGACTCCCGGCCGAGGTGAGCAGGCCCGGCGTCGGGCAGGCGCGGCCCTGTTTGGGACGCCGAGGCCGTGGCCGTGGCCGAGGCCGCTCCACGGACGTGCACGCACACACCGCGAGGGTCGCCGAGAGGACCGCCACGGGGCAAAGGGATACAGCCAAGCGCGCCCCGACAAGGCGAAGGAGGGGGGAGTGCGGGCTTTTTTCCGGCGGCGCGCAAACGGCCGAAAGGGTAACGCAAGGGCTCGAAGGCACTGAAGGGTTGAATGCACACACCGACGCGCCGCATGTAGGGCAGGGACGGCAGGGGAGGGGGCGGGGAGGGCGACGCGCCCAGGCCACGCCACGCCGAGCCACGCCGAGCCACGCCGAGCCACGCCGAGCCACGCCGAGCCACGACAGGCAATGCAGTTTGGCCTCCATTGCCGGGCCAAGCGCGGCGCGGAGGCGGACGCGGCGACGCGGCGACGCGGCTCGCCACTTAACGGATTGCACAAAACCCGATTGCAAAGGGCTCGGTGCGCCTCGGTCCGACTCGGTGGTGGCGCGGTGGCGCGGTCTGGTGCCAGCAGTGGTGCGGCCAGCCCTCTATCTTGTTCCATTGCTCACTTGGCTTCCACCCCCTACTCGCACACACTCGCATACACGCGCGCACACTCACACACACACACACACACACTCACTGACTCGCACGCAGACACACGGGCATGCATTCGGGCATGCAAGGGCTGGCGCTGGCGCGCTGGGCAGGCGACCGCAGTCCGCAGTCCGCGGCGACTCCACTCACCGCGCTAGAATCCACTCGGTGGGTCGGGCTGTACGTCGGGCTGTACGGCCAGTGGCTATTGGCTGGCTATTGGCTGGCTATTGGTGGCGGGTCCTGTTTCAAAGCACTGTCAGGGCGCGGTGCGCGGGGCGCGGTGCAAGACGAGAGGGCTTTCCTTTGCTTCTCGTTCAGACTGTGTTTCTCTCTAGGCTAGTGATGGCGAGGGTAGCGGACGGCGCGGCGCGGCACGGCACCCTCCTCGCGGCCAAGTCGTCGCGGCACTGGCGGGGCCCTGGCGGGGCGCTGGCGGGGCGCGGGGCGTGCTGGCGCTGGACTGGGGCGGTAGCGCCGTGCGGAGCACGCAACGCTCTGGGAGAGGGGGGCGGGGGGCAGCGGCAGCGGCGGCGCGGCAGCGGCGTGGAGGGGCGCAGTCGCTGCGGCTGACGTCCCGCGGTGGGGCGGGGCGGGGTGCGGCGGGGTGCGGCGGGGTGCGGCGGGGTGCGGCAGGGGGCGCGGCGGGGGTGGGGCGCGCCCCCATAGACACGGCTAGGGGTGGCGGCAGCGCGGGCAGAGCGGCCAGCACACTGGCAGCCCGACCCGAGCGACGCCAGCGCCCCAAGCCTCGCCTGCGGACCGCCGCGCAACTTCCTCCGCGTCCGTGGCTCCGTTGCCCTTCCTGGTGGGGCCTGGAGGGACTGGAGGGGCCTGGAGGGGCCTAGAGTAGAGGCCGGCCTGGGCCACGCCGCCACGCCGCCACACCGCACCCTGCCGTCGGCCTGGCCGAGTGGGCCTGGTGCCGCGCTCGCTAGAGCGTCTACAAGAGCGGCTAGAGCTTAGAGCAGCGCGGCGTGCCTTGCCATTGCCGCGTGCCGCCCCTCTAGCGTGCTTCCATCGTGCTTAGCGCCGCCAAATTGGTGGCGGCTGGCGGCGGCGCGGTGGCGGCGGGCGGCGCTAGGGTGGCGGCGCGCGGCGCTGGCGATCGCCCGGGTCGATAGGCACTGGGCCGCTACGCCCAAGGGAGAGCTGGGACTGTAGCCGTGCCGCCGTGCAGCCGTGGCGTGCTCGTTGGCCGTGCTGGCACGCGTGCCTCTCTCCCTCTCTCTGTCCCTCTGTGCGGAAGTACCGTACTACCCCTGACGTACGAGCGCCGGCCAGCGCAGGAGAGTCGAGCCGGCGCTACCCCGTGCACCCCGTGCTAGCCGTAGGCTGCCTTAAGGCACACCGTGAAGCCGGGGTATTGCCACGGAGTGCGCAGGGCCGCGTTGCCACTCTCGGCAACAGGTCTCTCAGATTAATATGAGAGGAGACTCGAATGATTTGCATCATTAGCGGTACTTTTTCCTTTAGACTGTTGTGGGCAGTTGGCGTTTGCATTTTGAGGCTAGCGGCAGCCACGCGGCGTTACCCCTCGCTGGTGGGAGCTCTGCAAAGCTGAGGAGTATTGCCAGCCACGCACGTAGGACTATTTTCAATGTTCGGTGCAGTCGGATTGCGAGTTCAGATGCAAGTGAGAGCCGAATGGGATATTTGTTAGAAATGTATTTCAAACATCACACATACATCAAAAACGACTTGGCTTAGGATGCAAGTGGCTAATGACTCAGTAGTTGAAAAGATAAAACATGAACATGCAGGTAATGGGATTGAAAGTGGTTCTTCACCATTGTTTTTAATTTGTAGAGTCAATAAAAACAAATAAAAATCACTAAGGAGTAAGCTTATCTGAAGGAAAATTCAAGCCATGTGTCATAAAAAGGACTCCTATTCCAAACCACTTTGTTTAAGATAATTTTACAATACTTCAGTGACACCCCCCAAAAAAAACAGAAAGTAGGGCAAAAACAGGTAAAGTAATGATGTGTTCCCAATCTTAACAGTCTTATCTTTTTTTATCCTTGCCTCTTTGTATTGTAATAGTGATCAATTGCTTTCACAAGAATATTGAGAACCATTGGGGATCCTTATGGTAGATAGATGGTCAATTTTAAGATTCCATCCCCTAAAAATATTTTAAGGAGTATAACACAACTAAAATGACTTAAATAAATAATTAACAGAACTAACCATGCACATAATCGAGCACATGTGCAATAACTTAGCCATCTACACAACATTTTTAAAAAATCCATTAAAGGTACTAATTACATCTCAAATCAAAAAATGTACAAAACTTTTGTGGAAAACATCTCTTTAGTTTCCTGTATAAATTTAAGACGTACTCCTCTCAAAGCAGACAAAAGAAAAGAACAGATACACCACAGAAAAGAAACAGGTTACTTAATAAGATAAGATAATCCCAGAACTCTAGAATCACCCAACAAATTTCTAAAGCTGATAGAAGCCTTGTTTCTTTTTGCATTGCAAGCAGATCCTTGCTTCAGAGTATTGAATGAACCAAACATTCCTTAAAGTATATACAAAAGAAAAAAAAAACTTTTAAGTAATCTCTTAAAATAGAGACAGAGAAAAGAAGAGAAAGGAATTGTGTTAATCAACACTAACTGATTTTTGTAAATAGTTTTCCCTCAGTATAAAATCACTTACAAAGAAAGTTATTCTCAAGGAACTTTTGCACCAAGTAGCAGGAATGTTTCTTTTAAGAAACCATCACTCAGCACAGTCACTTCCATTTCAATGGTGAGGCCGTTTCTTCTCTTTCTTCCGCTTCTTGATGCCATGATGCTTGGATCATTTAGGCCCCTCGATTAGAGCATTTCCTATGTTGGTCATAGCTGGGTATTTGACCTTACGTTTATCTAACTCATCTTGCGCCCACAGGATAAGCTTCAATAGGTTTGACAAACGAGGACTTGTAGACTCCAAGTGCTCCGTTTTCAAGATAGCAGCATTCAGTTCACTTGCGACCTAAGGTAAGAGAGAAATGACTGTGAATGTGGAGGAAATAGATATGGGTTGGCTTCCAATGAGTGGATAGAATCCAACAATACCTTTTGTCGATGAGTGGGTAGGAGGAGGTCGCTAAAAGGGCTCTGCGTTGGTTCATCAAAAGCAAGCAGTGCCAATGTTCGCTCAAGCTCGTTCAGCACAGCAGGATCTGCTTCACCCGCTTCTGAGAGGTGATTTTGGGCAAAGCTCAAGGCTTCCTCAACCTGCCCTGATCGAATCAGCTCAATCAGATGAAGTTGCTGAAAGATGAAATATCCCAGTTAGTTAGTCCCAAGTCCAAATAATGACATCAAAAATAGGATTTTAAAAAATGTAAGAAACCAACCTGCAAGTGGAAATAAAGGTAGCGGTCATTGTCTAACAGTTCAGGGTGCAGCTGATTGACAAGAGAAGTAGCTTCTTGGATTCGGCCGTTTTGAATAGCATCCCTAATGCGAATGCGATCGTCCATAGAGTCCAAATCCATGCAAGGTCCGATTCCAGACTCTTGTTGGAACTTTTCTGCCGCTTCTTTGAAACCCTCTGTAGATAAGACAAAGTTGATATTAGTCGTACAGCAGCGTTCATAACCCAAACAAAGAGCATACAACTAAACAACAGGACACACAAAACTCATCATTACCCTCTGCTAAGCACAGAAACCTCATCTCTTTAGCCTCCTCTTGCATATTTTAGATAAATACAAATCACTAATGTTACCTGTCACAAGATAGTTCATGATGAGCTTGTTCATGTCTGCACGTTGGATATGTGCATTTTCTAGACGTGTGACCCACTCTTCTTTAGAGGTACCTTCCGTTTTGTCCGGGTAGCTCATGCTGCACAATTTCTTGTGGCATAAAGCGTAAAGCATGCAAAAATTCTTCTTCCTGCTCAGGCAGCTAGTAACCAAAACAACCTTCGGCAGAGGCCACAATACCTGAAACAAGCGGTTTACCTTCGCTGTTAAGTCAATTAAATGGTCTGTCTGAAAGTTGCAATACATTTCAGGCCAGGGTACTAACACATGAAATATTTACCTTCGGACGTCGATAAAGTCAATTTAATTTCCAGCTGACTTCAGTCATTTTTCTTTCTCTTTCTTTTTTGCCAGAAAACCCACGGCCTTTGCTATCATAAACAACGTAAGAAGAATGCTAGAGGGCGCTAGCAGAACGTTTCGGGACAGCCAACTAAATTTTTACATTTCAACGAAACTTCTTTTCGAACATGCAACCTCTAACATCATTCGCTATATATTTTTGATCATAGAAACAATCAGGGATAATTTCTGAAGCCTTTCATAACAAGTCGATTATCGGTTTTTTTTTCGAAGCATTGTGGTTTTAAGGTTTTAGTGTTGGCTTTGTTGGGAGCCGAAATTTTGTGCTGTAGCAGACGATGCTGTCAAGATGATAATGGTATGTTATGATTTAAAGGTTCTTAGACTTCTCAATGACCAAGAACGCAATGACCGTTCAGTGTCATCATTGCTAAAGAATTTTGCTGAATTTTTGAACTAAGGTTTTTTTTGGTCTTGAAAGATTTTTTGAAATGTGTATCATAACTGACACTATACTTATGTTTGTAGGTTAACCCTATTTTCTTTGCTGTTGTGAAGTTAATACTAATGTTTGTTTTTGTTTTGTTCGGTTTCATGTTTTAGGTGACAGGGAGCTTGGCAAATCAGCGTTGCTCTTTTTATGTCTTACTTTTATCCATTGCTTTTTTTATTCATAACTCCGGGGCAACAAAGAACTCATTAAATCAACAGTCTTCTCGTTGTGGTTTACATGCAACTATTGTTCGTCAAGTTGAACGTGAAGGATTTCACAGGTATGCACATCTTGCCACTACTCGCATATTCTCAATTTCAAAGCTGGTTCCACACCTACACTATGTTCTTTGCTCTTTGTATTTCAGAGATCTTGGATCTCTCGTGGAGCTTGTAGCACAAAATCCGTTGGAATGGCAAAACTGCACAGTAGCTCTTCAAGAAACAATACCAAGTGGACTGTATGTGAATCAAGACCAGCTTTTGGACTTAGAACGTCAAGGCATAGTAAGTTGACTCCTCAGAAAACACTAATTTTCCCTCAACTTCGCAGCACAGTTTAATGTATACCTTTGTATTACCCTGATTTCAGTTAACAGCTTGCCCAGAAACATTTGTTGATGTGGAAGCTGCTCAGTGGCAGTCTGAATCATTCAATGTTTTGGTGTATTCCTCACTGCAAACTGCTCTCAACCTCTTGTATGCCCACATTCGCATGCCTATCCATCTTAGATATCATGCCCCCACTGAAACTGGAGGGTATGCTGGAGTGTATATTCCACCACCAAAACTATTTATACGATGCAGTAATGAAATTACTTGTGGAAATAAGGATAGCTATTTTTCTGCACCATGTGATGGCTGTACTGGTTCATCCTGCTCATGGTTGCCGCTACAATTCAACACTGTATGTACTGATGTACTTTTTCTGATATTTGATTTTACTGCTAACTATCACCTTAATAAATTTGTCTTTGTTCTCTTTTCAGAACACCCCTCAACAAGGCTTAAGAGTTATGGTTCCAGTAGGAAACAAGTCTCTCCTTCCTGTTGTAAATGCTGTTACATTCCTAGTAACTGGTGGAGGTTGTCTTTATATTTTATCTATTCTTGTAAGCACTTGGAAATAATGTTATGCTGATAAACATAATCCTTGAGCTGATCTCATAGCCCAAGGAGAACAGAATTGTCACTAAAAGGTCACCGTGAGTTGCAGATTTTAGTCACATGAGGTCACATGTGACCCGAAATAAGCTCATGATGAGCTTTTCGTGACAATTCTGTGCTCCTTCGGAGCAAGGTTGAAAAGGTATGTTCAAATCTGCTCAATGTGTTTGTATTGCTTTGTAGACTGATTTATTAAATGTTGAATCATGGGAAATGAGATGGGTAGCATAGCCTTTCATTTACGACTGACTTAATCTGCTTTTGCAGGAAAATTATAGTTGATAGAAGAAAACTAAACAAAATCTTCATCAATTACAGTTCATTATATAAATGGTGTTTGTTTAAGTCTCTCAATCTATGCTGTCCTCTCTTTGCATTTGTTGTATGCATTTCTCATCTAACAGGACTCAAAAAGTGACATTTAATATTGTAAATTTTAGTCCAGCTGTAGGTTGTAGCATTTTGATTTAAATGTGTATCACACAACTCATCTTCATCTTCATGAAGAGGGAATTCAACATGACATGCCTGTATTTTTGGATCGTTTTAACTAAATTTGGGTCTAAAGTCGGTCACTTACAGTGATTATTTAAAACTGCAACAGTAATTGAAATGTTAAATGTGTACCTCAGATGTTGTTCATTAGTTTTAAAAAATTTCTTTTTATAACATTGTAATTTAACAACCCAAAATGTGTTTTGTATATGTGGTCGAGTTGGCCCCCTAAACCATACATTCCAGTTAAATTTGTAACAAGCTGTACAGTTAAACGAAACCTCAGATAATTTTATGACGTATAGTTTTCTCAAATGATCACAGTGATACTGTTTATTTTAGTAGATTTTTGAGAATGTATTTATGATTATGATATCTATGACTTGAAAGCTGCCCTGTGCCATTTCCAATTTTGTAGTTTAATTGTGGTCTAAGAGAAATTGAAGGTCACACTGTCAAATATATTTAAGTTCCTAGAGTGATATGCTGGGATGCAACATAAATTTCAAACAAAAATCTGATCAGAAGTAATACCTCGTATGCACTTCTTTGGCAATAAAAATGCATCCTGTCTTACTTTAAAAATTTGTTTTTGTTGTAAATAAAATGTTGGTTCGATACACTCGGTTTCAGTGTTGCTCCCGATTCTTTTCCAAGTACTACCATTACGCCGTCGCCGTCACCCAAAGAGGGATTTAACGCCTGCCAGGTAGGCCACCAACCAGTCCCGAAGCACCGGTGCACTGACGGTGGCCTACCTCGCCCCTGGCAGCATGGAGCGCCGGCCGGGTAGGCCACCAACCAGTCTCGCAGCACCGGTGCACAGACGGTGGCCTACCTCGCCCCTGACGGCATGGAGCGCCGGCCAGGTAGGCCACCAACCAGTCCCACAGCACCGGTGCACAGACGGTGGCCTACCTCGCCCCTCACGATGCCCTTAAAGTTGTCAAAAGAGGCTCCGGCGTTAACACGTGTCCAATTGCCTTCAACGTTACGCCAACCAACAAGTCCTCAAGATTAAATGGTGTAGCTACATTCCGTATCTTTTTCAGACCTTCTGAATTGCCTGCTTTTCAACGATGTGAGTCAAATGACGCAGACCGGGACATCCGACACACTCGAACTGCATGCGGTGAAAAACACCTCTCAAGATAAACGATAGATTACGAGTCGCACGAGGCAGTTCCGGGCTTGACTCCGGTGGGGCCCTTAATACGAAGGAAAACATTTCTAGGCTTCGCAAGGCTTAAAGAAGTATTGTTAGGGAGTCCTAACAGGGGTGGCACTGGATCGAGCAACCTGGCAATAACACCCGGTAGGTGGTCAAGTTCAACCACCTCCGTCTCTCCCTTTCTTTCTTTCGCTGCTATTTCCCAGACGTCTGGGACTATAGCAAGCCGAGCATTCTAAAAAGATTCTTCTTAACCCACAAAGGCGAATACAAAACTGCCAGCATGTTTTTTCTGAATAAAATGATATCATGAGCTCCTAGGAGTAATCTGCAAGATAAACGATTGATTATGAATCACAGCAAGTACATAAGATTAGGGCTTTTAGCAAGCATGTGAAGTGTACTTGACCAATGCACGGTGGCGAGGCGAGAAGGCCGAGTATAAAAGGGGAAGGCCGCTCAAACTGGGCAGCATTCAGCTCATCAGCTTTTGATTGGTGAGTAGCGACGCCCTGCAGAGGGACGCCCATACCGACGGATCTGGTGCACGTGCTGAGCGGTGTTGAGCCAGCCCGGTTGCCGGACGCGTCCTAGGCCTAACGCAGTGTTGCCCTCTCCATTTCAGCACCATGAAGTTCCTCATCGTCCTCGCTGCCTTCGTGGCGGTGGCCACTTGCTGGTCCATCCCCTCCGAGGATGAGCTCGCCAACCACTGGCAGAAGTTCAAGGCCGAGCACGGCAAGAACTACGCCAACGAGCTTGAGGAGACTCACCGCATGAAGATCTTCAAGGAGAACGCCATCAAGGTCGCCAAGCACAACGCTCGCTACGACGCCGGTGAGGTCACCTTCACCGTCGCCATCAACAAGTACGCTGATCTGCACACCCACGAGGTTGCTGAGAGGCTCAACGGCTACCGTTCCCCCGTGAACAAGCCCGTCCGCGCCGTGCACAACGTGTCCGAGCCCGTGGCCTTCCCCTGGCCCTGGAAAAAGAGCGTCGACTGGAGGAAGAAGGGATACGTCACCGACGTCAAGGACCAGGGCCAGTGCGGCTCCTGCTGGGCCTTCTCCACCGTAAGTAACACAATTTGAACGGTTTGAACGGCGGTTCGCCCCGGACCAATAAGTCTCTCTAACGCCATCCCTCCTTTGCTCTCCAGACCGGCTCCCTCGAGGGTGCTCTCTTCAAGAAGAACAAGAAGCTCGTCTCCCTCTCCGAGCAGAACCTGGTCGACTGCTCCACCGAGAACGACGGTTGCGACGGTGGTCTGATGGACTACGCCTTCGCTTACATCAAGAGCAACGGCGGTATCGACACCGAGGACTCCTACCCCTACACCGGTGTGAACGGTTCCTGCAGCTACTCCAAGGACAACAACGCCGGCACTCTGTCCAGCTTCGTCGACATCAAGCAGTTCTCTGAGAGCGACCTCCAGGACGCCGTCAAGAAGGTCGGCCCCGTGTCCGTCGCCATCGACGCCAGCAACTGGTCCTTCCAGATGTACAGCAGCGGCGTCTACTACGAGCCCTTCTGCTCCAGCACCTCCCTCGACCACGGTGTCCTCGCCGTCGGTTACGGCAGCGACGGCCGCAACAAGGACTACTGGATCGTCAAGAACTCCTGGGGCACCTCCTGGGGTGAGAAGGGTTACATCAGGATGGCCCGCAACAAGAAGAACAACTGCGGTATCGCCTCCGAGGCTAGCTACCCCAAGGCCTAAGTTCCAGGCTCACTGTTCTGCAAGTGCAACTTGATTGAAAAAAAAAATAAGACCAAATAAAATCTAGGTTTTTTAACAACAACAAGAAATAGTCGATTGTTCAATTGTCTTCTTGCGATCCTACCCACCCAACCCACAGTTCTTGGAATCTAGATAACCACCTAGTTGTCGGTGTACTTCACTTGGCAGCTGCTTGTCTTTCACGAGTGCACGAGTGGTCATTGGAGGCGGCAGGGAAGGAAACCAACACTAGACAAAGCAAATTGTGTGCGATAAGATGTTTTTATTGACTGATCACACAGGGCGCGGGCGGCACGGCTTCAGCGGCTTCAGCTTGACGGCTTACAGGAAGGCGCGCACGTCGTCGTCCTCGCGGAGGATCTCCTCGTCCATGAGCCTGTGGCTGGGGACGTGCTTGCGGCCGGCCTGGGCGTAGACGGCGTCGAAGTCGTTGACGTTCTTCTTGAAGACGACGGAGTCGGCGCTGGAGTCCTTGTGGAAGATGACGACGTCCTTGAAGTACATGTTGGGCATGTAGAAGCGGCCGAAGTTGTCGATCTGGCGGTCGAAGGGGAAGCCGAGGGGGCGGTTGTCGACGACGGTCATGAGTCCGTTGCAGGAGTAGATGTCCTTGACGGCGGCCTGGTATTTCTCGGAGTGGTAGTAGTCGGCGTGGTCGTGCTCGTCGGCGCCGTGGGGGGTGACCATGACGAAGAGGGAGTAGGGGATGCCGGCCTTGTGGCCCATGGGCAGGACGAGGCGGTCGGGGAATCCGCACTGCTGGTCGACGGTGCTGAGGACGGTGTTGCCGCTCTCGGCGCTCTTGAGCAGGGACTTGAAGGAGACGTTGTCGCCGACGGTGGAGGTGAACTCGCGGGAGTTGCGCTCGATCAGGTTGTCGCCGTTCTTCACTGCAAGGCACACAGGCATCCGTCAGTCGTGTCGATCGAATTTCAGTCGGGGCTAACAACAACACGCAATAATAACGAAAACCAGTGTACTTACGTTCAACGGGGAAACGGTCCAGCTCGACGAAGTAGTTGCGGAGCCTGTCGAGGTCGGCGGTGTCGTGTCCGTAGTAGACGTCGGAGGCCTGCTCGCCGTAGAAGTTGGAGTGGGTGAGCTCGGTGCTGGGGCCCAGGAAGACGCGGACGACGGCGCTGGTCTTCTTGTCGCTGGCGACCTTGATCTTGTAGCTGAAGGGCTGGTGGTTGAGACGCATGGTCTTGGCGACGTAGTTGAGCTTGTCCAGCTCGTCGATGGTGGCGACGTCGACGGCGTTGGTCACGTCAATGTCGAAGAGGTCGAAGTAAGTGACGAGCTTGTCGACGGCGACGTCCTTGACGGCCACGCCGGAGAAGATGAGGTCGTCGGGCTTGTAGGAGGGCAGGTTGTTCTGGTACTGCTGGAAGAGACCGAGCACGTACTTCTGGAGGATGTAGAAGGCGGGGTCGCGGAGGGCGGTCTCGTAGTGGCCGATGACGCCGGGGGCGACGCCGTGCTCCTGGCTGGGGTCCATGATGAGGGCGAGCAGGTTGCGGATCATGGTCTGGTAGGAGCCGTAGTAGCGGGAGTTGACGGAGTCCTGGTTGCCCTCGATGATGTTGCCGAGGATGTTGATGCCCTTGACGTACTGGGTGATGGGGATCTTGTTGCCGTCCTTGCCGAGCACGAAGCCGGAGTCGATGGCGTCCTTGATCCTCTGCTCGATGGCCTTGATGTCCTGGACGGAGTAAGACTGGATGCTGGAGACGTCCTGCTGGTCGGCGCGGACGGGGAAGTGGGCGCCGTTGGGGTAGAGCAGGTCGGGGTTGTAGCCGGTCTTGATGCTCTCCTCCCAGTCGAAGTCCTCGAGCTCGGGCAGGTAGTTGGCCATGCGCTGCAGGTTGTAGCGGGCGAGGATCTGCTGGTAGTAGTAGTAGAAGGACTCGCCGCGGATCTGGCAGGTGGTGATGCCGTACTTCTCGCAGTTGAGCCAGAAGGGCATGTACAGGTGAGCGTAGGCGTGGTAGGCGTTGACGCCGACGTCCTCGGTGAAGTAGCCCAGGAGCTGCTCGGGGTTGCTGATCTCGTAGCCGGCGGTCCAGTTGGTCATCTTGACGTAGTTGATCTGGCCCTGCATCTTGGCGCTGACGAAGTCCATGATGTCACCGGAGTGGAGGTACAGCTGGGGGGCGACCTCGTACAGGGGAGGGAGCACCAGACCGGCGCAGTCGTCGCGGTGCACGACGGCCACGGAGAAGGCGTAGGCGAACTGGCTCTCGTTGACGTTGTCGTGGGCCCAGGCGGCGGTCTTGATGAAGGTGTCAAAGTCCTTGGCGAAGTACAGCATGTCGAACAGAGCGACCACCTCCTTCAGGTGGGAGTCGTTGTACACGTGGAAGATCTCGCCGCGGGGAAGAGTACCCTGCTTCCACATGGACACGAAGTTCTTGACGGCCCACTGGTTGGCGTAGCGGTCGATCATCTGTTCGGGGTTCCAGCTCTTGCCAAGGGCCAGCAGCTCGGGGTACATGTTCTTCTGGCCGACGTTCCTCAGCAGCTGCAGCACCAGCTTCTGCCTCTGCGCGACATCCTGCCCGCCTGCAAGCACAGCGACATTAACTCTGTGGCTCTGGCCAGCCGCTACCGCCGCCGTGAGGGCTCGCACCCATCCTTTGTCGCGTACTTACTGATGTGGGCGTTGTCGGTGGCGCCGGTGCGCACGTTGGGGATGTGCAGGGCGGCGGCCACCGCCAGGGTGGCGAGGAGGGCGACGGTTACCTTGTACATGGCGGACGGTGGACCGGGACTGGTGCCTTCTCGGTCACAACTCCGAGCTTTTATACCGCTCGCGCTTCGTACCGACAACCCCGAATGCCGCCGTGCCGCCGTGCCCGCGTGATAACCAGCGCGGTATCGAGGGCGGGGGGCACCAAATTTGTCTGCCGTTGCTGGGCATTTAGTCGTAATACTGTCACAAAGATGCGAATGATTCATGGCACAACTTGTATTATTCATGCTACTCACCGACCTAACCTGAAGCGTGACTGAATACTTGAGCCAAGCAAAACGTTACGCTTAAAGACGTTACGATTGAATTGTGGCATAGACCCTGCATTTAGAGTGAGGGAATATGGTTCATTTGCCACTGCTTCAATTTGAAACCGGGTTAAGTTCTTTAAATATTTCAATATGTATTTCACTCTTTCATATTTACATAGTGTACATATTTTTGTGTGTAAATAAACTATTAAGTGGAGAGGGAGTGCTTGAGAAATTACTCTAAACGCACTCTACAGCTTTCACTTCATCGGGCATCATTTGAAGCGGTATTAATTTTCAGACAGTGTATTATCAATACTTTGTATGTGTTTCATTGATATCAGGGCGTCTGGCGGCGCCTCTGTCGTCTGCGAATGTTTCGATTGGAAAAAAGTACTGGCCCCGTAGGGTCTGGGTCAGGGCGCGATAAGGCGCAAGGCGCCCGAAATTCCGCACGGCGACACAAGAACACAAGAACTAGTCTAAACAACAACAAGAGGCACGACCAGCGGAAGAATGGAATATGCGGCCTAAACAGTAAACTTAGAAAAACAAATTCGCAGGATACGAAAACAGAAGTAAAATCAAACGGCAAAATCATTTAGGGAATCAAAAGGGTAAGGGGGTAACAACTCAGACGAAATGAGCTACACTGCAAATACGGTTGCCATGTGATCATCTGCCAGAACAGCCTATCTTCATAGGGAATCCCACAGTAGATACGCTGTTATGTACGAATGCCACACGTATGAGGGCGTGAGTGTCCCTTTTTGCGTGGGACTTCCCCGTCTGCCCCCCCCCCCTTTCCGCACTCCGATTTAAATAGGTATGCCTCTGAAACGCTCCGACAGGTAAGCAGTGCAAGATGCAAAGGTCGAAATATGTGCGGCGGTCGCCACGGTGGCGTCTCCCCCAGCACGTTTCTGGATACGCGCCTCACAGCAACGGCAGACAAATTTGGTGCCCCCCGCCCTCGATACCGCGCTGGTTATCACGCGGGCACGGCGGCACGGCGGCATTCGGGGTTGTCGGTACGAAGCGCGAGCGGTATAAAAGCTCGGAGTTGTGACCGAGAAGGCACCAGTCCCGGTCCACCGTCCGCCATGTACAAGGTAACCGTCGCCCTCCTCGCCACCCTGGCGGTGGCCGCCGCCCTGCACATCCCCAACGTGCGCACCGGCGCCACCGACAACGCCCACATCAGTAAGTACGCGACAAAGGATGGGTGCGAGCCCTCACGGCGGCGGTAGCGGCTGGCCAGAGCCACAGAGTTAATGTCGCTGTGCTTGCAGGCGGGCAGGATGTCGCGCAGAGGCAGAAGCTGGTGCTGCAGCTGCTGAGGAACGTCGGCCAGAAGAACATGTACCCCGAGCTGCTGGCCCTTGGCAAGAGCTGGAACCCCGAACAGATGATCGACCGCTACGCCAACCAGTGGGCCGTCAAGAACTTCGTGTCCATGTGGAAGCAGGGTACTCTTCCCCGCGGCGAGATCTTCCACGTGTACAACGACTCCCACCTGAAGGAGGTGGTCGCTCTGTTCGACATGCTGTACTTCGCCAAGGACTTTGACACCTTCATCAAGACCGCCGCCTGGGCCCGCGACAACGTCAACGAGAGCCAGTTCGCCTACGCCTTCTCCGTGGCCGTCGTGCACCGCGACGACTGCGCCGGTCTGGTGCTCCCTCCCCTGTACGAGGTCGCCCCCCAGCTGTACCTCCACTCCGGTGACATCATGGACTTCGTCAGCGCCAAGATGCAGGGCCAGATCAACTACGTCAAGATGACCAACTGGACCGCCGGCTACGAGATCAGCAACCCCGAGCAGCTCCTGGGCTACTTCACCGAGGACGTCGGCGTCAACGCCTACCACGCCTACGCTCACCTGTACATGCCCTTCTGGCTCAACTGCGAGAAGTACGGCATCACCACCTGCCAGATCCGCGGCGAGTCCTTCTACTACTACTACCAGCAGATCCTCGCCCGCTACAACCTGCAGCGCATGGCCAACTACCTGCCCGAGCTCGAGGACTTCGACTGGGAGGAGAGCATCAAGACCGGCTACAACCCCGACCTGCTCTACCCCAACGGCGCCCACTTCCCCGTCCGCGCCGACCAGCAGGACGTCTCCAGCATCCAGTCTTACTCCGTCCAGGACATCAAGGCCATCGAGCAGAGGATCAAGGACGCCATCGACTCCGGCTTCGTGCTCGGCAAGGACGGCAACAAGATCCCCATCACCCAGTACGTCAAGGGCATCAACATCCTCGGCAACATCATCGAGGGCAACCAGGACTCCGTCAACTCCCGCTACTACGGCTCCTACCAGACCATGATCCGCAACCTGCTCGCCCTCATCATGGACCCCAGCCAGGAGCACGGCGTCGCCCCCGGCGTCATCGGCCACTACGAGACCGCCCTCCGCGACCCCGCCTTCTACATCCTCCAGAAGTACGTGCTCGGTCTCTTCCAGCAGTACCAGAACAACCTGCCCTCCTACAAGCCCGACGACCTCATCTTCTCCGGCGTGGCCGTCAAGGACGTCGCCGTCGACAAGCTCGTCACCTACTTCGACCTTTTCGACATTGACGTGACCAACGCCGTCGACGTCGCCACCATCGACGAGCTGGACAAGCTCAACTACGTCGCCAAGACCATGCGTCTCAACCACCAGCCCTTCAGCTACAAGATCAAGGTCGCCAGCGACAAGAAGACCAGCGCCGTCGTCCGCGTCTTCCTCGGCCCCAGCACCGAGCTCACCCACTCCAACTTCTACGGCGAGCAGGCCTCCGACGTCTACTACGGACACGACACCGCCGACCTCGACAGGCTCCGCAACTACTTCGTCGAGCTGGACCGTTTCCCCGTTGAACGTAAGTACACTGGTTTTCGTTATTATTGCGTGTTGTTGTTAGCCCCGACTGAAATTCGATCGACACGACTGACGGATGCCTGTGTGCCTTGCAGTGAAGAACGGCGACAACCTGATCGAGCGCAACTCCCGCGAGTTCACCTCCACCGTCGGCGACAACGTCTCCTTCAAGTCCCTGCTCAAGAGCGCCGAGAGCGGCAACACCGTCCTCAGCACCGTCGACCAGCAGTGCGGATTCCCCGACCGCCTCGTCCTGCCCATGGGCCACAAGGCCGGCATCCCCTACTCCCTCTTCGTCATGGTCACCCCCCACGGCGCCGACGAGCACGACCACGCCGACTACTACCACTCCGAGAAATACCAGGCCGCCGTCAAGGACATCTACTCCTGCAACGGACTCATGACCGTCGTCGACAACCGCCCCCTCGGCTTCCCCTTCGACCGCCAGATCGACAACTTCGGCCGCTTCTACATGCCCAACATGTACTTCAAGGACGTCGTCATCTTCCACAAGGACTCCAGCGCCGACTCCGTCGTCTTCAAGAAGAACGTCAACGACTTCGACGCCGTCTACGCCCAGGCCGGCGGCAAGCACGTCCCCAGCCACAGGCTCATGGACGAGGAGATCCTCCGCGAGGACGACGACGTGCGCGCCTTCCTGTAAGCCGTCAAGCTGAAGCCGCTGAAGCCGTGCCCGCGCCCTGTGTGATCAGTCAATAAAAACATCTTGTCGCACACAATTTGCTTTGTCTAGTGTTGGTTTCCTCCCCTGTCGCCTCCAATGACCACTCGTGCACTCGTGAAAGACAAGCATGACAGCTGCCAAGTGAAGTACACCGACAACTAGGCGGTTATCTAGATTCCAAGAACTGTGGGTTGGGTGGGTAGGATCGCAAGAAGACAATTGAACAATCGACTATTTCTTGTTGTTGTTAAAAAACCTAGATTTTATTTGGTCTTATTTTTTTTTTCAATCAAGTTGCACTTGCAGAACAGTGAGCCTGGAACTTAGGCCTTGGGGTAGCTAGCCTCGGAGGCGATACCGCAGTTGTTCTTCTTGTTGCGGGCCATCCTGATGTAACCCTTCTCACCCCAGGAGGTGCCCCAGGAGTTCTTGACGATCCAGTAGTCCTTGTTGCGGCCGTCGCTGCCGTAACCGACGGCGAGGACACCGTGGTCGAGGGAGGTGCTGGAGCAGGAGGGCTCGTAGTAGACGCCGCTGCTGTACATCTGGAAGGACCAGTTGCTGGCGTCGATGGCGACGGACACGGGGCCGACCTTCTTGACGGCGTCCTGGAGGTCGCTCTCAGAGAACTGCTTGATGTCGACGAAGCTGGACAGAGTGCCGGCGCTGTTGTCCTTGGAGTAGCTGCAGGAACCGTCCAAACCGGTGTAGGGGTAGGAGTCCTCGGTGTCGATACCGCCGTTGCTCTTGATGTAAGCGAAGGCGTAGTCCATCAGACCACCGTTGCAGCCGGAGTTCTCGGAGGAGCAGTCGACCAGGTTCTGCTCGGAGAGGGAGACGAGCTTCTTGTTCTTCTTGAAGAGAGCACCCTCGAGGGAGCCGGTCTGGAGAGCAAAGGAGGGATGGCGTTAGAGAGACTTATTGGTCCGGGGCGAACCGCCGTTCAAACCGTTCAAATTGTGTTACTTACGGTGGAGAAGGCCCAGCAGGAGCCGCACTGGCCCTGGTCCTTGACGTCGGTGACGTATCCCTTCTTCCTCCAGTCGACGCTCTTCTTCCAGGGCCAGGGGAAGGCCACGGGCTCGGACACGTTGTGCACGGCGCGGACGGGCTTGTTCACGGGGGAACGGTAGCCGTTGAGCCTCTCAGCAACCTCGTGGGTGTGCAGGTCAGCGTACTTGTTGATGGCGACGGTGAAGGTGACCTCACCGGCGTCGAAGCGAGCGTTGTGCTTGGCGACCTTGATGGCGTTCTCCTTGAAGATCTTCATGCGGTGAGTCTCCTCAAGCTCGTTGGCGTAGTTCTTGCCGTGCTCGGCCTTGAACTTCTGCCAGTGGTTGGCGAGCTCATCCTCGGAGGGGATGGACCAGCAAGTGGCCACCGCCACGAAGGCAGCGAGGACGATGAGGAACTTCATGGTGCTGAAACGGAGAGGGCAACACTGCGTTAGGCCTAGGACGCGTCTGGCAACCGGGCTGGCTCAACACCGCTCAGCACGTGCACCAGATCCGTCGGTATGGGCGTCCCTCTGCAGGGCGTCGCTACTCACCAATCAAAAGCTGATGAGCTGAATGCTGCCCAGTTTGAGCGGCCTTCCCCTTTTATACTCGGCCTTCTCGCCTCGCCACCGTGCATTGGTCAAGTACACTTCACATGCTTGCTGTGATTCGTAATCTGTCGTTTATCTTTTGGAGTGGTCCTCGGAAAAGGTTTTTGACGTCATTGGCTATTGGCGAGAAAAAACATTTTGGGCGTTTTGTGGGAATCCGCCTTTGCGGCTGAAAAATGGGCCGCTAATGGCCTGCTTTTCGCTAGACGGGGTAAGTTGCCTACTGTGTTAGTCGCGTGCTGCCAAAATTTTCTATCGGTCCTGTGGGAGGTTCCTTTTGCGAGTGATTGCTGTGCATGCTTCTTCGCACTCCGCGTTTTGAATGTTTGCTCTGCCCCTCTGACTCCAGTCCAGACCCCAGTCCGCCCGCCGAGTCGAGCATAGGCAATCCGCTCGCCCGTCACGCGATTGCGATTAATGCCTGGACCACAAGTGATCGTCTGGCTTTCGGGCCCGCCCGGTCATGTCGGTGATTCACCAGCACGTGACGGGGCGTCCCTACTGAGAGGAGTGGTTTTCTCGGTACCAAACCCGGCCCTCTATAACCATTGCTATTGATGGCTGAACGAGTAATGATCGCGGATTCCTGTTCCACGTCACAGGAAAAACAATCTTAACGATCGTCTCAAAATTATATCGCTGGATTCCCTTGCGCCTATGAAAAGCACACTCGTCCTCCCCTATTTCCTTGCTGGTGATTAAGGGAGGAGGTAAGATAAAGAAGGGCACTGTAATTACAGAAGGTGGAGGACGTTTTTATTAGTTTCAAACAGATAGTTTCACACAGGACACAGCAGGAAAATCTGTTTGCAGGCAAGATCGCATGACAGTAACCACTTCACTTCAGGGGCTCTTACAGTACTTCACATTCAAACTCATCTGCATTCTCTGTCTTTATCTGTACAGTTTGATGAATTGTTCGTTAACCCTTATTCTGTAATCTTTTTTTTTTTTTTTTTTTTTGAGAAGCGAAAACACTTAAGTTTTTCATTAAAAAAGAAAAGAAAAACAACAGGTTTTAACTCATTTATAATTTAGGTTATAGTAGTGCAGGCTCGTCATTAAAAGTTTACAAGTTCGTGAAGAACATATAATTAAGTAAAGTGGCATCTTCTGGAATTTTAATCTTAACAATAGGGTATTTTACATCGAAACAGAGCTTTCTTACTACCATATTCCTCTCATTAAATCTGACATAGTTAAAAAATTCTGATGCAGAGACTAAGAAACATACAAACAAGTCACTTTTAAAAGTTAAGTAATGTATGCGCCAAAACGGCGTGAATAAAAAATAAATTATTTGAGTAAAATATCTAATTGACATTGAACAGCTGTAAAGTGCTGAGCTTATGGCAGGACGGTCATAAAAGACAAATCAAAACCTCTTAAGGCTTAAGAAAAATACTTAGGAAGAAATTATTTGCCTAGGGCATAAAAGAGAAACAGAATAGCCTTCCTTCAAGATTAAAAAACATAGATAAAAAATGATGAACCTAAAAGCAAAGCAAACACTAGTCATCATCAAAGGACACACAAACTATTGATAAAAGCTTTATAAAGTACAAGTGCACAAACAGTACGTGCCAAGAAAGATAGTGCAGTGTGGTAAGACAGAAAATATGATGAAGACACAAACTTTTTTAACATCAGCAATTGAATATCCAATTTGTAGTAGAAAATATGGCAGTCAATATGAAAACAGCACAAAGCTAAATAATCTATCAGGACATCTCAAAGCACACTCTCATTCTTGCTACTAACCAAGCTTAATAGGCTAAAACTAAGTTAAAGAGCACTAAGTTAAGTTCTTTTAGTCTTACGAAGGTTTTTTTATAAACATGAAGGAAACATCAAATTTAATGAAGAAAGAGACAATGTATCAATAATCTATGCTTTGGTCTTTAGTCTCACCAATACTTGACCGTTGATTGAGTGGCTGGTTGACCTTATAGAGTAATTTGTCATAAATATTGAACAAATCCTAATAAATGTTTACATAGCAAAAAAAGGCAAAGATGGGCAAAAGGCTCTTGGGGGTGTCAAAAAATGCAAAACATTAAGTATTTGCTCTAAAAATTGACGAATTTACAAGTACATTAATTTAGTTCAAGCATACAAGGATGTGGATATAAAAATAAGCAGTCAAACCACATCTTGTAAAATTTGTGCTTGTTATTAAAAGTCTATCAATATCTAGGTATATGAAAGTCTCATCACTCAACCAACACAACAAATACTGTTTCACAACCCATATTACAGCTGAACTACAATACTATTGTTCATTTATTGGGGTAAGCTCGGCTGGCTGATGAATATCTTCATCAACTGTGTTTTGAGTGTGTTCATCAACTTCATCCTGACCCCCGTTTCCATCACCCCTTTGAGCAATGGCTTGCTGCTGTAGCTCAACAACAGTGCTCTTCTTCCAATTTCCAGCATCACCGTTCATGCTGTGGTCTTCACACATACACAAAAATAGTGTGTCAATTACAACCTAAGAAAGAAGCAAAACAAAAATTTTAGTAACACAGCAGTAAGTAACAAAACGACATTAATCTGTTAAATGTAATAAAATCAAATAAAAACTTAATTTACCTCATATAATGAGAGGACACAATGAGCAATGAAGTATGAAAATATGGCAATGACTAGAACTGGAACGGCATAGAATTTGAGATCTGGATCACGCTTGAGAAGCAGCAATCCAATAGAAGCAGTTACAGCAGTCACAAAGCATTTTCCAAGGAACAGGATGAAGTCGCCAACACTATTTATAGTAGCCAACTGTAGAGCATTGCTAACAAGGACTCCAAATGCCTGTAGTGGTTCAAAAAATCTTTAGAAAACACGATTAATTCGAAAACCATATTTTAATTGAATAAAGAAGTACATTCTTACCCTTCTGGCTGCAGAACAAAAGTTGATACCTTGCATGGCAATAACTGTGTAGGCATTGTGATTCATAAAACGAACACATTTCTCCAAGCAATAAAAACAGCAAATGCAGCATTTTAGTCCACACTTGGCACATTCAGATTCTTCATTGTTTTTCAACCTGAAGGGGACAAGAATAGGTGAATTACACAGAAATTGAAGTACCTAGATTGTACCAATTGGACACTGCACTACTCACTTTGCGTAGATGTAAGTAAGAATCAGGCGAGGCACCTTCAGGATAGTAATAAGCAAAGAACCAAGTGCCATGGACCCTAAGTGATAGCTCACCAAATTCGTAATGGATGTCAAAACTGGAGATCCAACACTTTTTCTTCCACTGGATATGACAGAAACAAAGTTAAATGAACACAATAAATTACACAGATGATTAAATTATAAGATAGCCACTTCAAATAGGATACTAACCCATCAAAGTACCAAATGGCAACAGCACCGGCAATAACCATTTGTTGGCAGGCCAAGATGAATTCAGAAGTCCAAATTAAACCAATTAGGTACACCCACCACATGTAACGGACCCAAGTGGCATCTATGAATTCTACAAACTTATGGGCTGTTCAAAGGGAGGGGAAAAAATGAATCAGTATCAACAACATAGGGTTGATTGGAAGTTTGATAGCAATCTTGTTACCTCGGAGTTGTCGCACAGAAACGTTTCCAATACGAGTCGATACTGTATTCCCAGGGTATGGAGAATTTGTAACACCTGCTGCTTCAGCTTCAGGGGGCTCAAAGAGGGGGGCCAGAGACCTCGATCCAGGATAAGCTTAGAAAAGAGAAAGATGATTAAAATTGGGCCCATCATAATTCTGTACTTTAAGAGTTTCACAGGGAAGTTCAATTTCATTAGTAATAGAAATAGTGAGAGGGTTTCCTTACTTGCTGTTGCCAGGCAAACTATGATTGAAATCCAAAAGGCAAAAAAGGCGAGCAGGGCGAGGAAAGTCACAAATGGTTGCACAAATAGATATGGCATATCAATAAGACATTCACTTGATTCTCTGAACAGTTGTGCTAAGAAACCAATACGTTTACGCAAAGCCCAAACGACTAGCAATATTATAACCTGTAAAATAATACTGTCTTAAATATTCAAAAGTAAAAATTATATTTAATTCACAGCAAGACTACTACTTACTGTAAAAATTGTAGCTAGAATAGCATACACTAGAATGGCTCTCTCATTGTGAATAGACTTTTCCAGGTGCTCCATTGGATCAGTAGAATCAAGACTCCACTTAACACTTGCATATGCATACCACAAAATTCCAGTTGCAACTACAAAAAAACAATTATCAATTACCAGGTAAAAATCAACATCAAGCTGATACAATGTAAGATGATATGATTTATGCCCACTTGTCAAAGGAAACTTACCAACGCAAGCTATGCTGACAGCAATCATAATTATATATGAAACCATTGAGGCTACAAAGTGAAGAATTGCCACAAGGAAAAGTGCCAACACTGCAAAATATTTTAAAGTCCAGTTAAGAGAAGTAATTTTTCAGAGAAAAATTGGAGTTTTTAGAGAAAAATTAGAGTTATGTTTACAGGACTTACCTAGAGCAAGCCCACAAAGGGCAAGGATAACTTCCCATGTATCAAAGAGGTCAGACAAAACTTGTTCGATAGTGTCCCAAGAATTCAAGAAGCTATAAATTCCACCAACGACCTGGGCAGCAAGTTCCTTCACTGGTTTGGGCACACAGCGGTGCAGCACAGAACCACTGCAAAAAAAGGAAAGGAAATTAAAGAGACATCAAAAAACATAAAGTGACAATAACAAGTTCAAGCTTGAACACCTACCTGTAATAAACTGGAAGTGGAGGACAAGGCCCAAGAGAGGAAGTGAATGAATCTGTTGACTCGGCAATCCTCAGTTTTTCATCATCCAATTTGAAAATGTCAAAGTCATAGCTGAACATAGGAGGGTAGAAGAAATCATAATCATTCAGAAACATAGTAACAGAAATCTTTAGAGCAAAAGAGAAACTTACGTGCATAAAGATGAACCTGTTCTGTTCATGAATGACTTCAAATCTTGAAGTGTATTTATGTTTCGGTCTGGACATTGCTTTACACAAATCTGCAATGAATGGCGCAAGTTCTTCACGTCAAGATAGAACAAATACCTGAAAAGAGAGAAAAATATAATCAAAACAGAAACCAAAAATTGACTTAAAAAGAGAAAGTCATACATACGGTTTTTCACTTGTGTCTAGACCAGAGAGAGCAATATCTCCAATCTTCTCATTGTTCTTGATTCCACAAGTATTTCCGTAACTATCGTAGCCATTCCGTAAACGTGTAGGGTTGCCATACACTAGTGCAAAAGCAGCAATGAGTATCTGTCAGAAGGAGTAGGAACATTTCAGTCAATTATATTGTTGAAAGGCAACAAGATAGTTGAAAGCAGTCATCAAAAGTCTTACCATGAAAAGCCAAAACACGATGAACAGAGCCAGCCATATCACATCGGTACAACTACGTTGTTGATTGGTTCCCTTTGTTGGTGGCTCCTGTTCATTTTCGTCTTCTGCACACCCGCAGCACCCCATTGCAGAAGCTATCCAGAAAAACAAGAAAACCCCAGCAATCAACAAAACTTAAATTAACCCCACCCAGCTACACCTACGCCCACTCGATTCTGGAAAAGGGCAATCTTTGATTCAAGATCAGCCAAATAATTATCAAAATTAGGAATCAAATCGAGATGGCTACTTTGCAAGTGGACTGACAGTATAATAACCATGCAAAATAAAGCGAGGAAGTAAAAAGATATTGAGAACAGATGCGTATGCCGGGACGTCAACAAGTAACAGAGAAAAGCAAAAACCAGTCACACACTTACTTCGCGTGTCTACTCAGTCAGTTTGGTCAGTCGCTGAGCTTTGCGTTCACACATCGACGAAAACCGAAAGCATTTGACGCTCTGAAAGCGGGTCAGCGGGGCAACTCTTTAAACTTGTTTACATGGTACCCTAGACGCGTTATGCCTTCAAACCTACGGATGTACGACAAAATGGCCGAGTGGGCGGAAGGGTTGTCCGGAAGTGAGTGGTGGGGGAAGGCCGCCATTTTCGTTTACTTTGCGCCAATAGGAACTTTACCGGCCTGATCTGTAAACTATTGTGGTCAGGTTTGCGTTTGTGGCAGAAACGCATGTGAGAAGTACAGGTTAATTTCGAATATTCCAGTAAGTTTTTGTGTTATTGTCTGGTTTCGTTTCATTTTTGGTAGAATGTGTCACTTCCACCTGTCAAAATCACGCGCTTCTTAAGTTTCTATGCATCACTGTTCTATGCATCAAGTTAAAAGAGTTTGACACCATTGAAATTTTTGCAGATTACTATTTTGATCAAGGAAAATGGATACTGAGTCGTTGCCTGCGAAGGAAGAGGCTACAAATGTCCCTACTTCCACTTCTGTAACGGTGGAGAGCGCAGACAAAGGAAATGGAGACAACGCTGAGCTACTGTGCAACAGCTCTTCGGAATGTTCTTCGCCTACCAAAGTGGAAGCAGATTCAACCGAGAATGACAGTGCTTCCACCGACACCTTACCTGACGAGCAACTTAAATCAGATCCTTTTGCTTATTTAGACAGATCATTTACGTCAGAAAAATATAAAGTGGAGATTAGAGGTCTTCCTAGGTTTTACGGATTCGGAGTAAGTGAAGCTGTGTTTTGAGTGTCAACGTCTGATTTTAGAATTTAGGGAAAGACCAGTAATATATACGATTGTGTTTAGGAATTGAAGAAGCTGGTCACTGATACTTTGAAGCTGTCATGCACCAAAGTTAAACCCCCACGAAGGGGCTGTTCCTATGCTTATGCTTGTTTTCGTTCGGAAGAAGAAAGAACCAAAGCTCTTGAGATGCTCAATGGATATGTGTGGAAAAAGAATACTCTTTCAGCACGGGTAAATCTTTGAAACGTTTTGATTTTCCAAGTTACTGTTGGAGTGATGGCTTAATTTCTCTTATCTGTGTAATGTTCCCAGCCAGCTCAAGCAGCTCCCGATCCTTTTATTGCTAAGCGAGCTCGCATGGAAGACCATGATAAAGGTGGCAAAAGAAAAAAGTTCAATGAAGATGAAAATCTTACGCAGGAAGAGCGGCTGAAAAAATCTACAGCACCTTATTGGAACATTCCTTATCCTGAGCAGGTTTGTCCTTATGAAAGTTTCTCCATAACATTTTTTGTTGTTTGCCCCTTTTCATTGTCATTACTGTTCAATACAGCAAAATTTAAAACGAGAAGATATGAGGAAGCTGCTTCTTCAGTTTGGTGATGAGCTTCTTAAAGCTAACAGGGACTTAGGTGAATGGTTACAAAAGCAAAGAGCAGAAAATGATGGTCTGCCATGTCCTCTGTTGGATATTAGAAGTTCCTCTATTATTAATGGGTACAGAAACAAATGCGAATTCAGCATTGGCCTGAATCCTGAAACTAAGAAGGTCACTGTGGGCTTTCGTTTGGGAAGTTATGCTGATGGTTCTGTTGGCGTGGCACCATTAGATGGGATGCCACATGTACCTGATCGTATGAAGGAAGTTGCAAAGGTTTGACTCCTTTACTTCATTTATACATGTATAATATGATTTAGTGTCTATTATTAAAATTTCAAATTTTGACTGTTTAATTTATGGTTTTATTTTAGGCAATGGAGACTTTTATTGAAGAATCTGGATATCTACCATTTGATCATGTCACACATAAAGGCTATTGGCGTCAAATTACTGTAAGGCTTAGTCATGCAACAGGGGAGCTCCTCTTGGTTGCAGGAATGCATCCTCAAAATTTAAATGAAGATGAACTGAAGGATCTCAAAGAGAAAGTTGTGAAGCACTTCAGTGAAGGACAAGGTGCCAGCTGTAAGGTGACTTCCCTCCACTTCCTAAAATTGGGATTGCGTGAGCAAGGCTCCAAACAACCAACTTCTGAGCACTTGTGGGGCCAAACCCATATCCACGATATCTTGTTGGGTCTTAAGTTTAGAATTTCTCCTGAAGCATTTTTCCAAGTTAACACATCGGCTTGTGAGGAGCTTTATAAAGCAATAGCGGAAGTTGCCAGTATGTCAGAAGATACAACCATGCTAGATGTTTGTTGCGGCACAGGTACAATAGGGCTCTGCTTGTCAAAGGTTGGTATCTTATTTTATATTTGAATTCTATTTGTGTTTGCTTATTGCTTATTTGGTCATTGTTTGTCTTTTCAGCACTGTGGTCAAGTGTTAGGCGTAGAGTTAATTGAGCAGGCTGTGAAGGATGCAGAGTTCAATGCTCAGGCAAACGGAGTTGACAACTGTGCTTTCTTTGCTGGACGTGCAGAAGACATTTTAAGTGGCGTGATTGGAAGAGCAACCAAAAAGGAACTGACAGCTGTTGTGGATCCACCACGTGCAGGACTACGTATGTGCACTATTTCATTTAACATGGATTAGTCTTTAATACTACAATCTTAACTTTGAAATGCTGATCTTCCCTTTCAGATCAGAAGGCTATAGTGACACTGCGAAGCACAAGGCAAATTGAGAAGCTGGTCTACGTTTCCTGTGATCCGAAAGCAGCTCTGAAAAACTTTGTCGATTTAGGACGTCCGCCATCCAAGAGTATGAGAGGATTGTCGATGGTGCCTGTAAAGGCCATACCTGTTGACCTGTTCCCGCACACTAAATTATGTGAACTAGTCATCTATTTTGAACGGATTGATACTCGTAAGCCTGAAGAGCGTTATCAGCCCACAAGTTAATTGTTGTTATAATGTATCTTACTCTAATCCAGTAAATCATCCAACTGAATTAATTGTAATTATGTCCAAATTATTTTATTATTATTGGAGAAGAACATAACAATTCAGTGATGGATTAATCATGCACACTGAAAAATGCTGAATGAAGAATTTTACTATTTACACTATTTAGTTTCTGATGTCAGGAATCTGCTGATGTCCCTTGAACTGGCACCATTCCACTACCAAACAAAGTTTACAAATAGAAGAGATTGTTATTGTATTGAACATTGATTTCTAAGCTGAACAGATTCTTCCCCTTTTTCATTAATCAAGTTTAGGTAAGAGTTCTTATTAAGTTCCATAAATTCAGGTAGTGGTTTGTTCCAGTCTTCAGGTGGCTTGTCTCTCTTCTTCCACACCTGGTTAAAAAGGTGAGGCTTAAGTCTGTCATCAAGTCTTCGCATTTCACTTTCAATGATAGATTTCTGCAGAGAAGACAAAAGTTACGCATTGCTAATGCCGATAAAATGACAAGTATGTAAAGAGCTCTGATAGTACTTACTGCAGCATCTTCATCACTTTTCCATGTCCATTTTTGGCAATTTTTGAAGTCCTTAGACCATTGCTCACAATCTAAAACTTCACCATGAACAAAAATTTGCTGTCGGCGACCCTTTGAAGACAGACATTCATCATACTCATCTTTGTACGTTTCACACGGACGTATCTGAAAATAGATACCAAACAGCTTGTCATAAATTGGATCCAATCCAATGGACATGAATTCCCTAACAAGATATCTACAAGCAATGTGACAGAAAATTAGAATGCACATTATAAGAGAGAATCGCTAGGCACAAGCTGTTGGAATATTTGACTTAAATACAGGCTATGTAAAAATTATAACTGTCTGAAAATGAAGTATTGGGAATAATTTACCAGATTCGTTCGAAGTTCGCTAGGATTATCTGGGGATTGAGCAACCTTGGAGTTCTTCAGCCCGGTCGACGTTTGATCCATAGCACGTCAACTGAAACAGTGATGATGGCAAAAAATTACAAAGACATTTTCACAGAGCCCATACTAAAGGAATGTACTTTTCTCTCAATACTTCAAAAAAGAAGCCAAAGTAATACAGAGGACTTGTATTCTGTCTGCTGCTGCCGAAGACATAACCTCACTCTTTTCCAACAGTCTGGGCCACATACGACTCTACCATTCACAAAGTCCTTCGCGATATATAAACACGAATTTGATTTCTGTGCGTGAATGAAAGAAGGAACCACGTGCTCAGACCAAAAAAAGTGCGTGCATGGCCCTTGTAGGCACCTGTAAAGGAATTATTGTGCTGATGAATTTGTTTGCGCGACGTTGGCTCTAGTGGAGAGCCCATCCATTCAACCACGCCCCGCCACGCCCCGGCCCCTCGCCGTCCCCTGCCCCCCTCGCCCCCTCTTGGGAAACTGAGTGCTGGCTGTTGTGTTTTGGTTGTTTGGGGTTTGATTCAATGTTGATTGTTTTGATTGATTTCTGAGGCACCCAGGGACGCTATTTTGCCTCTCTCGCGGTGTACTTGTCACCCTTAACCTCTGTGCCTGGAACTGTAGCTGATAACCTCTCGAGAGATATACCGTCAATTTTTAATCGTTCTTAGAAGTTCGTTTGTCAGTGGAGCCGTGACTCCAGCCGTAAACTGTTGATTTCTCACCATGGCCAGCGATGGTGCTGGTTACCTGCAAGAGTACAGTGACTATTTCAAGGATTTTCAAAAGTTTGTGGCGACGTTGAACTACGAAGATGACCTACTGCCGTCCAACTTAAAGTGCCGTACTGGAGTAGAGGAGGTGATTGGAGAATGCGTGGACTGGACCCTCCGGTACTTACGCATGACGTGAGTATTATATCAAATTTATGATTTGTATGGTCATTCCCTGGCCTTTGAAATTCTCAGAGTCCATCTTTGATTGTCTCTGTAAGTTTAGTCGTTCCGTATCTGACTCACTCAATCACTTGGCTATGTTATACCTCCATTTGCTTTTGTTACCTACTTGTTGGTTGTTTTATCTCTTTGTAATATCCTTTTCAGGAAATGCCCTCAGAGCCTCTTGTCCTTTCTCACCAAGTCAGCCCTCAACAGAGTGAACCTTAAAAATGAAGAGAGTCCACAGGGTGCGACTTCTCATTACTTTTGATATTCTTGTTTTGGAAGCACTGTATCAGTTTTTAATTCATTATTCTGGTGCTTTTTCTTGCAGAAGCTGTTCTTGCTCCAAACATGGTTGAAATTGTGAATGAAGTATGTCTGCAATACTGTGGAGAAGACAACCCTGCCCTACAGACGTTGCCTGCGCCACCAACCGTTCCAACCCCACTGATTTCCACCTGTGCAATTAAGAACTCCCGTCGGCGAATGGAAAACCGTCACGCTATTGTTGAAGACTTGGATACAATATTTAATGTATCTGTAAGTGTCCCTTGTTTGTCAGGACTACAAAAATCTGTGATGTCTTGTAACTCCAGTGGAAGTGACATGTTGCTGTCTATGGTTTCCAGACTTCCCGTCCAACCAATTACTATGGTGTATTTGATGGGCATTCTGGAGTTGATGCTGCTACGTATTGTTCAACTCATATGCATTGCTTCATCGCTCAAAGCTCAAATTATCCTTCTGACCCAGCCGGTGCTCTCAGAGACGCATTTGCCAAAACTGAGTCTTTGTTTACTGAAAAATGCAACCAAGAGGTTTGTTTTAATCGAAAACTTTACAATTTGACTTGATGCAGCACCACATAGACTTTTGGCAGCCATTTTCTGTGTCAGCAATGTAATTTTGTTCTTGTTTTTTCTCTGCAGAATATCAATGGTGGTTGCACAGCTCTATGTGTTCTGCATCGTCCAATTGACCGCCAGCTATATGCTGCTTGGGTGGGAGACTCGCAAGCAATTGTTATCAGTCGAAATAAAATTCTTCGTCTGGTGAATCCTCACAAGCCAGAGAGAGCAGTAAGTTCTACATGAAATGTTTATTTTTTAAAATTTATACTGGAGACCAATGAGTGTAAATTTGGCTAATTGTGCTTTACCTTACTTTAGGACGAGCGCAGGCGCATTGAGCAACAAGGTGGAATCGTTGTGAAGTATGGGGTGTGGAGAGTCAATGGGCAGCTCGCTGTTTCACGAGCTATAGGTACTTGAAAAACTTTCTCCAAAACTGCATTAAGGTACAAATAGCTCCACTGCATCATAAATATTTGTTTTCCCACAGGCGATGTGAGTTACAAGCCATTTGTCTCGGGTGTACCTGAGATAACGTCCATCACTCTGGATGGCAGTGAAGACTTCCTTGTTCTGGGATGTGATGGGCTCTGGGACTCTGTCAAAGAGGTGGATGTGGCTACTACCGTCTATGAACAACTGCACAACGAACCTGGTAAGCTCTTTTTCGGGCAATTTTTTGGGGAGAAATGGGAGTGTAGTTTTTTTTTGTCGGCTCGGGTTCTTGTTGACCGTGAGGCAGGAGTGGGTGAGTTGGAGCTGCGATGGCGGCGTGGGCCGAGGACGGAGGGCCGGGCTGCCCCGACAGACTGACCGCAGGACGAGGGCCGATTAGGAACGACCCGGTCACGTTCACGTTCCAGGTCTCCGCTGCCTCGCTGCCTGCAGTGCAGTGGACTGGAGGGGCTGGAGCCGTGCTGGAGCAGCAGGGATACTCTGGCACTATGGGGATGGCGGGGACGGGGACGGGGACGGGGACGGCATGTGGGCCGATAGAGTCTCCCGCACGCGGGGTAGAGTGGCGATGTGACCGTCGATACACCGTGCCGACGTGGACGTGCATGTGAGGGGCTGTGCCGGGCTGTGCCGGGCTGTGCCACCGCTCGCTCGCTGGGTGGTGACTTGTGGCTCCTCGTGCGAGTCTTGGCGAGGCGCAAGGAGGCCCTGTGGTCGAGGCGGCGAGGCGTTCGGCGTAGGGCTTTGCGCTACGACCGCGGTGCCACGGCGGTGCCGTCCCGTCCGCACTCCGCAGCTCGCTGCGCTGCTCCGCTCGGCCGACAGTCTCGAGCCCAGCCTGCCCAGCCTGCCCAGCCACGCGCGACCGGGAACGTCGACCCCTCCTGTGCCTGGAACGCCACGGCGCACGGCCACGCCGCGCTCGCCTCGCTGGAAGGGAAGGAAGGGAAGGGAAGGAAGGCTCAGTTCCAGTCCAGCCGACTCGGTTTGGTGCCTCGTGCCTCGCCGTGGCTGCTGGAAACGTGTCTCCGGGCCGCCGGCGTGGCAAGGCGTGGCAAGGCGCGGCAAGGCGTGCCCGCCCCCAGCCTCAGGATCATGCACTCGGAGACGTCGACGCGCGGGTGGGGGCGTGGCAACGCCGTGGCAACGCCGTGCGCTGAGCACAGTGCTGAGAGTCCAAGGTGGCGACGGCGCCGTGGCCGTGCAGTCCCGCCACGCACCCACGTCTTGCGGGACTGCCCGCCCGCCAGGGGCCCTGGCTGGGCAGGCTGTCCCGGGCGACGCGATATGTGGAGGTGGCTCCGGGCTCGGGCCGTCACCCTGTTGCGCGTGGCCCACAGTGGGCCAGAGGACCGGTGGAGGCGGACGAAACTCTAGACGCGTTATGAGCTCCAGAGTCGCTAAATGGGACTCGAACCGAACGTGTAACCCCACCAATGGATTCCTCGTTCGGAGAGCAATTCATTGGTGGGGTCACACGTTCGGTTCGAGTCCCATTTAGCGACTCTGGAGCTCAAAACGCGTCTAGAGTTTTGTCCGCCTCCACCGGTCCACTGAGGGCCGGGGCCTGGAAGGGCCTCGCTGCGGCGTTGGCGTTTCGGACGCGGAGGGGCCGCGGCGAGGACGCAGCCCCGGAGGCCCTGGAGGCCCTAGGGCCGTGCGACGGCGTGGGTGTTGGATTACCGGCGTCGTGCATTCAGGTCGCCGCCACGCCGCCCCACGGGGCCGCATGGGGCCCACCGGCGAGTTCAAGTTCAAGTCGGCTTCAAGTCGTGTTACCTTCGGCTTTTCTTTTCGCCGGCTTCCTCGGCGTGCTCGCGGCGCGTGCCGCCGCTACCAAGCGCCTTGGCGCGGCGCGTGTGCTGTTCGGCGCCCCGCGCGCGCACCCCGTGCAGGCCGCGGGCCAGGCCGGGCCGCCGGGCCGCCGGGCACGTGACATCCTGGCCGCTGTATTTAGCACGCGTCCGGTGCGGCTGGCGCGGCGCTCGCTGGACTCGGCCCGCCGCCCGCCTGTCCGCCGCGCACGCGTGCGCCCGTCACGCCACCGTGTGGGCGTGCGTGGTGGGTGCTGCCCGTCGCGCACGGGCCGCGGCAGCCGCGGCGGCGGCGGGATTTACCTGCTAGTTTTATCGATTCCGGCTGCGGGGGGCGCCAGCGGAAATCGATAGTGCCCGCCGCGCCGTTTTCGAAACTCTGTCTGCCTGTCTGTCTGTCTGTCCGTCCGTCTGCGTGCGCACGTCCTGTCGGCATTTAATTGCCGCGCGACGCGTACTCGTTGCGCACTCGACGACGGGCTGCACTTTTTATTCTTTTATCGTTTCCAACGCCTCCAGTCCGTGCGCGCCGCTTTGTTTCGGCGTTGGGCTCGTTTTGGCGCGTCGTGCTGCTACCTTGCTCCCCGTCGTCGTCCCCGTCGTCAGCTTGGTGGCGCGCAGGCCGGTGCGCAGTGGGCCAGAAGGCCGATGGAGGCGGTGAGAAGTCAAGACGCGTTTTGAGCTCCGGATTCGCTGAACTGGTCTCGAACCACAGACCCCCACCAATGCATTGCTCTCCGAACGAGGAATCTATTGGTGAGGTCACACGCTCGATTTGAGTCCTGTTTAGCGACTCTGGAGCTCAAAACGCGTCTAGATTTTTGACCGCCTAGCTCACTGTGCGGTGTGTTGACGGCGAACGAGGAGTAACGCGGAGGGAGAAGGGACCTCAGGGGGAGCTCCGTGACGGTCTTGTTCACCTCGGCGTCGCGGTTCCGCTCGCGGGACGACGAGCGGGTTCTTATTTGAAAGTGAACCCGTCCCGCCCGCGGTGGAGCGGCGCAGCCAAGGCGCAGCGGCGCCGAGCGGCTCGAAAAGTGCGCGGATTTTGCATTGGAGCGGCGCAGCGGCGCGCGCAGCAGGCCGAGCAGGCCGTCATCGTGGAGGCGAAGCCGCGAAGCAGGCGAAGGAAGTGGTTAATTAGAGGCGAGTGAACGGGGCCGCCAGTGGCGTACCCGCGTAGCAGTGCCGAGGCGCCGCGTGGCCGCGTGGCGCCGCGCGCTCCCATTGGCGGATGGCCAGGAGGGGCGGCTTTTCGGTGCGGTGCCGGTTCGGCCTCCAGGTGCCTCCAGGTTCGGCCGCTCTGGCGCCGCGGCCAGGCGAGCCTCGCGAGCTTGGCGCTCCCGGCCATAATCTGGGCCCGGTCGGCCAAATCCGATCGGCTCCGCTGGAGCGCTGGAGAAAAGATGAACGAGTGGCTGGAGCCACGGCTGGAGCGGCTGCAGCAGCGCGCCGCGCCGAAACGGTGACGTCGGTGGCGGCGGCGGGGCGGGGTGTCGAACCCGCGACGTCTGGAGGAAGCGGCCTCCTCCCCCGGCGCCGCGCCGCCAACTTTGGGGCCTCGTTTGGGCGGCCCGCACCGTGCCTGGCATTTATGATGCCCCGCCGGGGGTGCGGCACACCCACCCCACCCCACCCTCCGAAGGCGGCGCCGATGTAACGCTGTTTGCGAAGGCCTGGCTCCAGGAGGGTTGAGAGGTAGCTCTGGGCCTGCCAGTCTTGTGGTTGTCGTACGGCAGTGCTCGAAAAGTGCTTCGAGGTTTGGGATTTCGGGTGCCGTCGTCCCTCAAAAAGCTGCAAAATTATTCATTCCGCCCGCCTTTTCCGCACCTTCTCGCGCGCCGAAGTTTGTTCGGCAAGCGCGGCGAGCGCACACCCGGTGGCTGGCTGACTCCCCTCGGGGCCCCTCGGGGCCCCTCGGGGCGCTTGAAAAACGGCGCGGAGGCTGGATGGCCTGGATGATCCCGCGTGATCCGGGGATAAGGACGCCCGGCCTCCCCCCACCTTTTCTTTGCGAGGGGAATATTTTGCCGGTTGTAAATATCACGCGCGGGGGCCCCTTGATGCCGCTGGGCCCGCTGGGGATCCACAGAACGCCCCGCGGAGGGTCAGAGGCGGCCAAGGGCCCCTCGCACAGTGGGCCAGAAGACCGGTGGAGGAGGGCAAAACTCCAGACGCGTTTTGAGCTCCAGAGTCGCTAAATGGGACTCGAACCGAACGTGTGACCCCACCAATGCATTGCCCTCCGAACGAGGAATCCATTGGTGGGGTTACACGTTCGGTTCGAGTCCCATTTAGCGACTCTGGAGCTCAAAACGCGTCTAGAGTTTTGTCCGCCTCCACCGGTCTTCTGGCCCACGGTGCCTCGCCGGGGTCCCCGAAGGGTGGCCGAAGGGTTGGCGGCCGGCAGGGCCGAGGGCTGGGCGGCTAGGGGGACCGTGACATTTTAAAAATACGCGCCGCACCACCCTCTCTGCGACGCAATGCAAGCCTTTGCAGGGCCCTGCATGGTCAGAGGAGCCTTAGAGGAAGGCCGGATTAAAATGGCCAGTTTGTTCGAGTTTTTGTCGGGCTGGCTTGGCTTGGCTCGGCCGGCTTGCTGGGTTTCAAGACTGTTCAAGACGCTCCACGCGCTACGCGGCGACGCGCTGAGCGCCGCGACGCCGTGGCGTGGCATGGCCGGGCATGGCGGAGCCCCACTGTAAGCCCCACTGCTGCATTCCTGTTGGTGACTGCCGTAACTACCGCAACGAATCGGCCCGCTACACCGTAAAGAGGAAATGGAGATAAGAACATGGCGCGCAGCGGGAAAAAATGAGGAAGGGACGACAGCCCTGTTTGCAGTGCAGTGCCAATAAACCGGAATGATGATTAGGCAGAGCGGTTTGGCGTCCAGCCTCATCACTGTGCTCGTCTAGCGTCGCCGAGCGAGATAAGATTCAGGCAGAAGCTCCAGTTGTTGATTGAGAAACAGAATTTGCTAAATTATTATATTATTTTTTTTGGTGGGGGGAGGGGGATGAAGATTTTTGTCTGTGGAAGAATAGTGGCCCGTCTTCCCCGACTTTCGGGACGCGTTCGTGTTTCACAGTGTGAGTTTTACGCGTCGCTGTCACCCTACGGCCGGAAGAGGTGCCTCTGCCGCGGAGCCGCGGCTATGCCTTCGCTGCCTTCGCCCCCCGAGGAATGCCCCCGGTTTCCGCCATTTTGTCGCCGCTAAAAGAGCTATTTCCTCTTCCTAGGCAGTGCGAGGCAGTGCCTACTTCATTTATGGCTTTGCTCAGCCCGCACAGTGGGCCAGAAGACCGGCGCAGGCGGACAAAACTGTAGACGCGTTTTTAGCTCCAGAGTCGGTACATGGGGCTCCAACAGAACGTGTGACCCC